AGATAGTTACTTAGGATTTTTTCCGTTGTGGTCTAGCATAATCTCAAAAGAAAGGCTAAGTAACGCATTAGTAGAACGTTGGTTTGGTTTTCTAAAAAATGATATTCTTTCAGGCGAAAGGGATTTAAGACCAACTATTTTTATTAAAAAAATACGGCAACAAGTCATTAAAGTTAATAAAGAGATCTCTTTAGACATACCCAAAAACAAATTAGCATCTGCGCCCAAAAATTATAAGACCATGAGTAATAACAAATATAATAGCGACATTGAGGTTATTACCTTGTCTTCTTCTAGTTCCTCTCTTTCAGAAGAAGAAGAAAAATGGGACCGAAAGCCAAAACCTAAATTTTCATTCTTTTCAAGTAAATCTTTGCAATTCTTGCCAAAAGTAAAGGAAGAGAAAAAAAATGAAGTTATTAAAGAGACAATCGATATTAATGTAGAAAACATTACCCCTGAAAAGATTAATTTGGATATCCTAAAAAACAACCTAATTAATGATTTAAACTATTATAAAAATCACAGAAATCTGATCTATTACATCAGCTACTACAATTTTTTGAAAGGTGATAAATTTGTTTCTTGTTCCGAATTTAACACTTTTGAATATATCACAACCAAAATGTTTAATGTTTTTGGAGCGCTTATTATAAAAAAGAATAAAGCTTCTGACTCATCCATTTTATGGCCTGTGTTTGCTTCGTTTCACAATCTAAAGAAAAAAATGCTTCACGACAAACCTCTACCGTTTAAATGTAAAACTTACGTACCTTTATTTATGTTAAATGAAAAATGGATACTTTTGGAAATAGATATGAAAAATCATTGCTTAAACATATTTAATCCTCATGGTACTACTGATATTGAATGCCAGCAATATCTCGACGAATTTGTATCATTTTTAAAATTATATAATTCCAAGAAGGCTTTATATGCAACAGCAAAATTGATTCCTGAAAATACTTGGATTTATAAGAAATTTCCTCATCAAACAGTACAAAATTCAGCTGAAAGTGGTATTTTCCTCTTATATCTTCTTGATATTATTATACAAGGCGAAAACATTTTTAATAATTTGTTTAAAGTGATGGATTATTTTAACCATTTAAAAACGTTACTGTTACAATATTCAGAAGATGTAATAGAATTATGTGCCTATTGCAAGAAATTCGAGAAAGAAGACGCCTCACATGTTAACTGGGTGAAATGCGAGCTCTGTAAGAGATGGATACATTTTAACTGCGACAAAAGAAAATTTAAATTCGAAAAACCGCTATATTCACCTGATGTGATTTATTATTGCCCTATCTGCTCAAAAAATTTTCATAGAGAACCCTATTGCCTAAATAATATATCTTGTGAAGAAAGCAAAAGTTTAAGCGACCAAAATAAAAATCATTACATCCAGCAAAATCCAAGTTATTACAAAAATAACAAACTTTTAGGAAATTACGTTGTATGTCGTTATAGAGACGATTGTTCAAAAGATTTTATTGGACGATTTAGAAATATCAATAATTTAACTATTGAAGATTTTTCGACTTTAAAGGATAAAGAACAACTATCGAATACAGTTTTTTTTACATTAGTTCATTTGTTAGAAAGAGAATTTGATAATGATAAAATAAAAATTTGGTCAATTTATGTGACACAGGATATTCTCTATAAGCCGAATCAATTATGTGACTCATTTTATAGTGATGGATTTTTCTCTGATATGACAAATAAAATTAACGTTATCCCTATATTATCCCAGCAACATTTTACTTTAGTAATTGCGGACTTTCTTAATTTAACATTTACTTACATTGATCCATTAGGCTCAAGTGAATGTAAAACACAGAATATGTACTCTCGGTTTAATATCTTTATGACGACTTTATTTCAAAGAAATATAATTAAACCACAAATTAGAACATTAAATCTTCTTCAAGAAAATCATGTATTACAACGTGACAATTACAACTGTGGCATATTTGTAATTCATTTTATAGAGTCCATTTTGAAAAATAATAAATTTTGCACTCCTAATTTTGATCCAGATCAACAACGTTTAATATACCAAAAATATTTGTTAAATAAATCTTTGAATATGTCAAAATATTGCTTGAAATGTGGAAATAAGGTAAGAAACATACATGAATATGTTGTTTGCAAAATTTGCAAGAGACCTTGGGAGAAGATATGTATGGGTCCTTTGAAAGTTCTTGAATCCAACATTACATGTCCTTAATGTCAGAATTAATTACTTTGTAGTTTCTTATAAGTAACTTAAAAATTATAAAAGTTGTAAATTATTTAAGATGTAAATATAAAGGGTACTTTTTCTACATGACGCCGGGGTTTTAGGAGTCTAATTTTTGGGGATAATGTAGAGAGTAATAATGTTACTAAAATCCACCTAGTTAGAATATCGCATAAAGCCTAGTTTTCCTTAAAAAAATAAAGATGTATAAATAAATGGGTACTTGTAAAATAAAGGGTAATTTTTCTATATGACGCCGGGGTTTTAGGAGGCTAAATTTTTGGGATAATGTAGAGAGTAATAATGTTACTAAAATCCACCTAGTTAGAATACCGCATAAAGCCTAGTTTTCCTTAAAAAAAATAAAGATGTATAAATAAATAGGTACTTGTAATATAAAGGGTACTTTTTCTATATGACGCCGGGGTTTTAGGAGTTTAATTTTTGGGGATAATGTAGAGAGTAATAATATTACTAAAATCCACCTAGTGAGAATACCGCATAAAGCCTAGTTTTCCTTAAAAAAAATAAAGATGTATAAATAAATGGGTACTTGTAAAATAAAGGGTACTTTTTCTATATGACGCCGGGGTTTTAGGAGGCTAATTTTTTGGGATAATGTAGAGAGTAATAATGTTACTAAAATCCACCTAGTTAGAATACCGCATAAAGCCTAGTTTTCCTTAAAAAAAATAAAGATGTATAAATAAATGGGTACTTGTAAAATAAAGGGTACTTTTTCTATATGACGCCGGGGTTTTAGGAGGCTAATTTTTTGGGATAATGTAGAGAGTAATAATGTTACTAAAATCCACCTAGTTAGAATACCGCATAAAGCCTAGTTTTCCTTAAAAAAAATAAAGATGTATAAATAAATGGGTACTTGTAAAATAAAGGGTACTTTTTCTATATGACGCCGGGGTTTTAGGAGGCTAATTTTTTGGGATAATGTAGAGAGTAATAATGTTACTAAAATCCACCTAGTTAGAATACCGCATAAAGCCTAGTTTTCCTTAAAAAAAATAAAGATGTATAAATAAATGGGTACTTGTAAAATAAAGGGTACTTTTTCTATATGACGCCGGGGTTTTAGGAGGCTAATTTTTTGGGATAATGTAGAGAGTAATAATGTTACTAAAATCCACCTAGTGAGAATACCGCATAAAGCCTAGTTTTTCTTAAAAAAAATAAAGATGTATAAATAAATGGGTACTTGTAAAATAAAGGGTACTTTTTCTATATGACGCCGGGGTTTTAGGAGGCTAATTTTTTGGGATAATGTAGAGAGTAATAATGTTACTAAAATCCACCTAGTGAGAATACCGCATAAAGCCTAGTTTTTCTTAAAAAAAATAAAAATGTATAAATAAATGGGTACTTGTAAAATAAAGGGTACTTTTTCTATATGACGCCGGGGTTTTAGGAGGCTAATTTTTTGGGATAATGTAGAGAGTAATAATGTTACTAAAATCCACCTAGTGAGAATACCGCATAAAGCCTAGTTTTTCTTAAAAAAAATAAAGATGTATAAATAAATGGGTACTTGTAAAATAAAGGGTACTTTTTCTATATGACGCCGGGGTTTTAGGAGGCTAATTTTTTGGGATAATGTAGAGAGTAATAATGTTACTAAAATCCACCTAGTTAGAATACCGCATAAAGCCTAGTTTTCCTTAAAAAAATAAAGATGTATAAATAAATGGGTACTTGTAAAATAAAGGGTACTTTTTCTATATGACGCCGGGGTTTTAGGAGGCTAATTTTTTGGGATAATGTAGAGAGTAATAATGTTACTAAAATCCACCTAGTTAGAATACCGCATAAAGCCTAGTTTTCCTTAAAAAAAATAAAGATGTATAAATAAATAGGTACTTGTAAAATAAAGGGTACTTTTTCTATATGACGCCGGGGTTTTAGGAGGCTAAATTTTTGGGATAATGTAGAAAGTAATAATATTACTAAAATCCACCTAGTGAGAATACCGCATAAAGCCTAGTTTTCCTTAAAAAAAATAAAGATGTATAAATAAATGGGTACTTGTAAAATAAAGGGTACTTTTTCTATATGACGCCGGGGTTTTAGGAGGCTAATTTTTTGGGATAATGTAGAGAGTAATAATGTAACTAAAATCCACCTAGTGAGAATACCGCATAAAGCCTAGTTTTTCTTAAAAAAAATAAAGATGTATAAATAAATGGGTACTTGTAATATAAAGGGTACTTTTTCTATATGACGCCGGGGTTTTAGGGGGCTAATTTTTGGGGATAATGTAGAGAGTAATAATGTTACTAAAATCCACCTTGTGAGAATAACGCATAAAGCCTCGTTTTCTGAAAAAAAAATTTTCTCATATAGCGTGGTATTAGGGGATTCTATTTGCAATAACAGAAATTTAAATAGTCTATAAAGCTTAATTGATCTAACAATTTAAATTTTATTTAATTCTAGAATTAAATAAAAAATATAATATAAAACGGTAAATGAATCTACAGTTACTAAGGAGAGCAATGCTATAAAGGTATTTTTCCAATCAAAAAAGTTAGAAAGGCTTCATATTATTAAATTAATATTTGATATTATTTTATCAGAGATTATCTCTAAGGAATATTTTAAATAACAGAACATTGTGTAGAATTTCCTTGCTAATCACTTAATTGTACAGTGTAAACCTGTCTTAGTGGTGGGGGAAGAGCGCTGGATATCGGAGCTGATGATGGGCGCTAACTTCACACAAGTAAAATAATAATTGCAGTATTGGATCGATCAACATTTAACCTGGAATCCGAGCGACCATGACAACATCAAAAACATTTTCTTGTTTACCTACGAGATCTGGACACCCGATATCTCTATTTACAACTTGTATGTACTCCGATATTATTCAATAACACAATTACAAAACAACATTTTAGAGCTAACCAAGGAGAAGACCCGGAACTAGTTAGTACAACACGTTGTGTAATTTCTCACTTGGGTGTTGTGATGTGCGTACCCCCGATTCACTTAGATGCGCTTTGCGTACCGAATCTTTCGAAATACCCCTTCGATACACAAGAATGCCAACTTAGACTTGGTAATTAGTAATTATTTTGAATTATTTCTATACGATTGCTGTTGATTTATTCGAGTAGGTTCTTGGATGCATAAAGGAGAAGAAATCGACGTTAAAGTTGACAAGAACATGGTGAGCACTACGGATTTAATACCGAACGGGGAATGGGAAATTTTATCTCATTCCACAGTAAGGCATAAAGGAGTTTATGCTTGTTGCCCTAATAGTACCTATCCGTCTGTGGATGTTACTTTTACTATAAAGAGATTGGCTGGGAGTCATGCAGCTACCGCTGTTATACCTACAATAGGTAAAACGTTGAGGAATTTAAGATACTTATATATTTAATCGATTATTGAATGTTTTAGTGTTAGTTATTTTGACGATTTGTCTGTTGAGCTTGTCTCCTGTGGATAAAGAACGAATGATTTTGGCGTACGTTAATCTCTTGGCACATTTTTTGCAAGTACAGTATATAGGGTGGCAGTTGCCGCTTAAAGGGGATAATATGCCACTTATCAGTAAGTAAAATTGATAGCGCGTAAAGTCGATGTAAAGTGAATGTATTTTTTTTTTAGTTGTTTTTTCGAGGGATTCTCTACTCTTGGCCATGTTTGCTCTGTTATTTACTTTGGTGTTCAGGAGTCTCTTGGCGAAGAAAACCATGCCTCCTGGTTGGGTATCCAGTATCGTGTCCGGTGTGTTGGCTTGTAAACCAGGTCAAGTGATTTTGCTGAGCGATTATTCAACAAAAGTAAGTATAACTATTTTTTTATTGCATTGTTTTATTCGTGAAAGTATTTTTTGTAATGATTTCGGTTTTTTTGCAGGAATCCGCTGCCGCTAAAGGTGAAGAAGACGGCGCTGGAATAGTAAGTACAAACACATCAGTCAACAATTTGCAGGATTGGGAATTGTTTACTAGGTTGCTTGATAAGCTGTTTTTTATTATTTATATCATCGTGTATTTTGTAATGATTATTTCACTAATGCCTTAAATGCGCTGTTGGTACAAAAAAGTGCATAAACAATCAATAACATAAAAAAATTAAATGGCATTTGCCAATTTTTCGATGTGTTGACAAAAAAGAATTGCTATTTTCCATGATGAAATTTTGTTTTATTTACCTTTTAAAATATAACAGCACCATCATTACGAAATATAGAGGAATTACTCGAATTTAATTAATAATACTTTCCCATTAACTTCTTCAAGTAAAAACACAAATACAGATTTCTTATTTTATAATATTTTTCCGTAAAGATTCTTAAACTGGCGCATGTACCTGCTTTTTTTCTAAAAGATAATAAATACAATGAAATTCTACATTGGGAGAACTTTATTAATAATAAATATTTCAATAAGTTACGTACTAGTCTACATCATTTTTAAAGATATATTAAGTTACATTTAAATTTCGAATAACAGAGTGCCTAATTTATTGAAAATAACAATACAAAAATAATTATTCAAATATCTATAGAATAAAATACTGTACAAAGAAAGTAACAAATAATAATACAATGAAAGAAACGTAATAAAAATAAGCCATTTCTACCAAAAAAATATATATATTTCATTCTGTTAGAATTGTTTAAGAGTGTTTTGAAAAAAATAGTACAAATTCCACATTAAAATGTTTTATACAGGAAGATTCATAATTTATTAGAATTTTATATGTTCGCTTTAATCTAAGAGAATGAATTATAAAAAGCCCAACGTTTTGTTTTATACAAGTATGTATTACAAATTAATTAATAAATCTTAATGACATGAAGCACGCATCAAGTGGATATTATTAAAAATAATGATGTACGTCCGAATTAAGTGGCGGTAGCGTTCTAATTTCATAAAGCCGTGCAACATAGTCATTCGACGGCAGTAAATCTTAGAAATTTATAATTTCCTTTAAAACGATTTCGTGCCGGTAAGTCCGAGAGTTGTGGGTCAACTAAAATTATTTCGTAACACATGATTGCATGGGTGAGTTCCTGGCAAACGACCAACGACTGCATTTACTTATTTTTTCATTCATCAAAATACAATTTGGCTGACAGGTTACATTCTAATAATAATTGGGCGATTTTTATTTAGAACGCGCCCATATGGTCACTCATTTGGCATTACGAAATATCGCCAAAACGCGTTCGCTTTTAAAATCTCGAGAAAATATTCCGCGATTCGCCATCGAAAACGGGCGCAATAAAGACTATAATTTAGATACGAAAAAATACAATAAAATCCGCAACAATGAAAACAAATGTTTATTTATTACCAATTTAAAATTCTTTTTACCCAGACAGATAAGCTTAAAATGGTACGTGTTCGGATGGACAAAACGAAAAATTAAGTAAATTGCCCAAGTCTTGTAAGATTGCTGAGCCACATTATCATCAGCGGTCAATGGTGTAGCTCGGATTTTATTCAAATTACTATCAATTATTAATTACGCGAAATACTAGTACTAACAAAATACGAAAATATATTCAAATTTATTAGACAACCAATCACGCACTATCATAACATTTTGCTAACACCATAAATTCCTATAAAATCGAATATGGTTAAATAAATGCACCGCCACTGCAGATATATGGATGTACCGGAATGCAAAACGTGAATTTTGACCTAACCTGCGTTTTCAAGAAATGAGTTCAGTAATTTTATCAACTGCAGCAATCACAGACGAGATTTAGCATAATATTACAGGCGGACTTTAATCATGATATTATTGAACGGCCAAGAATGTCAATTGCGATTTCGACTCGCCGTCGATTTTCGAAATTACACAGTGCTCTTTCGTCGACGATGTTCATTAATTAAAACGAAACGTCGGGCCGGAGGATATAAAAAAAATACACTAACAATTAGAATGATTTTTCAAGTCAGATATCGACGCGCCAAAACGATAATTTACTACGAAAAAAATAATAAATAAAATTAATGGAGTTTAATATGTAAATTTTGTCACGTCCAGATATCCGCATAAATTATTTCATTAACTGTTAAAGGAAGAAACAAAAATAATTCGTTTGTACAGTTAGTTAAAAATTAAAAAATAATAATAATAAATAGTTAATAAGACGTAAAAATAAGCGTAACGAATGTACAGACTTCTAATAGGACGAAAGAATGGGATTTTCACCGCAAGTTCTGATTAGCTTGTTTAGAGTTCTACATAATTTCCACCTCTAATCAGAACTGTTTACGTACTGAAAAATAAAACTTACACGTACAAATTGCCTCAATTACACCGAATGCGGGCGTTTTTCGAATCGATTGGCCCTCCATTAGAATTTAAAAATTGTAATTTCCATTCAGTACATTTTTTCGGTATGTTTGTAAATCGCGATTTAAAATTTTTCCTATATAATGTCCTAATGATATCTAACTAAAAAACCGTTTATTACTTATATCGAAAAGTGCAATCGCATCGAACCGAAAAGTTGATTATTTTAAAAATAATATTTACAATTAACAAACGAAATTGTTTGAAATATTGCTGTGAATGTATAAAGAGTACTTTATAGGAAGTAAGAAAAGATTATTCGACCAAAAAATGTCTTTAAAATGAATATAATATTCAAGTTTTGCGAAAATTATTTGAAAGGTAGAAAAAATTCCAGAAAACTCATTTTTTATTCTATTATTCATTCGATTTCTAATAAAATAAAATTACACTTAATTAAGTATCGAAATCGAAAATTAAATATCGAATTTCATAGAAAAACCAATGTAACAATTACCAACAGCGGACTTTTCGATTCGATACCGACACTCCTATATCCACGGAATAATACAATAACAATTATTAATTTTTTACATACTTAATTCGTTGCTACGTCGGAATTATTTCAATTAGCTACAATTTCTATTTAGATTCAATTAACTTTTAATCGTTAAAAACGTACATCCAGATCGTTGCATCTCTTTGGTTTTATCATTAATATTGATATTTTTCTGTTAAATACTAATCACAACGCGCCGAAGTCGCACCGTCGCTGGCGGTTTAGCATTAAAAAAAATCGAAAACGAATTACAAAATAGGGATATCGATAAGAGATTAGTCGATTTATCGATTTCGCGGAATTTTATAATGTTTTTTCCTATTAATCCATTCGGAAAATCAGATTAGCTTTTCGATGATATCTGGTATTTGCTCGATTTTTTTCGTCTAAAATCCTAATAATAACTCATAAAATCGTTCAAACTAGATAAACAAGATAAGATTATTCAATATCTCCAAAAAAAGCATAAATACAAAATCGATTAATCGAATAAAAACTCGATTCCCAATAACCACAATTCCGCTGCCCCCTTTACGACGGACCCTTCGACCAACGATTTCGCACCTTAACATTCACGTACTTCCCCGCCGTAGCGTTTACCTTACACCGTCCCGGGTACATCGTATCGATGACGTACCCCTTGAAGCAGGCGTCCTGCATCATGTGGCACCACGTGTGATAGGTGCTGTTGTTGGTGCCGCATATCGGCCCGCGCATCACGTGCCTCGGCTTGCAGCTCGTCGTGCAGCTGACGCAGCGCGGCATCCCCGTCTGCGGCTCCTTCAGGCACGTCTGCCCGTCCCTGCACTTCACCTTCTTGCACGTCGCCTTCGCTGCAACGCACAATTAACTCTCTCAAATTGCCGCAATCGAATGCGTGGTGAATAAGCGATGGTTACCTCGACAAGGTCCTTTGTACGCCAGGGGAATCGCCTTGCCTCGCCTGCAGGCCTTCTCTCTCAGGTGACAGGCGCTGGGGTAGGTGAGGCCGTCGGAGCCGCAGACCTGACGGCGCTTCGGCCCGTTCGGGCACTTCCTGATGCAGTTCACGCAATGCGGCGTCAAATTCTGGTCCAGCAAACAGTGCTTGCCCGACGGACAAACGATTCTATCACAAGAACCTGCAACAACAAATGCATATTACACCAACTAACACGACTAGACTAGGACTAAACTGGTACTACACCTTTTCCAGTTGTATTTCAGAAAGCGTCAATTGAATTTAAGAATAGTCGCTTATATTTCGGAAAGTATCTGTTGTATTTCAGAATAGTCAATTTGATTACAGAAATCATCTGTTGTATTTCAGAATAGTCAATTTGATTACAGAAATCATCAATTGAATTTCAGAATAGTCAATTTGATTACAGAAATCATCAATTGAATTTCAAAATAGTCAATTGTAGTCCCATTTGGAATGCAGAAATCATATGACAATTATTATTAAAATTATTAACGAAGAAGAAAAACTCGGTCCACTCCACAATTTATATTATTTTTTCGAACTTGAAACAACTTCCATCCGGAATTGAAATATTTTTTTTGAAATCGAAATTATTCTTCTGGAACCGATACCTTTATAATTTTTTCTGAAATTGAGATTGAAAAGCTATAGATATTGAAGAATTCCGAAATACAAATGATTTCTGAAATAAATTTGACTATTTTGAAATTCAAATGATCGTTTCCGAAATCGAACTGACTATTCTGAAATACAACTGATGGTTTCTGAAATCAAATTTATTATTCTGAAATACAATTGATGCTATCTGAAATCGAAATGACTTTTCTGAAATATAATTGATACTTTCCGAAATATACTGCTCCACAAAAGTTCACAAATATTGAGATTAATTTAAAAGTTGCAGGTTTTTTGATCACCAAATTTAGTATGAGTTGTAGAAGAAGGGGCAAAAAATCCACTCAGATATGAGAGAAAACATTTAATTTCGCATATTTGAAAATTTGGTGATCAAAAAATCTGTAACTTTTAAAATAATCGCAAAATTTGCGAATTTCCTTAACTTTTGTTTAGCAGTTTATAAGTGACTATTCCGAAATTCAATTGACGCATTCTTAAACTACAGTTGGAACTGGTGTAGAATAGGACTAGTACTAGAGTACGTTTCTACTGACTTTGACAGACGCCTTTGTAGGCGACGGTGAGGGAATTGGATCGCCTGCGGCAGGACTGCTTGCGAAGCCTGCAGACGTTGCGGTACGTCCGGCCGTCGGTGCCGCAGACGGGGCCCTTCAGCGATCTGAGCTTGCCCTCTTTGCACTTCGACGAGCACACGCACTTCGGCGTGCCCTTGCGCACCACGCAGACCTTGTCGGCGTCGCAGACGACCTCCTTGCAGGAATCTGGAAGAGCGACCGACTCGTTGTAATCTCCAATTCTTGGATTCTACATTTTTGTTTTTAAAGTAAGCGTTACCTCGGCAAGAGGAGCATCGTACGCCGCCGCCCAGTATTCTCCAGAAGAACAACGTGCCGGAGTCCAATTCGTCGGCCGACCAGGATGTAGTGACCGAACGCACGGAGCAGCAATCTTCTTTGGAGATCTTCTCGTGGAGGAGTTCCGTGCAACGTCCGTTGCCGCTTCGAACCATGGCCGACCAACACGTACCACCTAAATTAACATTTGCGTTATACCGGGTGTCCGAATTGTCTATATTATACAGGGTGAGCCACGTTCAACATAAGGAAATTGGTAAGAAACTATATGGTGATATAATGGGAAACTTAGCAGCCGTTTAATAGAATAATCTTGGTACTTCATCTTACACAAATTAAAAATAGGTTGTCGCATTCAAAATAATTCAGTGCAATTATTTTATTTATTATCTATTATTTACCAATATACAGGACATTATTGATTAATTGAATTAAGTAAGGATTTGGTACAGGGCGATTCAGTTATTTTTTTTCTTTCTTAACAGAAGACAAATTAGACACACCCGGTAAGTAATGATCAATCAAAAAACGATAATCATCAAAGATGCAATCGTAATGAACAATTATTACTAATCGTATTACCGTAATTAAGTTTTTTAACTGGCGATTAAAGAAAACTAAAATCATCCGGGCAATTAAAAACCGATTATTATCGGAATTAACCCGACCGGTTTTATTATTATTACCGTCAATTTCGACGGGAGGCATTAAGGAATTATTACTAAACAAATTTTTAACGCCGAATTAGCGATTTCGTTCCGATTAGCCAATTAACCCGTCGTTTTCGGGCATTTCGAATTGCGCTAAAAATCCAAATTAGTTTCACCTACGCCTCTTCGTTGCGCCGCAGAAAAACGGAAAACCCAACTTGAAAGAAAAGAAAAAATAAAATGAAATCAACGCGGAATTGATGTTGCTCGCCGATAAAACCAGTAGTGGAATAGAATAGGTATTTACGTGCCTATATGCAACTCGCTTCCGCCATAATTAGACCAACTCTCATTGTTCTTTCTTATGTAATTGCATTTAAATCCTTCCCGGACGGATTTTTTTCCTCTTTATTTCATTTAGAAGCATCAGCGGGCGATAAATCATGACCGCAAACAATGGGTAAAGTGTATATTATTGTGTCCGCTATCGTATAAATATGCTCATGTGGTTGACCCACAGAAAATGTACCCACTTATCTAGGAGATCTACGTTGTATACAAACCGAGAATTTCATACAATTATATAGGAAAAATCTTGTTAAATTAACGCTGTTTTTAAGGTAAGCATTTTACTGTGTTATGTAAGCGTATTTATTGAAGCGGGTAAGCATTTTATTTATACCGAATTCCGTACATTTTTTAAAATACCCACTTATCTCTATAAAGTCTTAGAAAATACCTACTTATTATCTATGTTGCAAATATTGAGATATTCATGCGATTAAGGTAAGCATTTCACTGTATTAGGTAAGCGTCTTTATCGGAGCGAGTAAGCGTTTTTTATTTATAGCGAATTCCGGATATTTTTTTGGTTCGACTGACAAATTAGTCGCATTCTTCGCAAGCGTGGAATTCACAACCGAATGGCGGTTTAAATTTAGTTATGCAAATGAAGGTATACCGAAAATATCGAAAAATAAACGGCGCGTATTATTTTTGGCTATCGGCGCTTTAATAATAAGTTCCGGATACATTTCGTTGCGAATATAAAGAAAGTTCGGTTTGAAGTTCGCGCGAATTTTCAATTTTTTTAAATCGATTTAATTTCATTCCTCGTGTGTAAATATTTGCGCGACTTAGTGAGTCTCTAATGCAGGTAAACTTTTTAATTTAATATTGTTTACGGCTCCATAAAGACAGTTTTTCGGCCAGACGGTAATAATAATAAACGATACAAATGAAAACAACTTTCGAATACATGATAAATCAAAGGTGTGGAATTTCATGATCGAATAAAAAAAAGAAGTGGACGGAGAGGAGAGCATCTTCGATTACAGGACAGTATTAATTTTTTTGCACAATTTTTATATCGTTCTTAAGGAATATGAGATGCAATAAAAACTTACTTTCAGTTCGAAATTTTTTTATTTACTTACCGATTACAAGACAAATAAAAAAAAGTATTTTTTTGGGCAATTTTTATGAAGGTTAATAAAAGCGGGTACGCGATTTTTTTCGACGAGAATTCCTCGAACCAGATTGTAAAATCGAATTTTTAATGCGTTTTCACCAAAAAAAAAGATCGTACGTCAGTTTGAGACAATAACAAAACACGTTAATTGGTAAAAGCGATTTTTATTGCATTTAAGGGTGATTCGTTGACCCTACATCGTCGCCGCGGATTTATTATCGATATAAATCGTTTTTTTATAAATCGCCAGCAAGAGCAAATACTCGCAGGATCGTACTCACGCCTTTTATCGACCATACAAATTTTAATTAACAGCTAAAAAACACCTAATAATAATTTTCTATTGTTTTATACAGGGTTACGTTACTGAGTGTTCAAATTTTTACCTTTACTAGGTAGATGTAATAATAACCGTCAGTGAAATCTTTAACTTGGTAATAAATTAGTGATTGTTTGATATTTTCTTTATTGTTAATGTATTAATAATAACGTGTGTAGGGTCAAATGGTAAAGTTATAATGGTCCGCCTATGTCTGTTTATGATGTAATAAATTTTTTGAGGATTCGATCTATGTAATTAAAATCCCATACTAATAAGCCGTACGGCATAGGTATACGAAAACTATTTATAAAAACCAGGTAATTTTTCGGTAACGTTACGTAAAGCCACGATTAAATTACATATATTGCCCGTTTTTTCTTCTTGGAATCGGCCGGTATTTTTTTTTCTAATTCTAAGCGGAACTAATCTAATTACTATTTTTTATACACAGCGACAGAAACGCTAAAATAAAGTCGATATTCTGATAGAAAAATTCGCAAATTTAATCCCCTTTTATTAGGAGAGTGAGTTATATACTATATTTTTTTTCTACTGCTTACATATTAAAAAGGGGTATTCAAGTAAGAGTGGTGTATTTTAATACATTAGGTATTACATCAGTTACTTATTACATAAACTTTTTGTATAATTTAACTTATAATAAAATATGACTCTTGTTTGGGACACACTGTAATTTAAATTTATACATTTTTGCATAGTTTAAAGGCACATACACTTTAGTGTAAAAGGCGCGTGTGTGAGAATTTTTCACGCACTAGTGCCTGTAATTTACGACCGAATCCAGAAAAAAAGGAATTTATTTTAATCCGGTCTCAGTCATAAAAGGATTATGTAGTGAAAATATTTGAATAAAAACATATTTTAGACAAATATTTAGGTTACGCTAAATCCTAACGGTCGTTATACGTAAAACTCGACAGGACCGACTTCGGTGCATTTCGATTCTAATACCATTATTTTCAAACAATACTTCATAGTAATTTTAAACTATAATATGAAGTTGATCGGTTGGTTAGCTTCAACAAATAAAAATATACAGAAACAATTTGAAGCTTAACGAATAAAGCATCAACAACTTTTATGAGAATAAAGTAAAAGTCCGATGCTGTAAAACGGTTGGAATGGTATGCTGTATGCATTTTATTAGATGAATGGATAAATAAAAATCATAGTCTAAACAAATATTGGAATTTTAGGTGTAAATTAAGTAGCGAAGGCACGCGATATTTTCCAATCGCCAGAACCGGCTTTCCGGCTTCCCATCATTCGCGACCTAATTTACATTACAAAACGTAAATATTTAGCCCGTCCGTTTGCGTAACGCGCGATTTTCATGGGCATAGTTTCAGGTGAAATCACATTACAAGACAAACAAACCGAATTGCATTCCCCCGTTAAATATCTGATCTATTAAATAGCTATTTTAGCGAAACAGGCTGAAGCCGGTACTGGCGAATTGGCGAAAAAAAAAACGAACGCTCGTACTGTGTAACTGTAACCCCTTATCACATCGCGCATTTACGATATACGTACTTACGTTTGGCCAATAACTGTTTACAGGCTCCTCTTAAATTATTTTATTTCAATTCGATATAATTCATTCGAACCCGCGCTTGAACTTTCGTTATTCCTCGAACGATTTTTCCCGCACCCCGAAGTCCCGATTCCGATTAATCGATCCTCGAAATCGAAGTAAATAGTAGAAAATGTTTGGTAAAGTGTCAGTGAAAGGAAAAAATATGTAAAAATAGTAAAAAATAGCGAGTCCAGGTTCTGAGAACAGAAGATTAAATACATCATGAAGTATAGCAAGTAAATTTTTGGAAGAAAGGATAAAAAGTTTTAAATTTTCAGTACCATAAAATGAATCTCGATTCAGTTTTTTTACACAATTTAAATTAAATTACCAAAAATATTACATAAAATATCAAAAAACTGGTATCAATAAAAAGGTATCATAAAATACATCTCGATTCTATTTTTTACAGATTTTCCATTTAATTACCAACGTTAATAAAAAATACCATAAAATTACTAAAAATACATATAATATCAAAAATATGCATCGAAAATAATAAGTCCCAGAATCAAAACTATATCTATTAATATGAAAAGTATTTTTCATAGTTCTACATATAATTTTTAGACAATTCCCATAAAATTATACCAACGTTACCACAAACTGCCTACAACATCATTCACCTCTATTTTCCACAAAAAAAAAAATAAAATCTGCATCGATAACACGCTTCTTATCGCGATGGAAAACAATTCAGAAAATCCGAAAAGTATTTAAGAAACCATCTGAAACAATCGCCGAATGGGTTTATTTACGATAAACACCTGTTGCTTCGCTTTATTTTCCGCGATACGCCGATATGAATATGCGGATAACCGTTGGTGCGTTTCTCGATGCACACGCATCGGTTCTTAATCGGTCGTACTTCATTTGCTACGCTACACGTGCAATTAAACACCGATTTCAGTGGAAACTAGATTGCGTTTTAGTTAATTAGAAAATCATCGATTGTGTATGTGCGTTTTATTTTTTCTTCGACTGTGTAGAGAACGTTGTACAGAAGACAAATATCCATACGGACAAGAACGGTAATAGTATACAATTACACGTATGTATAGGGATATAGAGTGGAATGTAAAAATTTCAACCTCGATTTGAATTTTTCTATAATTGCGCCGATCTAGAAGGCTGGAGAAAGACGGTGCATCAGGACAGGCTTCGCCTCGATTCCACAATAACAAATCCCCTAACACATCATACGTTTCACGTGCAACGCAACGATTAATTAATTTACTTAAACATCGCGAATACACCAAACAATTAGCGTAATTACTTGTCGGAAAGGCAAAGGAAAATTGCAGCGTAATCGTTCGGATACGGCTCTGATTGGAAACAGAGTTGGAAACCTTGAAACGATTGAAACTAATAGAACAGCTCGTGCCCATTAGAAGCAATTATTATCAACAACACAGGTGCATTAATTGGTAATAAAAGTCTAGAAATGCGGTGAATTGCCGGTAATTTGGACACACGCGGACGAGGCGGAGGCAAAGACATGGAAACGATTTATTCCACGATTAAAATTTCGCCATTGCTTTATCAGAATTACCTTTTAAAAAATAGCTTCAAAATTCGTATATTTTACTAAAATTTATAGTCCGGAGGATAAATCCTACAACCGCCAACTAAAATAATAGTAAGGTGGACAAACGCACATTTATCGACAATTAATTTAGATATATTTTTGCATCGTATTGGAATTCCGATTGGGCAAATTTAGTGGTAATTCGAACGCCATCTGGACCCATCATCGACGTTTATCGCCGTTTTTTTTTATCCGACGGAAAATAAACAAATAAACCGGCAGGATATTCGGTAACGACGAGAGAGACGGCGCGACGAGAGAAAACTACAGGCGACCGGCGAACGCGGCCTTTAAAGGTTATTACCTCTGTGCCGAGCGAGAAGAAGTCGCATTACTGCATGTCTCTGGCCCAGTCTGCACCCACCTGCTCTTCGGTACTCCGAAGTCGATGAGTCCCCGTCTGTACTGTCTGCTATTGCCGTTCGTCCGTCGGGTCGTACCTCGAACGCGACGGTCAGTACCGTCCCCCCGAAAATGCTCGCCGTTTTCTCTTCCAGTACCCGAAGAGCTCGAGCTCGCTTATTACAAACACTCTCGCCACTACACCACTCCATAAACAATATATTAATTTACCACCAGAGTACTTACGGAAATCGACCTTTATAAAGACCCACATATGGATCTTTAAAAAGAAGATACCTCTAATTTTAAATCATTTAAATGCTACAGAAGATTATAACGACCTTGGAAGAATGTATTTACTACGAATATCCTGCTATTCCAAATTCTAAGCAAAACATTCTTTCGATGTTTCGTTACCTCATAACCTTCTAATACAAGGCCCCATCTTCGAAGAAGGTCCAAACAAATACAAAGCACCTTGAGGAGCAACTGTAAATCCACTCCATTGGCCGTTCGCTTTCACCATTCACCCTCTTAATGCTAATATAGCGAACCGCGCGTCGGAGCTCATCTAAATCAACGTAACGGTTCTTGGAATCGAAATCTAGACTAAACTATAGTAAAGTTATCGAAGTAATGAATGCACGGTGCATCGCTAAAATCGATCGATACACATGCCGAATTCGAAGCCGATCGATCGAACAAACAAAACAATCGTATCGCCAAAGTTGCACGAGGCGCGTCGAAAATTTCCTCGTACGATCGGGCTTCTTCCGATCGATAAATAATCAATAAAATGATAATAAGGTGAGCAGAAACGGTGGATGAATGAATTATAAGAGGACCAGGTGCTAGATGCAAAGTTAAGGTCTTGGAAGATACAAGAATTTTAGAGGCTGGAGATTAGAGGAGGCAAAAATATGTAAAGGTAGAATGTAAAATGAGAAACTTTCCAAATCGTCTTTAGCTCCTGAGATGAGGAAACTCTTTCCTGCATTTTAAATACCGAAAGCTAGAGATTATGGTAAGAAGATAAAAAAGAATAAAGTAATGAAGTAGAGGAGGCAAAAATATGTAGATAAGGTAGAACCAAAAAATTTTAAACTTTCTAAATTCTCATGGGTTCCTGAAATGAGGAAAATCATTGATGAATTTTAATAAAAGAAGACAAGAAATTATGGTAACCAGATCAAAAGGATTAAAGTAATTTAGTAGAGGAGGCAAAATGTGTAAAAGTAGAGGGAAAAGTGGAGACCTCTCCAGCTCCTCAAGGTGTAATGAGATAAGGAAAATCTTTCTTAAAAAAGGAAACAAAATAATGTAGTAGAGGAGGTAAAAATGTATAAAGGTAGAGGGAAAAGTGGGAAACTTACTAGTTCTTCCAGAGGTAATGAAATGAGGAAAATCTTTGTCTAATTTTAAGTACCGAAGAATAGAGGTTATAATATGGTAAAAATAATTCCAAAGAAATAAAGTAATGTAATAGAGGAAGCAAAAAATGTGTAAAGGTAGAGAGAAAAGTGAGAACCTCACCCTCTCCTCTTAGGAGGTAATGATATGAGGACAATATTTGCTGAGAAGAAAATGTTGTATAGAAGTTGGGATAATCGGGGAAAGTGGTGAACCTCAACAACTCGCCCCGTCATAATCCTGAATTAAGAAACATCTTGGCTTAGAAGAAGACGAACAATATAGAAGTTTGAAGTATTCGGTGCCATCTCAAAACGGGACCATTTCGAAACTCAAATTTGTGTAAATCGTCTCGTGACAACACAAACACTGGTTATTTTCGGTGGCGCAAAACATGTTTGTCGCCTTTAAATTTAGTCGGCGCCGAAAAGGAGCCTCCGATTTTCCCCAAACCGGCGAAAAAATCCGGCTCCGCCCGCGAAATCTTCGTTCCCGTACGGACGGGCGTTGCGAATGCCGCGCAAAATGCTATTTTCATTGTTGTTATTTGACGCGTTGCGTTTCCTCTTTCGTTGCATCCGATAAGCCGTTCGCAAGCGAATTGAACTTCTCTCTTAACCCGCCAAAGTCAAGGCTGAGAGAAATTGTCGATGCGCGCATAAGTACCATTAAAAATTCCCCGATATCCGTCCGATTGCATCGATGCATTCGCAGTTATGCAATTACATAAATTTTGCATCTTACAATGCACTGGGTAAACTCGAGATTCCGCTGTGTGGAAGATTGTTAATTTTATTTATCGAATATATTTTTTTAATTTAACGAAAATTTAGATAGGAAATTTTTTTATTCGATTGTAATAAGCTTTCAGAAGGTACTGGAAATCCTAACGATGCAAACAAGCTAGGGTACTGATAACCTGATAAGTATAAGGTTTGTTCCAGCAGCATGTTCTGTGTTTAATCGGCATTATCAAACAAAAAATGCGATTAAAAATATAACTGTTGATATTTCTGATATAATGTTTTGCATTCCAGCAAAGCTTTGAAGTTGTTTGTAGCAAGTTGAGAACTTTTAATAATTGTACTATTTTATTGCACTTTATGACAATTTTCAATCATTTTCCAATCAAATTTAGCCTCAGATATGCGTATTCTTTGAGGACAAATTTGGAACAAACCTATTATTGAGTACTATCACATCAATACATGATAATGATCAATATAAAAAAATTTCATTTAATGCTTGAATAAGTGAAATTTATGCTATTAATTCTAAAAATTTAATCCTTTCGGAAATCCTGCAAGGTACCATCCTGGCGCGCATATATTATTCACTCGATTTACGCAGGCTGCAACAATGTAACGTAATAATAATACTGCATGTAAGTAAATACGGGTACGCCGTGCGATCGTCATCAACGGGGAGGTAGGTAGTACCAGCGTCGAGTTCGTGAACGGAGTCGATTCCGCCTCGGGTTATGAGCTTTGCTTTCGCCTGTGCTTTGCTCTCCGTGTCAGTTAATGCTTTCCTCTTTTTTTTCTCCTCCTCCTCCTCCTCTTCTCCTCGTTCCTGTTACGGACGACGTAATTATAATTATTAAACGGCCGATTTCGATCTTTTCTTCTGTTGGATTTTCTATTTTCGAGGAGAGCGGGGTCCCCGCGCCGCCGGAGCGCGGACCTACGCGGTTAGATCGAGCCGCACGACAACGAAATCTCGCTCTGATTGTTATTGAAGGCGAAGCAGGAAGCGATTTTTTCGTGGCTCGTCGTAAATACGGGCGTTTCTTTTCCTTTTTTTTTCGACTTCTTCTTCCTTTTGCTTCTCTTTTTTCTTCTTCTTTCCTCGCGTTCGACGAAACCGGTGTACTTACCAGTACCATTCGAGTCTATTTCGAGTACGAATCCCGATGCATGTGTAATCTAATTGGAAATTACGTAAACGTGCTGGAAGGATAACAGTACCTACCAGTCCAGTCTGATTTACATTTTGGTACTTGCAAGTACCCGGTCGTATCGGACGCGTCCGATCCCGATTAGAGATTAACAAACGGTGCACAATAAATGTTGTAGAATCGCAAACGGAATTTCAATACGTCCTTTTTATACTGGGCGAGCAAATATTTTAACCCTTATACAAGAAGTTTCGTTATAATTTAAATCAAAAATATTGAGAATTAGTAGAGATCAAGATAATGTCCAGTTTTGGAAAAGAATCTAGTTCAAAACTTAATTTCTGTATTTTATAGAGTAGGTATGTGTTTATTACCAGCTAGGTTTTTATCTGAAGCAATTTAATAAAACAAATCCTAAAAAATTATATTGCACTAGGATCCTGCTAAAATTACACAGAATTTTCTGTTTCTGTTAGATCATGAAGAATAATGCTGGTTCTAGTACCTATGTGAATTAGACTTTATGTAAATTCATTTTATTTTGATTCATACCAAGTTTAAAGTGGAATATGATTAATTTCAGGATTTTATTAAACACATTTCCTTATAAACCAAATCAACCTTAGTACTCTTTTAGTACCTACTGATGGTAACATTTTGTACAAATAAAAATTGTAATAGATACCAGATCTAAACGCTAAAGAACCACCCATATAGAAAAAATTTTAAGTTGTAATACTTTTTGGAAAGGCATCAAATTAATATGGGTATACTTACCTAGACAAAAATGAAACAAGTAAATGAGATGGGCAATGAACAGTAATCGAAGTCTGACGACGGCAAGTGCGGCATTCATGTCGATTGAGACGGTGTTGCGTTGCGAATGTGCCGCGGGCCACCGGGGGGCCCTTGGGCCCCTCTCAATTCACATGCTCCCTTTTTTTCCTCGGACCATTCAATCTGCAACAAATCGAGCGACATTAGACGAGTTTTCTATCGACGCCGGCGAGCGAAAAAACGCGCGTATTCTACACAATAAAACGCGCGACACACTTGAGTTATGAACCAGAAACTTGTGGGCAAGGTACGAGAGATAATTTTATCATTTTATTGGTAGTTTTACATTCCGCATTGCCGCAGTACTCGGGAGTGGATCGCTTCGACTTACCAAAGTGTAATTATTTATGAGTGTCGTACGATATTTTATCTATCACCCACACAATGTCTAAAATATACAGGGCTGTTCAAATATACAAGAGATTGTAATGAAATCTTCTTGAAGCTGTAAATCCAACAAATAATATCCCAGACGCATATTATTATGAACTGTATTTAAGTCACTTTATCTGGGAAACGGAAAGGGTTGCTTATTGATAAACACCCGGTATACAGAGTGGAATTCTGTACTAAAGTAATTTAAAAATAACTATTACAAAATAGTAAAAGCTTTAAAATTTTGAAATTTGATCATTTTTTTGTTGCATACCATAAACTATCAAAGATAACTATCAAGATTCTCTATTTTATTAGTGATTTTTTTATTAATTTTTTGAAGGTTTTATCAGACACTCTCCGCTTATTTTCAATCATTTTAGATCTTTATGGTGGGCGATTCGAAGGATTAAAATCGGATTAGTCGAGTGCAATCGTCCGTGCCGAGGCTATTGTCGCGCGTAAACGAGGCGACCGGCGTCCGATTTATTATTTCGAGTATTTCGCTTCGATTCGTACGGCGACTTGGCGCGTATGAATACGAATAGCCGTAATTTTTCCTCGCAATTACCAAATGAAAATGACTGCCTTAGGTAACGGTACATGCGGGGCGCGACGATTTTGCATTGTACAGAAGTGTCGAAATTCGCTTTTAATTGAGCGGAAATTTATTCGTATTTTCTATTAGGGGACAAATACAGTTAGTGTTAGTGGAAGATTATGTCGAACTGTAGATAAATTTTAAGGATTTTGTGTAATTTTGAGGAGATTTGTTCGGTTCATAAATCACTTTCTTTTACATACTTGTGAATGACTCTCTTTGATAGTTAATTGATTCTTATGCAGGTAATTGACTCTCGTGGTTAAGTAAATGGTTCTCTTAGTTTTTTTAATTGACTCTTATGCAGATAATTGGACTTTCTGGAGTAGACAACTGAGTCTCCTGAGGACCAAATTACACTCTTTTAAGCATATAACGTGATTGATAAAGCATTTAAAAAGGGTAGATAATATGTTATTAAACTTTAATGATGCATGTCTTGAGTCTTAATCATCGCTAGATATTTTTTTAGTATTTTTAGTAGTTTCTAAATAAAATATGTAAAACTAATTTGGATTAAAAAGTAAAGTAAATTACAGGAAAAGTGCATTGTTTTTTTGTCCTGCTGACTTTTAAATCGACCTTCAAGTTTATCGTACTTGCAATACAAAAGGAAATAGATAATTATTGGTTATGCGGGTAAATTGAATGAAAAAACGTAAATAAATAGCCGAAGTCACGATAAGTTGATTTAAAATGAAAATTGATTTAAAAAAAAGCGCATCGATTCTAAAATTATAACTATAATTAAAACGAAGTTACCGATTTTTTTCCGAACCAGGTATACGCCGGAAAAAAATGGTAATGTCGTGTTTTCGATCCGGTACAGGTGCGAGCGAAAGAGCGCTAATTCGAACGAGCTGTTTTGTTATTCTACGAGTCTACAAAACTTATAATAAACCTACATTTTATGTAAATTAATACCCTTTAGGGCACGAATTTATACGCACACAATACGTTATTACCGCAATCGCATTAGGTATATTATGCCGGCGAATGCACTGCATTTTCAAACTAATCTGTTTCTTTTTTGTATATTAAAACACTATACCTACATACGAATTAAATTGGTTGGTTTTATTTTATTAAATGGAATTGTACGATTTTAATAAATGAACAGTGAACCACCCTGTAAGAATTTGCTATAGAGGGTGTAACTGTCATTATTTTTTGTAGCTTAAAGTATCCTCTAAGTTAGTATCCTCCTTAAAGTTTAAGTAAGATATAGAGTGTACCAAAATTATGAACATCCCTTTTTTCTTATAAACTCCTCTTCTTTGGAAAATTCATCAATCATTCTAAAACAACGGGACACCCTGTACATAAAGATTATTTTTTGGCTAAAATAGCCATTCGTTGAATAAACTAACCATACATTTCCTCATTCATATGTAACGTTTAAACGGGGCGCGGATAAACTGCACCGCAATCGACAAAATTAATCCGGAGAAACGATGTGTTTTGCGAAATAGATGGTTTCCACAACGCCCCCGTTTCTATTTCGCACGTTATGCACACACATGCGTTCTCTAAGTAGGCTAGGTTAGTTATGATTAGTATATTTTTCGATGACGGAGTGCCCGTCGCGTTCTGGATGTTTTTCTCGATCTAATAATAGTTTTATTCGTCTTGCGGAGCGTGTAAATAACGGTCCGATTTGAAGATTGCGATATCTCGTAATAGATATTCATAAGCAGAAGAAAAAAACTTCCTCGCGGAAATGAAGCAATCATACGCTATTTCGTCATTAGGAATAAAATTCTCGGAGTTGAAAAACACACGTTACTCCAGCGGCACGAAAGGAAACGTTAATTGATATTTGCATTTTCATCTTTTATTACCTTTGCGCTTTCGAGGAACGGCGTTCAGGGTCGTGTACTCCGATATATTAACCATATTCTCGTTGAATATTGCTGGGTTTTTTTCGATCGCTCGCGAATCGGGTTTCGATCTACCCAAGCGGATGATCGGATTAAAAATCGCCCGATTTGAACAGTTCGCTCGGTAATTTCGCTCGGTAATACGAAAAACGAAATCCCTTTTGCTCGGAACGGATTCGGCCCTGCAGAGATCGCCTTCGGTCTCTGGTCCTGATCGCCTTCTCTCGTCTTCTGGCTTCCTTTGATAAATTACGAACTATCCGAGATTCCTCGAAATTTGTGTCATTAATTTTAAAAAGTCCGTTCGTTCTTAGAATTGCGAGTCTCGTACGAGATTTGCCAAAATTTTTACAAGATATGGTCACTTCATTATGCGTTTTATGTTTCCGTTTCGGCCAACATTCAGACGGTATTTTTATCAACTCAAAACATGTAGGCAGGCCCATCAAATTTTCTAGAATTTATTCGATAAAATTAGTTTTTTTTTTCACTCCAGTTCAATACTATTTTACCCTATTCATCCATCCATAATTTCACCAAGAATTAATTATGCATTAGTTACTACATGAATTATTTAAATCGAAATGCTCTTATAAATACATTATTAATATCCCAACTTTAATCAATTTTATACGAATATACACTATGTCTCAAAAATATTCAGGTATTCTTTTTGGAACACCCTGTATATACGTATAACCTCGCAACATCTAATAGAAAAATTCTTCTGTATGATTTAGTCCCAATACCTTGGGATTCTTACGAAACGATCCTGTGGGGGGAAAAAATAGAAAAGCGGGCGAGTTAACCCAATTTGACCGCTTCATTTAGCGAAATAAAAGTCGCCGAATAAATTGGACAGCGCGCCAACTTCAAACGGCTCTCTCTCCTCGACTTCAAAGCGCAATTCTAAATGACGTCGTTAAGTCGAGCCCATAGAAAATTCGCTATTAGGTGTAGATATACGTATAGAGAAAAAATAATAACGCTGCGCGCCGGTCGAATGGAAAATTAGCGATGTTAATTTGTGTTTAAGGCGCTTATTGCTCCTATTTATTTTAGAAGATAAGAAAAAGTGTTGCTGAGGATATTCGAGAGTTAATATACGAATTAAAAAAAATTGAATCAATGCGTTAAAAGGACTCTCAAAAAGGTATTATACTGCTCAGAAAAATATTGGGACACCCAGTATGAGGTAAAATATCTTTCTCTCTACTTTTATAATCCATTATTTTGGTTATAGATGCATTTTTTAAACAAAATTCTCCCTGCATTTTAAACAGGTTTGAGTATTTATTTGTGAAAGTTTTCCTTCTATTATTATCCGCGGATTTGCAAGAATTTTTTAATTCGAGCGCTTCGCTTAGCAACCCATCTGTTATAGCGAACAATCTAAACTGAATTAATTATATTCACCGATATTTACGCGTCTAGTACGAATATTACCCGAATAGTTTTTACTACATTTAATTAAACAATACATCAACCCGCCGTATTAATGCGAGAACGTACACGTCCAATTATAATTGCATTAAATTACAACTATTCCGGAATTATGATAGATATACCTTTGTTTAATATTATTCATTTGTATATCAACAATTCATTCAACTATGTATGTTTGCATGATTTGCAGTTAATTAGAGGTAATAAAAAAATCGCTTTTTGCGTTCAACGGTTGATAAACAGAATTTTTTTATCGTTAAAAATTCCAACTTGTAATGAATACCTGCATAAAAATAATGGGATTTTATACGGTTTTCGAGTCAATTTTTAGGCCTTTTACAATTCATTGAATTTCAATTCGATTTACCGATGACGAAATGTTTAATTTGAATTAGATTAACGTTAGATAAGAGGTGGAATTTGAGAATTTACAGGAATCGCCTGGTGCTGGTACGGATTGCACCGTCATTGAAACCTCAAGTATTGAACGTTCATTCCGAAACAACCGATCGTAATGTTCTTGTTTGTCCATTGTTGACCTTGTTTAGTGTTTTTGGCAAGTAAGGTTGTTTCTTCGAATTTTAAGGGGGCTTATCTTCGCCAGACACCAACCACTGCACCACTGCCAGCGACGTACCCGAGCGGTTTTATCTCCTTGTTTTCGCTATTTACATTCCAAATAAAAGGCCACTTATAAAAAAACATACCTACACGTTTTAGAATAAATTAATAATCTAAGGTCCCTCGCATTCTTTTTGACTGAGTAACCGTACTAGCAAAGGTCGTATATTTGCATTAAAGGAACGTGAAATTGTTATGGGCTAGTAAAGGGCTGATATTGCATTGAAAAAAGGAGTGTTATAGGATCGTCGAATTTCTAAATAATATGATTAAAAATAGATCAATAATAGTAGGTATTTTATTATTAGCATCATGTTGCTAAGTTGCTATTAATTTCGTAGACCACAAGGTAGATGAAATAATGTAAATCACGCAAATTGAATTAGTTTTCTCAAGTTAATGAGATTGTTTCTACGAGAAAACTTGAAAGTTATACAATATTCTCGTTTTAGATATAATAATAAGTATGTATTTAATAAGTATTAGTTTAACACGAGCACCGCCACTGCCAGCTCGAAGAAGACGGTAGCCGATTTCGTTTTCTTTTACTTCAGCCTCCTCTTCCTTTGGCGTTTTTTGCGTTTATTTTGGCGTTCATTTTCATCTCGATTTTTATTTTTTCCCTCCGCCACCCCGTCGGCCATCGGCGAGGCTCGCGCGCGGCGAAGAAACCGCCGGAAAAAACGACCAAAATAATACAAACAAACGTCCAATTCGCCCATTGCCCAGCGAGAGCGCCCAGACTCATTACCGGATCACAATTATAGAGGCGAGGAGGGCGCCTTCGGTGATGCTGCCGGTTGCTGCTGGACGCTCATCCGCCATGGGTCCGGTCGAAATGCGAGAGGATTAAAAAAATCGACGGGTTTCACCTGTTGTTTATACAGGATGTCCCGACCTTATCGATTTATTAAATAATATTTACCGAATAATATCGAAGCAATTATAGTTGCTACAAATCCAATAACGATATCGATATAAATCGTCTCTATTATCGTTTATTACTTATTAGCGAATCGGATTACTTGCAAGCAGATGTGTATGTACAGGGTGTCGCTTATAATTTAATCGGAATTTTGTTGTGTTGTTTTTATTTTTATTTTTTTTTTTCAAATGACATTTATTTTGTAACAGTTTATAAATAGATTTTTATGGAAAATTCTTGGGGAAGTACCGTGCGTTTCGAATAAATAAGAATCGTTATGTCGCTGGGATTTTTTGTCAATATAATTTCAAAAATACAAATGTTGGACTTTAAAAAAATTAAAAAACGAGTAGATTAATAGCCAAAAAAAATGGCTCGTTTCGGGATTAAAAAAATAATTGAAGCTTACCTCGCATTTTCGAATTTCCTGGTCCGGTACTCCCCGAAAACCACGACACGGCCGAGCGGCTAACGGGACGATAATTTTTTTTTTAACTCAGCCGGAGCGACGGGGAAAAAAAGGCACACGGAACGTCGCCGGAGAGTGTTTTGATTCGGTGCGTCGCACGTTGTCCGGTCGCGGTCGCGAATCGTCTGTGCGGTATACCCCAGGAAGCGACGACACCTCGACACCGGCCACCATTCGACTGGTTCGAACTGAAAGTGCGTCCGACGTGCTTTTGCTTTTTGCCATTTGCCAGGCTGCGGCTGCACGTCCAAAAAACCTAGAGGTGGTGCCCGCCCCGGTAACGGTTACCGCGGACGCGGCGCCCCGCGGAGCCGGCTCGATATTCGAAAAATCCGTCGATACCGGATGGTGATCGCATTCGGAAAATTCGGAAAATTATTATTGGAAAAATGATTGTATTTGCTAAAAATGTTTGCGACATTGTGAGGACATTGCAAGGCTTGCTATGATTGTAAATCACACAAGTGACAATTAAATATCATTATACAGAAAAATTTTGGAAATTCTTCAATAAATTGTAAAATATACTGGGTGTCCTAAATATATAAGAGAGGCTCCACAACAAGCATAAGTATGAAAACAAAGTGTTTTCATACCATAATGTGATCAGACCTATCAAAAGAATCGCCCTTTCTCAGGGTCTTTCCATTGCAGGCGCTCTTTCCCAGACCAAGATATAACCTTTTCAATTTTCTGCTGTAGCTGAAATTATTTTTTTTAAATAAATCCCCAATACATTATTTAATATAATACAGGATGTCCCGTACGTTTTTTAACCCAACTAACTTACAGCCATTAATACAGCCAACTTTTGAATTATCGATGATTTTAATTAATTCTGATAGTCTAGTGATCACTGGGCACCTACATGAGTTTATTTTTTAGTGTTTTTCATCAAAACGACAAAGAATTTGTCTGTAAAATCTGTAACATTTTAAAGGAGCATCATCCCTGATAAACCCTTTAAAATACATTCGTCTCTTCTTGCTATAACATAATTCATCTCTTCTTGCTATCGATTAATGCTCTTGTACACTCATAATGTACACCAAATTTAATTGTCTAACGTTTGACTATTACTGAGATATTATGTTTTTTTAATTTGTAACTCCACTCTAAAATCCTATAACATATCTCAGGAATGTAACGTTGTATTAAAGTTAGGGGCCCTTCTACACGCCTGCCCTGGGTCAGTTCTTATGCGGGAAACCCTGTATAGAAAGGAGTGGTTCATTTTTGTTCACATTTACTTTTTTGTTCGATTATCTTCAAGAGTATCTTCTGTACCAATAATACAAGAGATAAGAAATTTATTTAACCATACTATTTTGTGGCTGACATATTGAACTTTCCAAATCATTACAGCTTTTTTTACTAATTAAAGTGTCAAATGTCAAATGGCAAAATGAAGGATTATTGTTTTGCCATGTTTCCTCTACTAAACTGAGCAATGTTTATCAAATATATGTGATAAAAAATTCTTAATAAGAACCCATTATCCACACATAAATATAATATGGCAGTTTCCTCCAGAAACCTCTATTTAACAAATAGTAGGATATTAAACAAAATTGAGAAAATCGTATGAAGAAATGATTACAAATCGATAAGAATCGATTAAAAAATCGATAAAAAATGGCCGATTGTCGATGAATACATCGGATCTATGGTCGCGACGACCAGCACAAGGAAGCAGGAACGGCGCGGAAAAACGAAGAAGGCGAAAAAATTTTCGTCGCGGCCGAAGAAGTTAATATGTATCCACGTCGTTTCGTCACAATTCACAACCGTCTCGGCGACCAGACGAGCAGGTGCACTCACCTTTCCTGCGGTGCTCCGCTTCATCCGTTTCTTGTTTACGTCGTCGTCGTCGTTTTTTTCCTATTCCTTCTTCTTCGATACGCGCAAGGATTGAATTCAATGAGAAAAATACGCGCGTACGCTTAACGGTGACGTAATTATTGAAATTTATTGGTTCGCTCGGATGCCGAGCAAATGGTGGAGCTGCTGATGGAGATGCCAGTTTTAGGTGTAGACGAAGAATGCCTGGTACTCTTACCGGGGTTATTTTTTGTGTTGATTTGAGCGTATTAATGTTTTCACTCACCTTATTAAGCCTGTGATGTCTGGATGGTAATAACATTTTGCTGGAACGACATTTTCCAAGCAATTATCATCTTCTTGCGGCATTCTAGGAAGCTTTCTTGATGGTCTTGAACAGCCTACTAAAAAAATTTAAATATTCAAAAATGTCAAAGTCAAATGTCAAACTCAAAAAAATGTTTTCGGTCTCGAAATTGCGAACTACGCAACTAGAACATTTATAATTTATTAATAATCAAAAAAAATAGGAATTTAATCGACTCAACTTTTAAATTAAATTAGCTTAATAGGAGGCTATATAAATAGAGAAATCATCCTATTTAATTCCTCCTATTTAATTAGTAGGATTCCTAATTAAATATCTAAAATCGATCGGTTATTAATAAAGTTGATCGCGACTTATTTTAACAAGTTGGCCATGCACTGTCAAAGAATTTGACAAGCGTAAAATTAATTCTATTTTTAATATTTTCCAATTACCATTACCAAGAAATTTCTACAACATACAGAATACACACTTAAAAGGTTCATTTCATCGAATATTTAAAAACGAAATTACTAATAATAATGCTTTTTAGGCTATTTGAAATGAATATTTGGACCTTCTATTAAGCGGCCATTTTCAGCTAACAGCCATTCGAATTGATGGCATGCAAATAGACCGTATATTTTCCTCTACGATCTCCACACCGGCACCGGTGCAGCATTAATTCGCTATTAAGCATTCGCCGTTTCCTGGTGGTTTGAACGTCGGGATTAAAAACGGGTAAAAAAAGGTTGGTAGAAAAGTGCAATTCCGCCGGTCGAAAGTAGATCAACTATATCCGTCACTAATAGGCAGTTCACGAGCATTACCTCTATCTATCTTCCTAACGTTTTTACTTTGGTTTATTTTCGACATCTCGACAGAGAACTGAGAATTAAGAGAGCTGAACGGAGATTTCCGCCGGATATACAGGTGTCTTTCTTTTTTATTTGTTTTTATTAGTCCACAATGAGAGACTGTTTATTCCGCAATGGATGTTGTAATAACAACGCGATTTCGCTTGAGCTAGGTCAAGAGGGAATTCGACGGTTGGGAGAAAATGCTAGGCACTTCTTGCATTATTTGCTTGGTTTCCGCTAAATATGTTTTGGTATGTATACAATTTATTGTCAAGTAGAAGGAAATTTACCGGTTTGGGAGATGATTTGAGGTGATTTAAATGCATTAAATTAGTCGAAAAGATAGCATGAGAGGCAACTAATAGGCAACTAATAGGCAACTAATAGGCAACTATAAATAGGCAACTAATAGGTTTGAAGACATATTCAAATGATCAAAGTTAAATAAAAAACTCTCTTGAAATCACGACAAAATTGATTAAAATTGTTTTAATCAATGAATTCATAAAATTACTTGAACCTTGTAAATCAAGATGTTCTTAAAGAAATATTTTTCCCAAAATTGTAAGAAAGTATAGAGAATATTTTAAACAAAGACAAGTGCAATTTTTAAAGGTTGTTCCATACACCATAAGCTATAGTTAATTATATTTCTCAGTATTCTTTCAAAATTTCGCCTACTACATTATAACATCTTTTATTTTGTATGTTATTATATTGGCTGCATTGTAACCGAAGTATGAAAGGAACTTTTAAAAAATCCACCCCGATTGAACGCGTCCGTTGAACGGAGGATTTTCCGAGTCAGCTATTAACGAAAATGAAATAAAAAAAAACTTATTTCGCACAACGTTAACTATCGCCGCATAAAAAACCGTATATTCGATCGGAAGTGTATAATCCCATAAAGAAAGCAGCAATGTAATAATATATCGGCATCGGCAGACCATAATGCACCTTTTATAAGTGGTATAACGACGCCAATATACTTCCAGAGGGCAACACAATGGGCGCATAGAGCGTCGTGACGCCTTGATGTATGAAGTCTAGCTAAGTTTATTAACTAGTCAAAGCCAGACGGCAATCAACAATCACCGCACAGAGGTGTCACTCACTCTGTTTATCCGCAGGATAAAAATGCCGGGGTTTTTTCCGCTCTATTCGATATTGACTATAAAGCGTCGTGACGCCTCTTTAATTTCGACGCCTCGACCGTTTTTAATACAAATTAAATTCACACCGAGTAGACATTAGAATAAAAAAGCGTTTTAACTTTCCAGTATAATTTGATTTTTCAAATTTTATATACAATCATACAGAAATAGCAAGGTACATAAACTGCGCAACTTTCACGTTTTTTTTATAAAACATTGCACATCTTACAAGCTATTGTAAACAAAATAATGAAGCTGTAGGAAGAAATTAATATTTTAATTAAAATAAATTGATTGGCGGTCTATCCCTGAGCGGGCTCCACTGCGAATGCACTCTGCTCAATACAGTCTACAGTCTACACTGCAACAATGTCTAACCTTTCCTTTAGCCTTGCATTTTGCTCTTTTTCCGCAATCAATCTTCATGTACGCGGGACTCTTTAACCGAACGGTGGTCGTCGTTGCGGTTTTGAGCCAAGAGAAATTGAGATATTGAGAAATTGCGCGCTTTACTCGAATGGAGGACAGGACACCCGAGTTTGACGGATGGTGTTCGCATTGTGGAGCGTTTTCCTCGGCGAAATTCGCACTTTTTGCCGGCTCAGACGGAGAGCGATTTTTGTGCATTTTAGAGGAAAGGTTGTTGTATTGCGAAGGTTTCGTATCTTGGTTTTTTCTACTTCGTTTGATCGCTTCTTTACGCTTTATTTTAGTCATATTTTTCGTTTTATACGCCTTTTTTTGATTTTATATAAGAAGGGTAGATTATAAGTGCTATTTTGTTTGCAACATCAGTTGAACAAAGAAGAATGATCGTTAATATAATAGCGGTTAGACTGTTAGAGTGCGAGAATTGCAATCCCACAATATCACTTTTCCTTTATATGAGACTAATGGAAGTAGTCTTTGTTGCAGCTATGGGACAATATTGCATACAAATTTGTACTTATATGTATATTTAGGAGGAAGAAAGTAAAGGGAGGAGTATCATGGATGAACAAGAAACAATATTTCCTATAGAATGCTATAGAATGTGGCTAAACCATATAATAATCGATTTCTATTGTTATTTGGTGTGTAATTTTTTAAAAGATTCATCATAGAAATGATACTTGTGATTATCCATAGGAATTATTCTGTATGATAAATCACAGAGTAGGAACCTCAATCATTAGAAAATATAATGAACCAACTCATTCTGCGATAATTCATCACAAATTAACTCTCTCAAGAAATAAAAAAAGGACTTTTGTATGTCCTTTGTAAATAATTATATATTTTCTAAATACTATAACCAATTTATCAATGATCCTCAATTATCCTGTAATCAAATATCAACAGATCTTACCTTAATAATCTTAATAATTTCTACATTGAGTGATTTGATAGTGGGAGGAAGTTCTTTGTGACTGTACTTATGGTATTACAAATTCCAAACCATATAGAATGTTTAATAAATAAATAGCAAAACATTTTGAACGAATAAATTCCAATCCTTAATAAAATAATGTGATGAATAATGAAACAACATCCAAAGTATTTTCTAAATTTTTATTTAATAACAAACATTTATAAACTTATAAAATATTAATTGTTTCTGTCCAACCAATATTTTTGCTTTTACTACGAGTACTTAAAAAATATCCTACGAATTCGTGAATTCTTCGCTTTCTTGTTTCTGTTTCGCGGCTTTTTCGAGTTCCAAGAGACTAAGAGCGAATTCCTCGTTTCTTCTATGTTTTCTTCTTATGAAGTAAGGATTAATAAACATAGTTGTAAAACCTATACCGGAGATCAGGAATCCGACTACAGCGACACCCAACCATATGGGTTTCCCGCCTTGTTTCTTAGCAAACTCTTGAAAAGACATTTAGAATTATTCGGAATTGTCTTTATTTCTCGTCAACCTTCTCCGCACTTCGTGAGGCTTCCAGTTGTTTCTTAAAAGTATCACTGTTTACCATCGGTCTCCAAATGTAAATGCCGGATAGCACGCCGAGAAATGTTCCAACAACGATTTGAGAAATTGTTAGTGAACGAGGTTTTCTTATCCTTAATTTCATTACATTTGAAATGTTTGAAACTAAATTTAATTTTTGGTAGTGAGGTTATGTTTTTATTATGCAATTTACTGAACTGAATAACAGAGATGTCGGAGGTCGGAGGCTACAGTGCAGCAGAAGTTGATGTTCTTGACAACTTGACAACTTCTTTTTATTATGTCACAAAACACAAAACTAAACATTCTTTTCCATATATGGTCTAGTACTTGAGCTATACAGTAGCACCATTTAAATTGTAAAATATTATAAATGAATAATTTAATCATGTTAATAACATATACTTTTAATAAAAGCTACGATGTTTCCTTCTGCTTTTATTTGCTAGAATTATAACATTATAAAAAAAGAAGAAAAACAAAAAATATTTGTAGGTTATATATTCCATGGTTATTTATGTCATTTTTCGATTATGTTGTGAATATGATTTTCATTGGTAAATGTTCATAAATTTCGCATTTTTTACTATTGCAACTAGTCCTTTAGTTATCGAGAAATGGCATCGAAAGATAAAAGCTTAAAGGACGCTCTGAAAGAAATATTCAAACGAAACAAAAGCGGCACAAGTAAGTAGCTTTTTTTATGTGAAGATAAAAAAAACTGTATAATAATGTTTTTATGTTGTTGCTTAGGTAGTTTCGGCAATCGAAGCGAAATTGTACATATTAGCGAAGAGGTACTTCGAGATTTGAACAAAGAATCTCCCCTAAACACTAGAGTAAGGGTGCTGAAGGAACTTTGCGTGAAAGTCACCGAAGGTAAATTGGAAAATGTAAGTACACGTTTATCCTATCGAAAATGATCGAAATTAAGCAACCTTCAATATTCCAGACCATAGTAGAAAAATTATGGAAAGGAGTAGACGATTTATTCGGCCCCCAATACCCCACGGAAGTGCGCCACTTGGCCTTCTACTTTCTGCAATGTCTCCTGAGAGGCCAATCGAACATAAGCGAAATAATGAGAGCCATCTTCTTCCATTTCATCACGAATCACAATCTACCCGAGGACACTGGACAGCGATTCGATTTGCTCAACATACTCACCTCCAACGGACGGACGTTGTTGCATTTCGAAGAAAAAGTCGGTAGATTTCTGCTAAACTGGATCCCGGAAATTTCGCAAGCCGGCAAAATCGAAGAGTATCTGAGCATGTTGGATAATTTAGTGAGATACAACGCTGCTTATTTAGACGATGAAGTCATCTCTGGTTTTATTCAGTAAGTTATTAACAACAAAACGTATTTAAGTACATATATAATAATTGACAACTTTTTGCAGACATATATGTGTGTTATGTTGTGGTTTAAACACTAAAACCGTTAAATCGTGTTTAGAAATTATGTCTTCTATAGTAGCCTACAGTAACATGCCTCCTGAATCGTTACCCAAGTTTATAGGCGCCCTATGCCGAACTGTAGTTATCGAAGAGTACTGCACTATGAGTTGGACTGTGAGTTACATCATTTTGTACGTTACAAATTTACAATTCATTTTTTTATTTGCTTTAGGTGATGAAAAAATTGTTGGGTACCCATATGGGACACTCGTCTATATTCACCATGTGCAGAATTCTACAAGAGCCCGATTTGAGGTCCGATACTGAGCTTCTAAGGGGCGCTGTGTTTTACACTCACATGGCTTTGTGGAGTTCCTCACCATTGACTAACTTGCATTGTCCACCGAGCTCGGTTTTACCTTCTTTTCTACAGGTATAACTCTATAAAGATTTTATTAATCAATTAATAGGCCGTCAAAAAGATGCACAATCTTTTGCTTCAAAAAATGAAGGAATTGCTTCAAGGTATAAGAAAAAAGAGAAGAAAAGAGGTCCTCCTTCGAGGACCCTGCTGTTGCTTTAAAAAATCTTTGTATAAGGTTTTAGAATCTTTTCTTATTTTTTGCCTCTACCTTTTACTTCAAAGCAAATGCTTCATTTTTATAAATATGGACTATTGTATAATTCTATTTTAGGCAGTTAAATGTAATCAAGCAGCTGTTGCTTTCGAAGTTGTAGCCGGATTGAAACAATTAATCCAGCGTCACGGGACGGAACTACAGGACCCCGCCTGGTCAATATTACTACAGATTTTATTCCACATAATAACTAACATCGGTAGTTAATTATCAATTTACTATTGTTCGTTTATTGTAAACATTAACGGATTTACAGATCTCTCGTCTTCGCTAGACGTGAACAAATTGGTAGCTGCATCCATTCACGATACTCTCAATCTGATCGAGCATCTGATGAAAACCGATTGCTTCTACGGCTCCGTCAAGCAATTCTACGATATCATCGAGGAGTGCTCTTCAGTGAGGCCGGACAGCTCGATATTGGGCCTCATAAACTACCAAGCTCGGAGTATCGTTCCCATCGAGCATCTCTGGTTGACTAATCTCAATAACATGCTGGCGAAGTACTTCAAACCAGATGTTAGGAGCAGCGTGAGGCTGAGAGTTCTGGAGATTTTGAATCATGTAATTAAATTGAATAGGTATGTAATGTTGTTGCGCTTAATGCGGTGAGTTGTAATTTGAATGAATTATAGGAGATTATATGAAGATGAACTAATAGACAGGATAGTTGTACCTCATATGGGGAGTATCGTGCAATGTACAGATGTTACAGTGAGATCTTCGGTAGCTTCATTGTTAATTGACTTGTGCCTTGATTGTGAATCTAAAAAATGTCTTGATCTGCTCGATATATTAGAAAAGGTATGTTCCATAATTGCGTTACATTAAATTATAACTAAAATAATTTTCTTAGATGTTACTTAGACCATTCGAATCTCACCCGCCCGACACTATTCCTCGACCGGAACTCGAACACAGCGACTTAAAGTGCCTGGTCGAAGGCCTAATAAAAGTGTTTATCATCAAAATTCACAAACTACCATCGATGCACGCGGTAAAAATTCACAAAATGCTGGTAACTTTCTTGGAGCTGCACTATAAGCAGCAGAAGATCCTCGAAAGCGTACCAATCGTCAGAAAAATGGTAACGAATCGAATTCGAATGTGTAAACATGTTTATTCGATGTTATTTTCAGATTTTGGAGTGTTTGCTAAAGTTACGCGCGGACGCAAGATACCATTTAGGTTACCTGAGCGGGAACAAAATCAGATTCAGTCCCTATTTGTGCGTGGTTTACAAAACCACAGATCGAGGCAACTTGGGATCTCCCGTGCCCCAATCGCCCGCACCCGTACAAAGATTACCGGTGACAGTAACCCAATTATCGCTCAAAAGAGCTTTCAACGTATTCACAACGTGCCTATCAATGGAGAAAGGTCTACTTTTTTACCAACAATTTGTATTACTATTAATTCGTGTATGTTTTAGATTGGGAAGTATTGCATTTAGTGCTAGTTGAATTGACTAAAGGTTTGCAAAACAAATCTTTAATACTCTCGAAACATGGAAACAGCGACCTCGACGTTCTCGTAGACGTTCTTTGTTCAATGGTGACCTATTCTCATCATCGAAAGCATCTGAATATTAATGAAAGAGATATTTTCAGGTCGTCGATAAGACATACAATCTACCGGACTCTCTGAACATAACGATACCTCGATCCGATTTTTACGCCATCGTTTTGTTGGTCATCGTGAATTTGGCGTCGTACCACAGCTACCTCGATCAAATCCACCAACAGAAGATGATTCGATGCATCATAAAGTGCCCCAATTCGTTGGGGCCCCGAAGCGCCAAGCACAGCATATCCGCGCTGACCATATGCGGCGTCGAAATGAAGGAGGCCATGGTGAAGATGCTGCCCGAAGTGCTGCTCAGCCTGTCCAAAATCTCCGCCACCATACACATCGCCGTACCGGTGCTGGAGTTTTTATCGAGTAAATCATCTCGTACTATTGTAGATTGCTTCGAGTATTGCTCAATCTAATTGTTGCACTATATAAGACGCTAGAGCAATCCTCGAATACTTCTAGTGCTCTCGATTGGATTGTAAGAAATGTTTTAATTTCCAGCGTTGAGTCAACTGCCTACGTTGTACGCGAATTTCGTAGCCGAGCAGTACATGTCCATTTTCGCCATAGCCCTGCCGTACACGAATCCTTTCAAGTACGACCATTACACGGTGTCGCTGGCGCACCACGTCATCGCCGTGTGGTTCCTGAAATGTCGCTTGACGTTTAGGAAGGATTTCGTGCGATTCATCACGAAGGGCCTGCAGACGAACCTGTTGCCGTTCGAAGAGGGCGTGTTCCATCAGAACCTGAGCGATCTGAACCAGGACAGTTCGGACAGGAAGCGGAGCTCAAGTCTGACGGAGCAGGGCTCGCGCAAGCGATCGGCCACCATGTCGTCTGTGCGCGACAAATCGATGGGGCAAAAACCGGGCGAGAAGACGACGACATTCTACCAAGAACTGACCGAGACTTGTATCGATTTGATGGCGCGATACGCTTATTCGCCGTGCAGCGCGCTGCCTAGAAGGTAAAACTTAAACCATCAAATTCTTCCAAGCATCGCGTGCGTTCTTGTTTCAGGCTGCCTGTTGCCGATTTCCTAATGACCGGAGGCCAAAGTATGTGCTGGTTCATCGGTAACAAACTGATAACCATAACGACGAGCGGCTGCTCGAAGAGGATACTCAAAAACGGATTATGCGATAAGTGCCTGGCTATTTGCAGTTGCCAGAACGAAGGCAGAAAGACGAAGTCGAGTAGAAGCGGTAGTAACGAAACGGAGGATTTGGATTGGATATCCAGGCAAAATTCCAACGAGAAATCCAACACGAACACCTCCGTTAGTTCGCCGACCGAGGACGGCAAGAAATTGAGCGATAAATTGGAGATCGTTTCGAATAAATTGCAACAAATCGCCGTCAACGTCAAGCAGGATAAGGAGAGTTGTAATTGTTGGTGTACCGGTTGGGCGGAGATTTACATTAGAAGACCCACGGGTGACATGTCGTGGGTGATGAGAATCCAGAACAACATCAATTTCACCGAGGAAATATTCGAATTTCCCTTAAACGAACTCTCTACTCTCTTCAGACCTTCTTTGGATCCCGAAGAAACCGGCGCAAACGAACGACCTCCATTGAAAAGGCAATACTCCGAAGATAACCAAGAGGAAGACAAAGCGACCGGATCAAACGCAAGTTTAACAGGTTCGCATTACTTTTTACGCCATTTTAGACGAGTGTTATTTGTAACTGGATAATTCTCTGCGCTAGGTTCTCCTAAAAACTCGCCGTCCAGGCAAGATTCCAAAGACAGCGTCGAAGGCGAATCGGATTACATCTACGACGACGGCACGCGATCGCGGAACCCCGTGCGCCGGTCGAACTCCAGCCCGGAGATGTCGGCCAGCTGGAAGAACCCCTTCTGCCACCAGAAGATCGCCTCCGAAGACAGCAAGAAGAACGCCGAAGACGACGGCGGCAAGAAGAACAAGGGCTACCAGAAGGACATGCGGGTGAGCTGCGAAGCCATACCGGAGGAAATAGCCGGCTCCGGTACGACGCCGCCATCGGGCGATTCGCTCCCGGTGGCCGGGAAACCGGACCCGGCCAGCGCCGTGTTCAGCACCTCGCACCACCCGTCTCTCATGAGCTGCCACAGCTATCCCGGCTCGTCGCCGCCCAAGGAAAGCGGGATCTCCGCGAAACCGTACCAAACGGTACCGCCCACGCCTAACATACAGACCTCCAGCCAACAGCCGGAGTTCATCAGGCGACCCACTAATCTACCTAATTTGACCAATTTGGTACCGTTGAGCGCCAAACCGCCGCAGAGCCCCACGCAAACTTCGCCTAGGTTCTCCAGGCACGCTCACTCCACCGGCGCCAGTAGAGACAAAGGAGACAGCGCAGGTATATTATTTCACCGAATACATCTACTTTAAATCGATATATTATCGGCGTTGTTGCAGGTTGGGAGATCCAGAAGAGCTCGTCGGCGTCGATAATCGAACGCAACGTATCGGGCAACCTGAACTGGGCGCGCGAGCGCGCCAAAGAGCGAAAGAACAGCGGCAGCGTCGAGCGATTGAGCACGCTCGACGCGAACCAGGCGCAGATGCGCGACCGCGTCCACACCATATCGGTGTCCAGTCCGGCGACGAGGATATCGCGGTCGGACAGCGCGCCGGCGCCGCCGTCGAAGGGTAACAACAAGCAGCCGAAGGAGCCGCCGAAGAGCGGCGTCAATCCGAGCTTCGTGTTCCTGCAGCTGTTCCACGCGAACATATTCAACACGAAGATCGAGAAGCCGGTGTTGGTGAAGATGACCGATCCCATACAGAGGGCGATGAAGATTTTGGATCACATACATCCGTTCGAGACGCATTCGATCGGGGTGATATACGTGAAGGAGGGACAGGTGGATTCGGAGGTGGAGATTTTCAAGAATCGATTCGGTTCGTTGAGGTACATCGAATTTTTGCAGCAAATCGGGACGCTCGTGAAGTTGACCGATCTAGATCCACAAGTAAGTTAAATTAACAAATCTGTGAATAGAAAATGAATAATGAGAATAAAGTTATCATGAAAATAGAGTTATCAATACCGCCAGGTTCCTCTCGTTGAACTCTAAGGAGGTAGAATATAACAATAGAATACCATTAAAGCAATAAACAACTACTTTCAACAGTAATAAAAGCTTAAAATATACTGCTCCACAAAAGTTAAGGAAGTTCACAAATATTGAGATTAATTTAAAAATTGCAGGTTTTTTGATCGCCAAATTTAGTATGAGTTGTAGAGGAAGGGGCAACAAATCCACTCAGATATGAGAGGAAACATTTAATTTCGCATATTTGAAAATTTGGTGATCAGTCTGTAACTTAAAATAATCACAAAATTTGCGAACTTCTTTAACTTTTGTGGAGCAGTTTACTTCTATTTTAGCTTAAAGCATCTATCCACTGAAATTTATTTCATATAGCATATCTTAGTTAATGTTTATGTTTGCAGAAATTCTATCTGGGAGGGCTCGATCATCACGGCAACGACGGGAAGTTCGCTTACCTTTGGCAAGACGATATCATTCGGGTGATGTTCCACGTAGCCACCATGATGCCTAATCAAAAGAACGATCCGAATTGCAACGATAAAAAGAGGCATATAGGTAACAATTTCGTTACGATCGTGTACAATGAAAGCGGCGAAGAATTCAATATAAGCACTATTAAGGTAACAATACATCTTTTCAAATGAAGTATTATACTCCGTTCGCTATCAGGAGATAGTTATAAAGCTTCTTGAAGCAATATACTATAGGCGTACTAAGAGTTGTTTCGTACTGTCTTTTGCACACAAAATTGCATTTATCCTCTATATCATAATGGCGAATGGAGTATATTTAATAAGATTAGTAAAACGAATCATTTGAATGTGTCGACGTAATATTCTTCTATATTTTAGGGTCAACTAACGTTCGCTAGCATAGTTATCCAGCCTTTAGACCTGGGTTTAAATAGAGTGGTTACGAAAGTGAAAGACGACGTTGCTCATTTGATAACATCCTGCGAGCCTAAACTGGTTTCGGATCAGAACGTGGGCGTCTTAGCCAGGCAGATGGCGCTGCATGCGAACGTAAGTGCATATCTTGTACCCAAAATCGTACCAATTTCTAATGTTTTTTTTTCTACTCTCAGATGGCATCATTGGTAATAAAGTCGTTGAGGAATCCTGCGAGCGATCCTTACGCATCGAACTGGCTGGAGCGGTTGCGGAAGATCAAAAGTATCAGGAACAAGGTGATAATGGATCAGAAAAACGAGGCGAGCATTTCGAGCATTTATCCCAAAGACGACGGAAAGAAGAACCTTATGGAGGACTTTACCGACTACACGTAAACGTTATTTTGTCCCGTGATCGTTTATTTGTTTCGACGAAGGTTTTAGGTTAATTGATTGATTTTATTGGAATTGTTTGTCGATTAAAAAGTATATTAGTTATAATTTTTAAGTATAGTTACGCTAATTATCCGTTTTTTGTGATATCGACTCGGTTCAAACGAGTTTTTTTAAGACTTCACTACGTTTACAGCATTGTAAATCGAGAAAAATATATAAAAATTGACGGACTTATTATGATTATTTAAGTTGATTTAATTAGTAGTTTCGGCATATTAAAACGAAACTCATATTTTAAACGATTATTGTATTGAATGGTATAATAAATTTTCTTTTATAACTTCATTTAACTGGAAACATCCTGTAAACATAACCAGCGTGATTGTTTGTTCCGTGACGTTTAATTTGCGGTGAAAAATTTCTGTCAGTAACATGTTCTAGTTGCACCTCACAAAATTCATAATGACGGATTTGCAAATATGCGAGTGCAGGGATCCCGAAGACCCGGACCTCTGCGGGAAGCACCCGATCTACCTGGAAGCTGCCAGGGTCACATTCAGCGAAGACGATCTACCCACAGTCATACAGGATGAGCTGTGCTGGGCCTTCGACGTTCGAGAGGATAGAAAAAAGCGGTTCCAGGCCAAAGGAGTACCCCCCAAAGAATCCCCCTATGAATTCCCCTTCGCCTTGTGCAGAGCGATGCAAATACCCTGCAAAGTACCACCGCTAATCATATCTCTAAACGTTTCGTTATGACGTTTCGTTGCAGAAAAAGAAGAAGAAGAAGTTCGTGTGCCCGCCCCTGCCGAAGAAGATTACTCTGGAAGACAAGTACATAATGACACAAAAGGAGTACTGCAATTACCTGGCGCAGCCGGTGAAGAAGCCGCGCTGCGAGTACTGGTGCCCCGTTAAAAGAAAGCGGTGCGAAATAGAGCCCTGTCCGCCGCGATTCGTCCAGCTGGCCATACCGCACAAACGGAGGGTGTTCTGGAACTGGAAGTGCTTCCATCCCATACTCACCACGGAGATGATACTGCGACTCGAGCAAATATTGCACACCGACAAGAACCTGGATCCGAGAGATGCCAGGTCAAAGAACAGACATACAAATTAACGAATTTTGCAACTACTTTCATGTACTCATTCATGCTAATAAAACGAGTAATTCGGAACGTTTGGTTTTCTAGATGGTACTACAAAAAGCTGGACAGGCTGAAGCGGAAATGCATGCGGAACAGGCGCCGTTTGAGGCGCAAGAGGCTGAAGGCGAGGGACGCCGGCGACCGTAAATGGCTCGAGGACATGATCCAGGAGATGGCCGAGCTCATTACCAACCACATACGGCAAGAGCCCTTTTTCGCCTTGAACTACCGGCAACTTCTACTATCCGATACGATACTCAACAAATTAGCGGAGAAGAAAGTGTTCAAACGCCCGAAGAGAAAAACCAAGAACCATTACAAAAGGACGCTCGTTGAGGTAATTTTAATGTAGAGAGCGTCTGGAAATTGACTGTTGATTTCCAGATTAGCGATAAAATTGCCATTTGGATAGACACGTTGACCAGATACGTAGACACACTAGCTGTGGAAGACCCCGACGATTTCGCGCCTTTAACAATATCTTCGGTAAGCGAAGGAGAGAGCGAGGATAGAACCGATGAGGATGAAGACGTTTGCGAAGAAGAAGAAGGTATAGTAATTCTAATATTAATCCGACTTGGACCGTTGTACCGGGGACGCGAAATAAATCGCGTTATAAGCGCCGAGAATGCTAAGAAACCCATACTCTCGCATTGCCAATAAGCGCGAATCGCCCCGGTATAGCCGCTGAGCCGCGCTGATGTGGCTCACTTAAGTTTTAAACATCAACTCACCAATAGTTGATATTAATTCTACAACTGTGCGATCACGCGATTTCGGACCGGCAGCTGGCTCGCGGTCGTAAATCACCAAATATTCATCTAATTAATCTCGCTCTTCAGTTTGTTTGTCTTAGATCAGTGGCTCGCGCGGTCTGAAAATTTTTCGCGATTTCTCAAAGCCTTGGTTAAACTTTACTTGTTTTTAAAATTATTAATTTTAACTTATAAAATTTATTTGACATAAAATTTCACTGACAAAGTGAATACATTAAATATTACCCAAATAATACTTTAATCTATTTAATTTTGATACTAAAAACGGTACATCCATGTGCACCGGTACCTTTGAAGTCGGCGCTAGGCGTTTTTTATGCCATGTCGAATTATGGCTAGAAATAGTATAAGTGGTGTAGATATTCTGCTCGTGTAGCATTTATAAATTATGGAAAAGCACCAGAAAATTGCGTTAATACCCATGTAATTGTGTCTAATGTTGCACTCTTCATAATAATAGAGTTTAAAATGAGCGAACTTAGTAAATTAACGTAAAATAATTTGTATTTCAACTAATTTCAATTTTGGTTTAATTGAACTTAACCTAATTCTTCTTTTTAATTCCAATAATATTTGACATTTACGGAATCGGTCAAAATTGAAATTAGCTGAATAGTCCCACAATCGAGTCTCCAAATTGTCAACAAGCTGTCATAATACCCGAAGAAAATGTAGGGTTAAGTGCCTGACATGACTTCAAATTTGTTAAACATTTGCGTAAAATGTAAGCGCATTTTGACGAAAACCGGCAGGTTATACAGGACAATAAACCGCCACAGCAGCGCTTCGGCCGTCCAGGACGTCGTCGACAATAAAATACGAACGTTGGGGATACTAGCGCACATCGATGCGGGCAAAACGACGACGACGGAGAGGATGCTCTTCCTGGCCGGGCTGATCGATCACATGGGCGAGGTGCACCGCGGAAACACGGTGACCGATTACATGCAGCAGGAGCGCGAGCGGGGCATCACCATCACCTCGGCCGCGGTGACGTTCCATTGGAGAAAGAACCAGTTCAATTTGATCGATACGCCGGGGCACATTGACTTTACGATGGAGGTGGAGCAGTCTTTGAACGTGCTGGACGGGGCCGTGGTGGTGCTGGACGGTTCGGCCGGCGTCGAAGCGCAAACCATCACGGTCTGGAGGCAGGCCGATAAAAACAAACTGCCTAGGATTATATTCGTGAATAAAATGGATAAGTACAACGCCGACTTGGAGCATTCGTGTAGGATGATCGAAAAGAAATTGGAGGTTCCTTATTTGTTGCTTCAGTTGCCTGTGAAGAAAAACGACAAATTTGTCGGTATAATAGATATTTTAACGATGGAGTTGCTAACTTACGGTACAAACTCCGATAAAACGGTTCACAAGGAGCGACTTACGTACGAAAAGCATAAAGACACTTTCGAAAATACCAAAATCGCAAGATTCCAATTGATAGATAAACTATCGAATTACGATGACTCTTTAGCTAATAAAATAATAAGTTTAGGATCTTTAGATACTGTACCAACCGATGATATCGTTAAAGCTTTAAAACGAACTACTGTCAATCAAAAAGCCGTTCCCGTATTGATAGGAAGCGCTTACAAAAACTTCGGAGTACAAAATTTAATGGACGCTATCGTTCTATATTTACCTTCCACCAACGAAACGAATAGCATTTACAAAGCTTTCGAGAGCAACTTGTGCGCTAGGGCTTTTAAAGTTGTGCACGACAAACACCGAGGACCTTTAGTATTCCTCAGGATATACAACGGGCAACTAAAAAAAGGCCAAAAAATCTACAGCATCAAACAGAAATGCTCGGAGCAAGTTGGCAGGCTCTACTTGGCCTACGCCGACGATTTTAAGGAAGTGGATTCCATAAGTTCCGGTAATATAGCTGTAGTAGCCGGCCTCAAAAACGTAATGTCGGGAGATTTGGTAACCAATTCGAATTCCGTCAGCCAGAAAGCCAAAACGAACATACTAAAGACAATTAAAGATGAAAAGGACATCGACAGGATACTCGGAATTGACGTGTCGGTACCAGAACCTGTATTTTTCCGATCTATAGAACCTCCCAATTCGAGAAGTCAAGGCGCGCTAGATCAAGCGTTAGTGGAATTGCAGAGAGAAGACCCCAGCTTGAGGGTCACTCACAATCCCGAGACCTGCCAAACAGTGTTGGGAGGAATGGGCGAGCTGCATTTGGAGATAATAAAAGACAGGATTTTAAGGGAGTATAAAATCGACGCCGATTTGGGACCATTACAGATAGCCTACAGAGAGTTACCTAACAAGAAATCCACCGATACAGTTACGTCAGAAACGAAAATAGCTTCAAGCAATCAATCCGTAACGATTAAACTCACTGTGGAACCGATCGATCCAAGTATACCCATAAAAGACGCGCTGAAGCTGGACAAATCGCCCGAATACGCCAGTAACATCGCAACGATATTCCCCAAGCACCTAGTAGCTGTAAAGCAAGGTATAGATTTCGGCCTGTCCCACGGCCCCAAAATCAACTGCCCCATAGTCCACACCCAAGTCACCCTGCACCTTCTGCACGTGGGCAAGGGCACGTCGGACACCTTCATCGCCGCTACGGTCACGCAGCTTATCCAGAGGATCCTCCGGGACGTCGGCACCACCATTTTAGAGCCGATTATGAGCCTGGAAATCGTCACGCCCGACGAACACTTGTCTGGTATATTGGCCGATTTGACGCGCAGAAGGGCCGTCATTAACAACGTCGGTGTTAGGGGTAACTCTAAGCTGGTGTTGTCTAAAGCGCCCCTTTCGGAACTCAAAGGGTACTCGACTATATTGAGGACTCTGTCTTCGGGCACGGCCACTTTCACCATGGAGCTGGACGAGTACGAGAAGATGTCTCCTTCGATGGAAGAGTCGGCGATAAGGGACGTTAGGGGGTTTTGATGAAATTGTTAGTTGTGGATTAATCTGTGATATTAGCTGTTTTCGACTGTATTTTGTTCAATAAAAATTTAGATTACTATTAAACTGCTCTTTCTGTTTACCATTTGTTTAGAGGAGGATGACCTGTGGGCTCTGTTAGAGAAGTTAATCAAGATCTACAGGTGTAAAACACCAAATCCCATGTTTACAACGAATGTAAGTTACTAACCCCCTCGTTTGAGCCTATGAAAAAAGAATGCTTTGTTTGTTCAGGTGGAAACCATGCCTGAGTTAAAGTACCTGGATATCTTCGACGCGCTGTTGTGGCTGAGGGATTTGATAAGGCAGCAGGGACCGCCGCCGCCTCCCGGGAAAGTGGAGCAAACCTTGGTGGAGTGGCTGGAGGAAACCGCCCCGGAGAAGATCAACGAAAGGACTTTGAAGCAAGTGCACGATTACGCTTGCGCCATTGCGGATAAATTGAGAGACGCCGATCGTGAGTTTTTCAACTATTATTCCCTTCTAATACATCCTTTTTTCTATTTTTGAATTCTAATAAACTCAAAGGTGCAATAATTTCATTAGTCAATTTTTTGACATGAACTTCTGATATTGAAACCCACCCTTAAACATCCCCTTTGATTAATGAAATTGACATCTTTCGAAATGAAGAAGAATACATGACATTATGTTTGTATTGTCAATTTAAATTTTTGTGTTCATTCCATTTTAAATGTTAAATGTAATCATGAAATTCATTCCTGGAAGGAACCATTCCAATTCATTAATAAAACAACTAACAAAATGATCGCGTAAGTACACTCTTTAAAAAAAAAAAATTACATCCGAATTTAACCCCTACGTATTTTCTCTTTTACACAGCGGAAGAAGAACCCGAAAGACCTGCTGTCGAAGAAGAAAAACCACCAAGTAAGATCCTAAATATAACTTACATATGCGATATTGATATCGTTAAATTCCAGCACCACCGTCAGCGCCTAAACCGGCACCACCGCCGCCCAAAGAACCGGAACCGGAACCCGAACCACGTAAGCCACCCTCCCTAAAATACCCCAATACACTTCACTAACCAATCCCTCCCTTATCAGCCGCGGATATGCCTTGCGAAGCCGAAGAAATACCAGCAGTTCCTTGCGAATGTCCGGAAGACGGACCTGTAAGTTCCCTACACCTCTACCCAAGTAACCCGTTCTAATTCAATCGCTTTTAGATGATACTAGGCCACAAGCCGTCGTTTATAAAGGAACACTCGCCCGATGCGATTTGCTGCCTTTCGCTGAAAATCTGGGCCGTTTGGCTCCTGGAAGTGTGCCATAACGCTCACGTTTGGACGAAATGGATGCACGAAATCATACGAAGGATCAGAGAATTCGCTGCTACAGTCAGAGGAGATATTAAACTTCCGAATGGACAGAGAAAAGTGTTGTACAGAGAGGAATGGCGACAATTCATCAAAGAAACCGAAGAGAAAGTGGTTTATTGGATGGACTACAGCGAACATGTTAGGGAACTGTCCCAAGATATCATCGAAAACTTCCAAGGGAAACCGGTTTATTGTTGTCCTAAATGTTTACAGGTTTGTATAATGCTTCGTTATTATTCCGGTAGTGGTTTTAATGATTTTTTTGCTAGGATCATCTAATTAGGAACGTTGTAACGGCTCACGAAACGTTGGGAAGTCTAACTGACGCTATGAATATGGCGCAGAGTTGGAGAAGATGCTTGGATGGTTTGGTAGCCACTTGTGCTTCTATATGTGATATTGAAGATGTTTCATCCAGTGAAGAATCAGGTAAAGCACGTTTGTATATGTTTGCGCATTGTACTTTCAACGTCTTCAACTGTTAGTGACTGACTACACATGGGGGATCTAATCAATATTCTCTTTTTTTTCTAGTACTCAGTGCAATCGATATTTGCGAATATGTCGTATGTCCGAGGAACATAAGACCTGCTAAAGGGGGAAAACAACCGCCCTGTCCTCCTGCTGATGATTCGGACGATGATGGGGGAGAGTATCGTATTTTGGAGATGGATCCGAGAGTTCAAAAAACCGATTGCTCTTGCATACAGTGAAAATTTGGTATTCGGTTGGGTTAAAAAAGATGAGAATTCGATTGCCAACACTAAAAATCATTTGTTTTGTAACGTGATCATTAAAATTTCATCCGAAGAACTTCATTTTCAATTATTTTTTTTTATTTATTTCAATGTATGATAGGTTGCATAGGTCACAGGGACATTTAAAAAGTTGGCGACACTGTTTTTTTAGATACTTTGTTTTGTGTCATAGGTCAGATCTCACGTCAAATGTCAAAATATAAAAATAGAAAAAAATGTTAAAAGTTTAAACTTTAATCTGATTATTTTATTATAGTATGCAAATCCGAGCCATAAGTTCAAAATGAATCTCGAAGACATAACATATTTATCATTACTAGTGTTTTCCATAATATTCGGATTATATTACAGAAAAATTGACAATGTAGAAAATAGAAAAATTTTAGGAGCCCTAGTAGGATTTACAATAGCCCTTATAGTCTCAGGCTTGCACGTTTTCCATCTTCTAATAACTGTTGTAATAAACGCATGCATAATAATATTAACAAACAAAAGGTAAGATTTAATTTTAATTTATAGTACACCCACGAATATTTTTGTAATTCGGTTCAATTTTAGAAAATGTCATATTCGATCATTTACCTTCTCATTCCTCTACTTACTGTTCTTCCGATCCACCGCCTACTTTGGGATACCGTATCCCCCTTCACACACGAACCTCGTGCAAATGATGCTTACCCTCAAGCTCGTGGGGCTGGCATTCGAAGTCAACACACACTTCGAATCCAAAAAGAAAAAAGACGAGGCGATCAAAACTGAAGAACAACACCTCGAAGACGAAACGTTGCATTTCGATTTATCATTCGCCGATGTTTTCTGTTACGCTTTCAACTATTGCGGAGTACTAACAGGTGATTAATATTATATATTGGAGCTTTAAAGATACAAGTTTGCTGTATTTTAGGACCTTATTTTAGGTACAGGACTTTCCGGGATCACTTATACAAACCTTATTACAAATACGATAATTACATACCTGCTCTTATAAAGAAATTATATTGGCTACCGATTTTAGGAAGCATTCATCTTATTTCTAATTATTATTGGCCACTATCAGTAAGACCTTAACAATAGGCATTCGAATATTGCTTATACTTATTTTTTTTAGTATGTACACACTGATGAGTACCTAAACAGCTCGTTTTGGTACAGAATTTGGTACATTTGGCCATCATTCGTAATATTTAAAAGCAGAATATTCTTCGGACTGGTCCTAACTGAGATCGTATGCTTAGTAGGCGGTATGGGCGTATATCCAGCTTTTTCAAAACCGAAATCCGGACACGGCCCCACTCAAAACTTCAAACAACTCAAAGAAACGTAATAGAAACTACATCCTCACGCGAATCTATTCCACGTAATTCGTATTTCAGTACAAACCCTGAGACGTTAAAGTCGCTGGATTACAACTACGATACAGTCCACTCGATCGACCCGTACGGTACGGATAGTGCGCCCACAATGCGGGAGGCCATGAGGTACTGGAACATGACTGTGCAGTACTGGTTGGCGAATTATGTGTACAAGTAAGTAGGTTTATCAGTGGTTTTTGGTTTTGTTAATATGCGTTCTAGGAGGTTCCCGTACAAACAGTTTCGTGTACACGCTACTATGTTTATGTCTGCTTTGTGGCACGGGACGTATTCGGGTTATTACTTATGCATTGCCACTGTACCGTTTACGCTTTTGTGTGAAGATGTTTGGGTGAAATTATTATTGGAAAACAATGATTTCTTAGTAAGTGGATTGTGTAGAAAGTGTACATTGGTTGTGGTAATATTGCCATATTTTTCTTTCAGTCTAAGACAGTTTCCAAAGGAATATTGCTGTTTTTGAAAACGCAAATGTTTTCCTATCAGATCATGTCGATGCTATTGTTGGATATTCACAAGATAATGCGGTTTTATAATAGCATTTATCATTCCATTGCCATTGCGTATGTTGGGCTGTATTTTCTCGGCATGTTTCTGTTGAAAATCAAAAATCGCCGAATTCGGAAAGATATTAAATGAAAGGAGCGAGATTAGAAGATTAAGAAAGAAACGAGTAATGATAAATAATGAACAAAGATTGATCCTGTATATTTGAACAAATTTTTATAATGTTATATGGTTGATATATGAATGCAAATATTTTATTTTACAATACATTATATTTATACTTTTTTTGTTGCTAATCATGACAATTTTATATGTTATTTATTAATTTATTTAATTTGAATATATTTATGGTCCGATTTAATTGAACAATAAAAAGTAATTGTTATTTTATTTCAGTTTTTCCTACAATTTTCAATCGTTTTCATTAATTTTTAAGATAATAAAATATTCGAAAAATTGACAACCTAATTTTATCTAAAATAAATGATTTCAATTTTGAATATTTTTTCAATTACAACAAAGAGCTCAAAAAGCTGGCAATTTTGATATTTTTTTATCTTTATACAAATTTATCAATCTATGCAGTTTTCATTGGAAATAAACAAACGCTTTGATTACAAAACCGGCAGATGGCGACAGCTGGCTGATTTCGAACAGGACAAGGCCAGTGCGCCAGTACATTGTCGATAAACTTGCTCAACCGTTTTACTTGCACAAGGGTCCGGGCAACCGTTTCTGTTTCTACCTAAATGTAAGGACACTAAGGACGTAAGAACATAGTAACACGTTGTTGCCAAATTTACTCTTACCACAAAATATTAGAAATTTACAAAGCTAGTTATTTAAGTTTGGGAGATCGTTTAAAGCGGTATTAAAAAAATATGTATTTAAATGTTAATAATTACACGTTGTTTGTTTTTTTTATGTTTACAAGGCGATGTATGAGTGAGGTTAATTTAAATTTTTCTTGATAATTGATGGCAGTCGAATCGAGCTGGCAACGTTGTTCCGGCGTAAGCACGTCCACACGCCAACTGTGCGGCTCGAAACGAACGTCGAACACACACAGCAAAGACTAACCAAGAACGACTGGTTTTCGAAGATCGAAATCGACCAAATATAGTTGTCAACAACATCATCTAGTTGCATCGGTAAGTACCCACATGCAATTGTTCGCGCTTATCTACTCCACACACGTGCCTTTATTTGCTATGCGCAGGACCATCGTCGGCGTCGGGTCGCCTTTGGGAAAGCGTACAAATAAAAATAAATATTTTTTGGCGATATTTGTGTGTGCTCGTCGGGCCGGAGCGGTTTTTTCGCAACTGCCGCTTTTCGACTTACATATTTTCGCGAACTCGACGAGTAGGCGATGTCGCATCGCAACTTGTTGATTTCGTGTCGCCTATTTGAATCTTCCGAATGGTTTTTTTTATATTGAATTTTATATTATATTTTTTTATTACTGGTTTATTCGTTCGAGATTTAACTTACGTAATTTTTATTTTAAATTTCATCGTTTCATCCAATCGGTATAGGTGTTATAAATTTTTATATTTCAATGCTGGTTTCACTACTGTCATAAATGTATCTAATTTTTAAAGTTGACAGTTGTAAATGTCATTTTTGACAGGTTGATTCTAAATATGTATATACAGGGTGGAACAAACTATGATTTTGTACGTTATAATTTTTACAGGATAATTCATTATATTACTTACTGAGTTAATTATTAAGAATTTAACTTGATTTTTAAAATATTAGACATTTTGACAGTATGTACAGGGTGGAACATTTTTTTATTGTATATTTCTTTTATTACAATTTTTACAGCTTATTTCACCGGTTATGTCGCCTATTAGAAACTCCAATGGTTTTTAAAATTAAATAAAATACTCGGTTATTTATTGACAATCAACTTATGTAACGTTTATTTTAAAAACGTTTCCATTTAGTTTCAAAATCTACAGGGCGGGAAAAATAATTTTTTATTGAATTATATTTCGAAATTTAGATTTATAATACAAAATAAGTGTTCTAGTTTCGTTTCAATTCCAGTTACTTTCATGTTTATTTATACAGAATGTTACATTAAAAAATATTGGTCCACCCAGTATTATAAACAGTATAAATTACGTACATGATATGCTCAAGTTAACGTAATGATGACGTCACGTTTATTTATCTCCAACCGTATTATAAGCATAAATTCATTTCGCACAAAGCGTACTTTACAGGCTTATAATTCCCTAAATTCGAAACGTTTCCTCCGCAATAACGGAATTAAGTCCCGCCGATCGGCTTGCGAGTTTTCCCGTTTATCCAGTCGCGCCCCCGCCGCTTAAATTTCCCCGGCAGCGACGCCAGAACGGACCTGATCAATATGGCTCGTGAATCATTAAAAAGAAAACGCCGAGCATCCCGGCCTACTACAGCTCTGTGGCGTGGCCGTGCGTGTGGCCCGGCCCGTCGGGACGCTTCCAGCCTTTCCCGACGGCCGATCCGCGCCAAATATTCCCGATGATGTAGTCGCTTTTTCCGCGTATTTCTCGCGCTGTTGCTGTTGCTCCATCCTCGTAGCCGTTGCACCACGGCCGACTCGAATAACTTGATAGCGTAGCGTCGGATGTGTCATTGGGTTCTTTGTTCCACACGGGTACAGGACGAGTATAGAGGTGGGCGGTGTGGAAATATACCTCTTTTTTTTGTCGCCGTTATCGACTCGCTGAATTTAATTTTGAACGCTCACATTTACAATTTACACAATAAACGTACATTTTATTCGTAGCGTTAATTGGTATACTTATTTACTTAAATATTATTGTAGTTGTCAGATATAACTACGGTTTGATGAGTATACGATCTACACGTGAGGTTAATTTCTCGGCTATTACGCGGAAAAATGCGAAATCTCTAACCTGTTGGCATTGTAAGCGGATTTGCGGCGACCTTTAAAACAGGTCCGAGAACGGTTCGGTTGCGAAACGGAAGGCTGTGGGTTTTTCGGGCGCGCCCATCTCTACGCTATGATTTCACTGTTCGCAGTGTTCTCGGAGGCGTGGTTTAACCGTTGACGTCAGTACGTTACTATGCGATATGCTCCGGTCGGCGGCGTTGCCGCTTCTACGATGTTTTACGCGAAACTCGAATAAAATTTAATTTCTGTTCGAGCGTTGTTCTTGTATTGCCCAAAGAGGTGTGTCGTAAGGTGAAATAGAGATCCATTCATTTGGAATATTATTTTCTTTTGTTCGGTCGAAGTGTGCTTGCATTTCGAAATTATGAAACGATTGTATAATGTTTAAGTAGAATTTCGAAAATGATATTGCGCTAATTCGATTAGAGTTGAAGTTTCTTCGTCTTCAGAACACAACTCGTTCGTACGTATGGTCGTTTAAACCCTTACTGGTCAAAGGCCACAAGAACGAAGAAAATGTTAATGATATGTCAAATTGTTTTGCATTTGGGATAAATTTCCTGATAGAAAAGTAAAAAAAGAAAAAATGGAATAGAACAAATTATTAATAAATACCCGACAAATCAAGTAGTCTATAACTTTATAAATAATTATTTGACAGTTCTATTCCTTTTTATTTATTTTTTCAACTCTACATTATTATTGCAATAAAAATAAAAGGGTGTTAAACTAATTAAAAAATTAGTGTAGTGTAGTGTGTACACTATATTGACTGAAGTTAGGTACTAAAAACTTCGTCATTAAATTTCCTACATTTCCCTCGTAACCGAGCCGGTCGCAATCGCTCCGTTTTTCTTACGCCGATTTTCCATTCGACTTGGTCGAACGCGGGCGCTTTTGTTTACTCATTTTTTTCCGGAAAAATCGAAGGAAAACCGAAACGGCGATTTAACAGCCGGCCGTAGAGCCCCCGCTCGAATTTCCCTTTAGTTGCGTCGCAACCGAAACGTACGAGACCACCACCGCCGACGCCGCCTTCGCTCGAAAGCCGTCCTGAACTGAACTGGAAATTCCACGAAAGGAAAATCGTTAGGCTATAGTCCTGTGGCAAACGTAACGTATTACAATGTGTATAATGAAAGATGAAAGATAAATACTAAAAATGACATTATACGAGTATGTCAAAAGATGTAAATAATGTAAAAACCACGGTCGTATATTTATAGGGTCTGGAAATTGGGATGCAAAAAGTGTCTCGTTATTTGAAGAGATAGTGCGTAGTTCATAAAATGACCGGTAGGTTTTTTGAATGCAACATTTAGGTTGTTGGAGATGCTGCCGTAACTTAGAAAATCTAATAATTATTTTTAGAGCTTATTTCTCAATTACTTGATCACAAATGTTATAAATTCATAAAAATTTGAACGTTAGTAATGCTCGTCGTTGAGTGGCTGAGGTAGGCTGATCCTGCGATCGTTCGCCACGGTGCGGCGCCCAAGTGAACTATCAAAAACATCTTCATTTAACGGAACACCGCCACTACCACAAAATAAGTTTCCAGACCTTATAAGTATACGACCGTGGGTAATAGTGATAGCACACTTGATCGCATTATCAAATTAAAGGAAGCTTTACAAATGACAGTTGATATGTCAAATAAATTGGTTTCCGGTGATGATGTGTACACAAACTATTTTTTAATTATAGTTAATGAATTGAATTGATTTAAAGATGCAATTTTATTTAGTAAATATTACATACATGTATTGCTCAAATAAACAATAACGATAAATGTTGATACATTTCGCGCTAAAATTCTAGATTTTATGAAGGATTTTGTCAGTTCCTTAGGCGAGAAATAAACAGCTTTTGCACGGTATTCAGAGCGGGCAATTTAAGAATCAATTCGGCGTCGTTTCATTCGAATTTTCAAATCCAATTAAATCGATCAATTCGATTGGGGAGCCGGTCCCCGCGGGCGTCGCGTCGCGTACGGGGGGCTTCGAAAATCGATTCGCTCCTTCCTGTGCTGTCCCTATACGAGGATGTTCCATCGAAAACGCCTCCGCCCCGTTCGATTCGCCGGCTCCCCGACGATTTCTGTACAAATTTTTTTTTCGTCCTTTTACTATTCGGTTGACCGTTCGCATGCGAAACATTCGAATTTCTATTCCAACGCCGACGGTTATGAACGCTTCGGATCGTATAGAAAGTTGTTTGAAGATATCGCGAAAAACTAGAAATTTGTCCCAGTATGCAAGGCGTTGCTGTGTATACGAGGGATGTTCCAAAAATTACACCAATTTTTACTTGTATGCATCATTTTTCCTATTACGTAAACGAATAATAATTTAATACAAAGTTTTAAAATGAGTTTTTTTGTATATTTTTAATCACTTAATAAATAAAATTGGTAATATAAGAAGGAGGCGCGATACGATTAAATCCCCAAATGTGAGGTTATCGATACCAAAGCGGCAACAGGGCGTCCGTTTCCTGCGGTAAAATATCTGTGTTTACGGGGGGAGAGCGAGAAAACGAGCGAACGGTGATTACGGCGAATGGTTTTTACGTTTTACGGCGAAACGCGATGTATTTTCAAAGTCATCAACGAAATTACACTCCGTATCGCTTTTATTTTATGCCGTGTATACCATTCGCTTTACCTATATTTTGTATATCGCGGTTGAAGCACTGCTATCGCAGCGCTATCGAGTACAGGGTTACGTTCTAATAATCATTTCGAATCGATTAGATTCGATTTTGTATAAAATCGCTTGGAATTCTCGGAAAACCGTTGAAAGTCCGTTTGAGGAATCTATACAGATGTTATCAAATTTATTAAAAAAATTCCTCAATCCGTGAGACGCTCGAATACTTCCAAATTATCTCAAATTCTTCTCGTTAACACACATTTTTAATGAGACATCCTGTATTAACCGTAATAAAATCTTTAAAAAGCTATTTTCGGTTTTTAAACAGATAACGACCAACTTTATCGATCTGCCTATATTTTTAGGCAGTTGAAATTTTAATAAACGTATATTAAAACCGTTTAATTTGCAAAATAATTTGTTAATTAACGGAACAAAATTAAAACGTGACGGTTAATTGTTCAGTTAAATGTCCGGTATCCGGCTTCTATTCAAATTCAAACTAATCAGGGTTGGATTTATCGATGCACACGTTAATCTATCTGATATACAGATAATGTCCTCAATTAAGGGCGGGCTTATCAACATTTCCCCTAGGGACATCTTGGAACAGGCATAGTCGAATATATCTGAGAGATAAATATTTTCTCACGTAAATAGTTATCATATAGATAAATTCTATCAACTTTTTCTAAAACAAGTGAATAATTGAAATCTTTGTTGCACCCATCAAACTAAAATGAATCAATCTGTATATGTAAGTTTATATATAATTCCATAGATTCCTATGAATAAATTGTTTATATCTGAGTATATTTTAAAATTTACCCTTAGCTAAATGTGTTTGAAGAGACATTTACTATTCTAGGCGAGGTTTTTAAAACTCGTACGCTCAGATAAGTTTCTAAATTAGAAACTCTATCTATTAGATAAGATTGTCACGTCGATACGCACAATAAAAATGCTACGTTCCCGCCAAATTCTGAATTCTACATCGTACGCCACTGTAAGAATTTCAATTCGAAAACGCAGGCTTCGCAAAAGAAACCCTCCCCGTCCTATAGAAACCCCGAGTTCTCCGAACGCGTGGCCGCGCGGCCGATCAGCAACAGTACCGTGCACGTACACATCTTTCTTTTTTTTTTTTTCGACAATCCCCGACCCTTTTCAGAAGGCTCCGCTAGGGCCGGATTAACCGTGGTCCGGGTGTCTCGATTTTCCTTCGATCCGATATCCGTCTGCTCCGGCGGTCGTTGCATGTTGCATTCAGAAAGGGACTCTGCTCTCTCTCGCCGGTTGCGTTCCTCGAGTGCAGGGCGAGGGTTCGGGGCGCCCGTTGAGGACGGACTCGGCTCGAGGGGTGCCGGTTTTATTTTTAAAACGGACGAGGACGAGGATCGGAACGGTTACGGGACCACGGGCGTGCTGGGGTCGCTCGGTATTATCGATCCTTGCGCTACATTGGCGCGCCGGGCGGTTGGTTATTTTGAAATTAAAATTATATGCAGGACGTTTCAATAAATTTACAGTCGCTTTGAATTTGCTTTGTTATTTAAAGGGTAGAAAAATAAACGGATAAGTGCCAATTTGTACGGGAACAACAAAGACAACCTCCATTAGTCTTGTATAAAGGAAAAAGAAAGTTATATTGTGGGATTGCAACTTTCTCATTCTAACCATGGTTAATGGTAATGTTTTTGTTCAACTCATAGAATTGACCATATTGCAAACAAATTTTCACTTATCAGTATACAGATCCACAGGAAGGTGCGTAGATCACGGAAACAATATGAAATTATTTTTAACTATACAGGGTATCCTATGAAATATGTTCTCAATATTTGTCTTCGTGCATGTGTTTCTGATACCAAAATTTACCAATAAATGACTTATTTTTCAACATTTTATTTTTGCGCATGCGGATTAATTCAAACGTGGAACCAAATCTACTAAATTGATTGTTCCAAGTAATTTTCAGGGTTACTATTGTTGCTTGATTATCCCATTAACGACATTCGTGAAACCTATTTTCTAAATTGCCTCGCTATTTTATTTACCGAATATTTGAGAATTTTCCGAAGTGCATTAGACTTGCGCCTACAATACGGAACATTTAAATGTTTCCAGTAATTTTGTTTTTATTTGTAGTCGATTTGGCGTAATTAATTCTTCATAAATAAAATTTCACCGCCGCGTCCGGGATGTTTCCATTGAGAATAACTTTGTTTAAATGGAGCACTCGATATATTTTTATACCGGCAGGAAAGTTAGGTATCCAATTCTCTTGGGAACCTCCTTGTATTTTCTTTATCTTACTTTATCCAATTTTGATGGTTTCAGAAGAAAATTGAATTTATTCGAATATACTTAAACCGTGCATTATTGGCTTCCGCCATTTTGATGCTTATTTTTAACGAAAAAATATCAGAACTGTCATACGTCATTAGCAGGCTTATTTAATAAAATTTACATGTATAGTCTTTCCAAAGTTAAAGTAGTATAGAGATTAATTCTATATAAAATCGCCCTATCAAGTACTGTTATAAGTATGTTTTATTTTGGTGCTTATAGTATTTTTGATAATACAATTGTGCGTTCTGCATTACATGGGTCTATGTAATTCACAGCGTTTAATTTATAATATCGAATTGACTGTAGATATGCTATACGTTCGCAGAATGGAATACAGAATAAATAATACAAATGCACGGTGTTGTACCCTATACTATCGTGAAAATGGCACGGTTGCGATATCGCCTTAACAGTCCGAGCACATAGCAAATTAAGCTCGATTTTCATTCAACATTTTACATCACAGACGGCCTTTGCCAATTTCTAGGGATTTCCACGAGCCGCATCCGTTTTCGACTTCGACAGGTTTCCAGATCCGGCAACGTCGCCCATCGTATGTCAGTCGGGCTACTCGCTGGGCCGGGCTCGCTTTGGAAAACGTCGGTACACACACAATCGAGGCCACGACGGGGCGCCGGTGCTGCCGCCCAACCGACGACGGCGAACCCACCAACTAGATCGGTGTGTAGCACGCCAGCCGAGCAGTGCCAGTTCGTGAACGGCAATAGGCAATAGGTATGGCCTCTGCGAAAGATACGGCGACGTTCTTCACCCACGGCACCTGTCAACATTTCGAGCAGGTCCTCAAATTGTATCCGCAAGCCCTTCGACTGAAGGCCGATCGGAAGGCCAAGAAGCCGGAGGAACTCATCAAATTAGATAATTGGTAAGTGGCGTTTCGTACTCTGCGTGTGTGCGAGTGTGTGTGCGCTTTTTTTTTGGTGGATTTTTAGTGACTTGTGTCATTGAACCCTGTACTAATGTGTTCGCCGTCTAAGTCGCCGAGGTCGAATGAATAGCTTTAGCACCCCCGCGAGATCTCTTTCTCTCTGACGGTCATTAAAATCACGCTTGTCACGTGGTAATCGATGACAACTGCAACACGCTCTTTAATCCGAAAATACTGTAACTCGCATTTTCGTATCGCGGATTTCGCGTTGCTATGTCGGCGTCATGGCCTCGTCGTATCGTCCTTTTTTCCACGTTAAACGCGAACGCTTCCATTTTATTTTACGATTTTCCTGTTTTATCGAAACGTATCGCCATAATTCCGTGGAATAATCGTAGTGTGCCAGCCCCGGATTCGAATTTAAAAGCTCCGAAAAACATGCTGTGTAATCGAGTAGGCCTTTCAAAATGGTGACTCTGATCAAACAAAGCGATGGCTCGCCTGCTATACTTTTTCGCTTAATTTCGCCGGTGGAAAAAGCACTTTTCATTTAAAAATGGTGCGTTTTCGTCGGTGTTTGCTCGTCGTTGTTTACTTTTTATTTATCGCGCCGTTTTCATACTTTAAATTTGATTGATCTTGACCGAATCTCTGACGGGAGTAGTGGGGATTTCTATTAACATCGTTAACTCGGTTTTTGTTTTATTTTTAAGCTTTTCGGGCTTTTGTTTTTCGATTTGGTTTTATCTTTGCAGAGTTTTCGTAACAGGCGATTGCGTTTAGATTATTTAGGGGGTTTTCTTTATTAAATTATACCCTCGAAAAGCAGCTGGGACTAATGGAAAATTCCCAGGTGGGATTCGGCGATTTTTATCCATTTCATCGGGGTTGGCTTTTCTATTTGTTATTAACTTTTAGACTTTTATCTTTGGAATTGTGTAATTCGATTTTTTACTTTTTCTAACCCGTCACTCAAAAACCGATCAATATTATACAGTATGTAGTATGTATTAGGAACCAAATATGATAAAATTTTAATTCTTCATAGGTATCAAGCTCTGGTTGGAAATCATTAAAATTTGAGCTTTCAAGAATGATTTTGCTAGTAGGCGAAACAATAATTTCACCACTAAATGTCAATTGTCAAAAAACTGTCAAGTAATTAACGACTGCGGTAATTAATTTTAATTTGATAGTTATTTTTAAACCTTCGAGTCTACCTCGTATACAAAAAAATCCTATTTTTTAATTGCTAGTTTTGCACTTATTTGATGTGTATCTTATGTTAATGTGTGAATAAAATTTTGATGTTTTTTTTTCTCTTAGATCAAGTCTTATGTTTCGACTGAAGTTGGAACATAATTTATTCCTCCTAATGGAAATTATTAAATTAAAAAATATAATTTTGTTTACTAAATTGTATTAGGTACGTCCATTCTTTTCAACTCCAAATAAAAATCACTCGCTAAGATTGTATGCAGAAAAAATAAATCATTTTTTATTACCTGTTGGACTTTTTATTAGGAGCGCTTTTTTCAAAAATCGGAAACAAAAAAATTCTTAATTTAAAATTTAAATTCGTTTTCTATTTGAGGATGTTTTGAAAATTGTGTTTTTTTTTTGATGCGAAAACAAAGATAACAAATAAAGCTTTAAATAATACAGATAAAGATTTTGTAATGTTTCTTTATGTCATAAATAATATTGTGGTTTTCGATAAGATGAAAATTTATATTCATAGGGGGTCTGTCGATACACATATACTCATAGTTTTCTTTGTAAACTTTCCCGACCTCGACCTGTTTTATTATGGTTAGGTTGTTGGTAATTCCTGTATATTATTATACTTTTTTGTTATCTTATAATTATCACCTGTTCTTTAGAGTTCACTTTATAAGTACCTGCATTATTTGCTCTTCATTATGCACGTTTTTTGCAAGTAATTCGTAGATAATGCTGGAGGTTAATTATTGATAAAAATGAGAATTTTTCCTACCAGCTTACGCCAAAAATTCTTTGAAAGAGAGTGGTTGAAACTAGATTCCCATTATACTATAATTATAAATTTTATGATAATTTTATTCAATTTGCATAGATTCAATTAATAATATAATTCATTATATTTTAGGTATCAAAATGAACTGCCAAAGAAAATTAAAAGCCGCGGCAAGGACGCCCACATGGTCCACGAAGAATTAGTCCAATGCATGAAATGGAAACAGACGCGGGGAAAGTTCTTTCCCCAACTGTCCTATTTGGTAAAAGTCAACACGCCAAGGGCGGTCATCGCCGAAACGAAGAAAGCATTTAGGAAATTACCCAATCTCGAGCAGGCCATGCAGGCACTGTCGAATTTAAAAGGCGTCGGAACTACCATGGCTTCCGGTAGGTTATCTATCTTATTAATAAGATCTTTCACAATTGTATATGTAGTAGGGTTGAGGTAAATATTGTTTGTTCGTTTTGCGCAGCGTTACTGGCGGCAGCTTGTCCAGATACGGCCCCCTTCATGGCCGACGAATGCCTGATGGCCATTCCTGACATCGAAGGTATCGATTACACGACAAAGGAGTACCTGAAATTCGCCACCCACATCAACACCGTCGCCGACAGGCTGAACAAAGCCACGGAGGAAATGCAAAAGCCCGACGCCGTCCGTTGGTCGCCGCACAAGGTCGAACTGGCCCTGTGGACGCACTACGTCGTTTCGGAGCACAAGCCCGAATTGCTCTCCAGTGAGTTTTCGAAACGAATCGCCCCTTAACGAATTCCTGTGATGCTAAAGGTCTGATTTGTTTTTAGACATCTTCGCCGGTAGTCCTTTAGAAAACGGTAACGCGATACCCAAGCCGGTGGTGGTGCACCAAAACGGCGATTCGATAATCGATCCGACGACGTCCGACGAGAGCAATCAGGGTCCATTAAATGGTAAGACTATCATAGACGAGGACACCACGACCACTTCGTTTACCGACAACAGCCCGCCGTCTATTGATCAAAACGAAGAGACCAACGATAGCGTCGTGTCCGGATCAGAAGGTAATGAAATAACGTTTATGATAGTGTCTTAGATTTACTGGGAATTTGTTGTTGTTGAAGACTATTGTGGAATTTGGAACTTGAGTCAAAATGCAACCAAAGTGTACTTTAAAAACTCATATTTTGTAGAGCTTTTATAGCGTAAATAGCTCTTAATGCAATATTGCAAGAGTAAATAGTTGCAATATTGCATTGCAGTTAAAATACAAGCTTTTATGTGTATGCTATGCAATAATTTTTATTACAGCTTTAGTTTATATCGCAAGGCCATGCAATAAGTATAAATAATATCTTCGAGGATTTATACAAATATTCAAACTGTACTCATTACACTTTAGGAGCGTTTTCACACGTTGTAATATATTGCAAGCAGTAAAAAAATATTTTATGGGATATATTGTTAACAAATTTCACCACTACTGCAATATATTGTTCAAGTTAGAGCAACAATGCCGAATCCAGCAAAAACCTGTATCAATTTACACGGGTTTCTTACTGGTCACAATATTTTATTGTAAGGTACCTGCAGAACATATTGCACAGCTTTATAATTTTAAAATTATTGCATAGCATATAAAACCTTGTATTTTAACTGCAACGCAATATTGCAACTATTTAATGATGCAATACATTACAGCGCGTGTAAACATTCTAAGATCACAACAAAACAAAGAACTTTGAAGACCACTTTGGTTGCATTTTGACTCGAATTCCAAATTCCTCAATAGTGCAAAGCTAGATTGAAATTCAACATTTACTGCCTATAAATTCACTTATAATACTACTCATAATTGCTTTGCATTTGATCCAAAAAACGTTTGTTAAAATTTGTTGTACTATTACAGAACTGAGTAAGGATTCGTTGCCCTCGACAGAAGACTCGAACAGTATCGAAAACAACCTGAAGCGACCGTACGACGTTGTAGACAGTACGATCCAATCGTCGAGCAAGAAAATACGAGAAGACGTGGAGGCAAAGTGACAAATACGTAATTACCTATAATTTTTTTTAACTTTTTATTTTAACGTTAGGTTTCTTATACACACACAAACACACACAGAACGCATTGTAGTCGCATTATTGAATTCTTCCTTTTTCTATATCCTGATAGTTGTTTATTTTTAATCGTGGTCTCGCGTAAACGAACGGACGATCAAATCGAATGCAGATTTTTTTTTCGTTGTTCGAAACGATATCGAATAAATCGGATGAGTCGGAAAATGGGTAGCAAGAGGGTGAGTTTTAACTTTTAATGTGTAAAAAGTGATATTTTCACGTTGATTGTTTGAGTGTTAGATACAGTGTTTTTTCATCGAGATTGAAGGGACAGTGTAATTCAAATGTAATTCAAATGACATTTATATTACCGAGAATTCGAAATGCTTAACCCTAATAACACGAAGAAAGAAGATATGTAATCCTGAGATGTATCATTTTGGGTTGTTGTAACCTCTAGATTCGTTATTTTTATTGGTTAAAAGAGCAGAAAATGACGCTTTACACGTTTTTTACGCTAATTTTTGAAAATAAAAATTCTGAGCGACATATTTTTTGTACATGTCCTATTATACGACACATAAATAAGATTTCATATTGTTGACTACTTGGAATAGTGAATTATGTGAATTTTGAATAATTATTTAAGTATTATGAAAATACATTTCGAGAGGATGAACAATTTCATCGTTTTATAATAATGAATTAGTTAAAGCGAACCCTCTGGATAGATAACGAATGTTTCGAAGAAGAGATAGTAGTTAATTGAATACGTTTTGCGGTTAATTTTCTCTAACATTTCGGTGTCCTTTTCATATAAACGTGTCACTTTATATTCATTCTTTTTTTTTGTTTTTTGGGATTTAGAAAACTTAAACCTAGGACTGAACGTATTGAGTGTTTTAATTAAAACGTATAAAACGATACGAATTTCCCGAAATTAATTGGATATTCAAATGATCTGTACTGCGATTGTTCGGCGTGCGTATAAATTGTACTTATTTAAGTGTTTTGAATTAATTTCGGAAAATCAAAAATTTATCCTAATTATTTTTGGAAGATGTGAAAGTTCGCTGTTTCTTGACGAATCTTTTTGTTTTGTTGTTTTTATTTTTTTAATATATAAATATTAGTCATTTGATAAATTTTTGATACTGTTCTTTATCATATTACCATTACTAGGATAGTCTAAGTAATTTATTTGTTTTTTATGTACTCTCGTAACGTAGGCATTCTTTTATGTATTATTTTAATTATGAAGAAGAGAAAAAGAATAATTACATTCCAATATTTAGTTGGATTTTTTTGCCTTTTTTCCTCTTTTTTTATACTACAGGATGTCCCACTAATTTCGGTACAATTTCGTGGATCAACCTGTAAGTTTCTAAAAACAGGAATTTTTGCATTTGAAGTTTTTTCTTGTACTATTGTAAATAATATACTAATATATAATGACATATATTTTTTATTTTTATTAGCACATTCGTTTAGTTTTTCGTTCATGCCCGACTTCAAATGTAAATTGTTAGGCAATATGGCTCGAAAAAGTATTGTTAGTTTAAAAAAAGAGTTCCTGTTTAATAATTAGATTTGTAGCTCAAAATACTGTCATGGTTTTATTGTTAATAGGCCAGGAATAATAATCCATAATAAATAGTTACGGGATCTAACCCGCATTGTGATAAACATCATAGGTGATTCAATTATTATTGTGAACTTTAAATGTAATTTTTTTTTGTATTTTGTGATACAAGTTTACTTTTTTCCTCGAGATTCTATTGGAATGTTGATTCAAACAATCCGATAAGAAAATGTTGAAATAACTTTCGCCATTCGAATAGCTGTATTGCCTATCTGATTGTTCATTGTTCGTTTTTATAAAATCGTCTTAAAGTTAATTAGTACAAAAAAAAATAATGCATTGAACGATTTTGTAATTTCGATTTCTGATACATGTATAAATATATACAGCAGGAGCTCCGTTTTTTATTATAAATATTTATAAATAAATAAAACATATATTATATATATAGAAACAACAAATAACTGAATGCCTTTTATCAAATAATGTAGACGTATACACTTTTACAACAAAAAAATATTAGCTAATAATTTTTTGGATTCATTATGTTATGCACCCGTTTGCGCGCTTGTTTAGACGATCTTTGGACCTTAATGAAGCCCATTTTTACTTAAACGAAAATGTCCAAATGTTAGACGCTGCGTGTAGAAACGGGTATATATGTAAATATAGTGAGGTGTTTATTTCGAAGAAAATAAAACGAGGATATTGGACGTCTTCTGAAATTCGAGTATATATATTTTTTCTTATTTTTAGCTTTTTCTCAAAATGTACCTTAGCAGATATTCAATATCCTAATCATTATTTAATGTAAAAAATATCATTTGTAGATGAGTTTTGAGGTTTTGTAGGATATTTTCATAAATATAAATATTTCACGGCCATATTTTACTATCCTTTACGCTCTTGTGGCTATATTGACCACTAGTTGTTTCGTTCTAAAAATTTAGTACATTAAATTAAGTACTGTATTGTTAAAAACTAATTTTTTTTATGCAAAAAGAACTTTTAATATTAATCAACAGCCTGTAGTAATTTAAAAAAAAGAGGATCTGAAGAAGTTACAGTATTTTCAAAAAATAATAAATTACGAACTTTATTGTAAAATTGGTTGCCTATGCAGTTTTCGCAGAAATCACCCCATTTAATCTAATTGCCATTTCCAGGTAACTAGATTTACAGATTTTACTCGAATATTGACAAAGATAGGAATAGCTGAAATTTAATGTTTTATGGAATTGATAGTGACAGAATGTCACTCAGTCACTTCCTAGACGCCGAGTCGATACCATCGCGCACCTCGCGGATTTTGTTATTTCTATCTTCCTGTAGTTTAGTGATTGCCGCCATTTTGTTGTTATAAAATAACTGAACCCATTGCTGAAGCTGTCTGGATTAATTCCTGCACGAAATCGAAACTTCCTCAACACGCAAGGTAAGTACTTACATTATTATTAAATAAAACCAAAAAATCTAATTTACATAAAACATTATATTTAACTATAAAATATAAAAATCACTCGATTTCCATTTCTCTCGGGCCCCGATCTTCCGTTTTCAAATTCGAATACAACTTGTACGTTAAACTGTCCGTCTGCCGGCCCACGAATTCCGTTCGAGATTTCACTTTTTCCTGCAACGTGAATATTTCCAACAGCGTTCTCTGCGTATTGTAAATACCGCCGCCTCTGTTCGTCAACGTTCGAGACAGCGGCGGGGCTATACTAGTCAGAGGCGGCGGAGACATGGGGGAATCGGTCGTGGCTCGAATCACCGAAGCCCTGGGGATCTCTTGATCCGGTTTACCCGGCCCTGAAAACATCTCATTATTATATTTACTAGAAAATTTAATAGTAATTCGTATTTACCGATGTTATCGAGTTGATGTAGAGCCTCGTCTAATTCGACTTTATCGGAAATTTTGTCGTCTTCGAAATTGAATTTGTGGCATTCCAACAGGCAGGTGTAGATGCTCCTGTGGTTTTCGGAGTGGAGATTATTTTTCACTAACGTCTCCAGTTCGTTCCACATCGCTTTGTATTGCTCCTCGCGTTTCTGGCCTTTTACTCGCTGGCCGGTGTTCGCGGGATGAAGGGGCTCCATTTTGGACTCGAGCGATATTAAATTGTAAATTACCTTCTTGCATTGGAACACTTCTTCGTCTGTTAGCTTGTCTTTCGTTATTAGCGTTGGTAGAGGATCGAAATACTATAAAATTTTGCGATTTTAATCTTGATTATGTTGATAATGTGTAATACGTACGTTTTTTAAATTGAATATTAACGTTGAACTAATAGTCAAAGGCCAATATCGAGTTAATCTGTTCAGCCTAGTCTTCATTTTTTCTATCGGTTCTTCGGTTTCTTCTTTACTTGGTTTGGTTTTTATTGGTAATAGAGTGTTCTGTTTTATCAGTAAACCGAAGTCTGTGATACGATAATCGGTTACTCTGCCTCCACAGCCTTCCGATATCGACGGTGGATCTTCTAACACGGACCTAAAAAATTGTTATACAGTTACTTTACTAGAGTATTTTAAAAATCCTTAAGTTTACCTAGCTGTACATAAAGTATGTATAAATATTTCCCCTCCGTGTGCAGCTAGAAGGTGGCTGGTGATCTTACCGCCAGCCTTTCGAGGCATTTCGAGCATAACTGATCTACCGTTTAACAAAAAGTTGATCAAACATAACGAAGGCCTGGAGTTTACATCGACCGGTGTTATCCTGTGCATGGACGTGCAATTTTGCAGCTCGGAGCCCGTTACTCCCCTAGGAGTACACCATTTAAGAGTAGTCTAAAATCATAAAATCACATTCAATATTTCATTGTAACATACTTATTGCTTATTTACCGTTTCGTACTCCATCCCATCCTTTATGGTTCGAATTGCTGCGGAGTCTGATGCATTGCCTTTTAAGATGGCTGTATGAGCGGAACTTGCGTGGAAAATTTCTACGTCGTAATTGGCTGAAGAAGAGGCGTTTTGCTCTTCTTTCATAGGGATACCGATAACCGTAGTGCTGGCTAAATCGTAGTGTTCCAGGATTAGAGAGGAGAGCTTATGGGGTATTTGGGGCGCTTTAATGGAATGCACTTCGGTGGTGAGAATTTGGGACAAATGCTTGGGGTGATGGTTGTTAACTTGCGATTCTATGTTAACGGGAAAGGTGTTTATAATGACTAAATGGCAGTGGTGTACGGGTAATAATTTGTCTGATGTACTGGCTATTTTGTTTTGTTGGTTCAATACTGTAAGGAATATGTCTTCTAAGCGTTTCATGCTTTCATTGTCTCTTGCTGATGTTATGCAAATTACTCTGGTGTTGTTTAATATTTTAGGGCCGTCTTGGGAGTTTTTAGTATGTTGCATTTGTATATCAGTTGGTTCGCTGAGAGCTTCAATGGCTGCACGAAGACCGTGTAAAACTGTGTGATCGAGCTGGGTATTTACTGATCGTATAGGCGGAGGAGGCGGAGGGATACCTATTAAAGACATTCCGTTCATTATCTGAAATAAATGTATGGTATATTACAAATTATTGTAGGAGATTCACTTAACTTACGTGGGTTAAATTTTGTTGAGTAGGGCTCCATGTATTCAAGATATGTGCTACCGTATCACTGGCTATAAATCTGACCTACAATTCATACGTTGTACAAAAATAAATTGTTCCAAATTATTGGAAATGTTAGTGAATTCTTACCAGTTTTCCTTGCGGGAATAAATCCCACACTATTCTGCAGTATTCTATTGCCGATATGACGCTGGAAGTCCATAGAGTTTTTGAAATAGGCGTCATGGGAATGAAACCCGGTCCGCGAGTTTTAAGAAAATCGAATTCGATGGGGTTTTCACAAGATATGCCGAAATAAGGAGTGTGATCCAGTACGAATATTGTTTTGTGGTTAGCAGGATATAAGCTATTTTGCAATGCGAAAGACATCGTGTATTGTACAAAAAGTGCAACTGTTAAATTAAACTATTTTCAACAAAAGTACTATTATCCCTTATTATAGGTTTTCCTTTTCAGATATTTTCAATTTTCTTGTTTTGTTTTTATTTAAGACATGACGATTGACATTTGTCATATTCTTCTTGTATGGTTTTTGGCCTCTAATATTAAGGTTACTCGGATTTGGTGATACAGTTGGCAAATGTTGCTATTGTAAAAGGCCTTATTAATAATTGTATTACTGCAATCCACACAGCATCTCGATGTTTCTAAAAATGCCGGTATAAATACGCTTCAAATTTTTAATTTAATTGATTGAAAATTATTTAATTTTGGGTTAATAAAAATTCCAGTAATTTTATACTCGTAGAGCCATTTATTAATAATACCTAATTAATATGTATATAATTATTTATAAAGTTATTAACATTTCATGTGTATTCACTAATTCAACTAATGTCAATAAAATATGTACAAATTTGTTTAACTATATTCCCAATTCCCTAAAATTGACATATTCTTACAACAGTAACTATTATTTACAAAAAGAACGTTCTTCATTTACTCAGAACGTTGATTTCTAGTTTTTTTGAACAATTAACAGTCCTAAACAAACCTGTCCAAATAAGTAAAAATATATATTATGCATGTATGAATAAATATAAAGGCAAGTAAGTAAACACTTGACACAAATTAATAATTACTAGAAAGTTGTAGACTAAATTATCCTTTCTTCTTATTAAATATATTAGTTTTTATTTTAATTTAAAACCGTTAAACAGTTTTTAATGTGATAATTTAATAAAAAAAAAGAAAATGTGTCTATAACCCTTGAGAAAAAAATCAAATACTGTTATGTATTTTCGAATAAAAAAATAATCACATGAATTAAAAACGAGACTGACCAAAACAATGAAGTCTACCTGCCGACTTACAAACTAAAATTGGTATGATTAAAAATTTGTTCATTCGCTATACAAGTTACTACTTTCAATTGCAAATTAGTTATATTCAAATCTAAATATATTCAATTAATATGTTATTATTAGGGTTTTTGGTTCTTCAAAAATACATGAAATTTATGATAACATTAAATTAGAGGGAATTCGATATTAATAGCCGAAATTTGCTAGATCTTGATAAAAATTTCATACATTTGAAAAACTATTAAGCCTAATAATTTAGGCAAACAACTAATTTTATTGGAAGAACTAAATGTAAAAACAATCGGGCGTTTATCATGAATCGTACAATAACTTCCTCGGTTTTTTTGTTTGTTTTAATCTGAGGCAATTCAATAATAAGATAAGTTTTAAATATTTTTGGCCCCAGCGTATCTCCCTTAAATACATTAAAGGTTAGTTAATCGAACATTTAAATACGTACAATTTGGTTATTTAAAATTTTTCTATCTTCTACGTAAAATTTTATCGTGCGGGAAATTCCTCGCTGCTGCCACTCTATTATGCCACAGCGAGTTAAAATTAGAAACCCTGCTTTAAATTAGCCCGGTTTTGTTTGTGCCATAGTAGCGAGGAAAATTACGATAAAATTTCCAAAAATAATGATTTTGTATTAATTATTTACAAATTGTTCTAAATTCACTTCGGCTTTTCCACATTGCCTTTCTTTTCGATATTTCCATACACTAACTGTTTCTATTGGATTACAAACTCCTGTCTTTTGACGAAGGTTAGAATAATTTTAAAAAAACTTTGATTGTATTGCTGTTTTTAATATAAAAAAAAATACGTAGAGACAGAATGCTTTTACAATTTATAAATGAACATGAAGAATGATTGAATTAGACAGTAAGTTTGATTTAATATTCTTCAAGTTAAGATTTCTTGAAAATAAAAAACTTGGTTTTCTGTCTCCATTTTGAAATCTCATAATCGTTAAAAAATCAGAAATTTGCTGTGGGTTAGTTACTTCACGAAAATTTTGCTCGCTCAGTCTATAATTGTCTCGATTTGCTTTTGTACATTATTTTTAATCTTGCTTTTTATATATTATTTACAAACACATGTTAACAGAAAAATAAATTATTTCTTGTACAAAAATTTACACGCCTTTTTACAAATTCTAAAATTGCAAAAAATGAAAACCTAACAACAAACAAAAATAATAACAACACAACTTTATTCAGTACCCCGCTCACATATTTGCAGAGGTAATTTTCCCGATGCTCTCACTCCTGCGAATCACTGAACACTGTCTGGCAGCGGCAGTATAATTTATTCTTTTAAAACAACTTAATTAAAATTATAAATTAATATTCGCCATTGTCGGCGTACTATTTTCATTCACATTAAAAATCTAAGTCACCGTCTCTAAAAAATTAACATTCTAAATATCACATTGCTTTTATCTTTTTTTCCATAGTTTTGTACAACATACAAAAAAGGATTCCACACGTTAAAATATTTACAATTATCAATTGAGAAAAATATCATTTCATATCGTCATGTTTGAGTATTTTTTCTTACTTTTTTTTCTTCACACTGAAATTCGTTTTATGGTCAAGTTAATTGTATTTTTAAAGCCATTTGTATATGCATATTTTACCAAAATAACGCATTTTATATGATAGGAATTTAGGTGCGAAAGAGATACACAAATACGTTAGGTGCTATTTTGCAGTGAACTATTAAAAATAGCCTTATTCGATTGAATTAAAACTAAAAAAAAAGTAAGTACATATTTATCAGTGTTTTACAGGAGCGCAGCCGCGGTGTTGTACAATTGTACTAGTACCTGCATGTGTACCGGTAAGCAAGACAAACGATCTTTCGTGTTCGAATCTAGCGCCAGCCAGGACAGGGCATTGTAACCTTCCAATACGTATCTATAACAAAAAGTAAAACAAATTATTAATACTCTCGATATAAGCGAAGAGATCGAATTAATACCTCAAGACGTCCGTAGTGTATTGCGAGTCGAGCGGATGCGACGTCACCGCCGAGGACTGTTGAAACAAATCGTCCGAACTTTGCTGGACGTTGGGACTGTGTAAGTGCAGGGCGTTTTTGAGAAAAGCCGGACATACGCCCTCCAAGTGCGGACACGACGCCCAAAACCAACGGGGCATCTTTCCCGTCGGCGCCGTCGAAACGAAGAAACCCAACGCCAAAGGTTGTTGAAGCACCACACCCACTTCTTCGCTCGGCTCGATACCTTTCGAATTCATGCCGCCCATCATTGGAGTACCTACCAAAAAATCGCACATAATTTTAACACCATAATACATCAAGTGAAATGGTTTCCAATAAATTTCAACGAAAAGTGTACGTACCATCTCTACCTATATTAGCGCCGCCCGTCGGACTTCCCGTACCGGATTCTTCCCTTCTCGGACTACCCGTGGGACTCTGTCCGCCGCCGTTTCCCGCTATTTCCGTCCAATTGAAAATGTCGTTGAATTCGCCGTCCATGCCTTCGGGCATGTCGTCGAAGGGGCTGAAGAGCTCGTCGTCGCCCAAATCGGCGGTGATATGTTGTTCCTGAAAAGCCGTTTGAGAGGATTGCGTGGTGGCGCTGGTGGGAAAGACCAGTATGTGCGTGCAGCTGACGTCTTGCGGAGTAGAGAGCTGAGAGTTGACGGATACCTATCGAAAAGTACGCGTTAGAATTATTACGGAAGAGCGTCGAAAATAGGATTGTTTACCTGACTAAATCTTTCGTCGGGCGTAAATTGATCGGGCATGAGCCTCAATACGGAATCGGGCTCCAAGCTGACCAAACAGGCGCTCAAAATGCACGGTACGAAATTCGGATACATCATGGAGCATTGGTTGCATATCTCTTTGAGGTGTTTGGAAGCTTTTAGAAGATTTTTGCGGCTCAATAACCAACTCCAACCTTTCAATTCGCCGTGACCTGTGAATTCGTCAAAGTAGAATAAATAGTATACAGACAATCCGTATCGAATTAATTACCTATTCTTCCTAATCTCCCGACGACCAATCTCCAAGGCCTCACATTTTGCGACATCACTCCCAGTATAAAACTCATCAATTTTTCCAAACCCGTTCTTCTTGCCGACGCTTTTTTCCTTCGACTTCGATTCGGTATGTCGACATTGATGGTGATGGTTTCGAAAATTTCTCCCTAAAAATCATTTGATTAATCCATATACATCAGCACTAGAAAATCGCGGGTAAGAGATTGTTTTATTTCTTACCTTTTCATCGGTGGCAACGGCCAACAACCAACTTTGGTCTTCGGATAGACAATAGCTTAGATATAGGACGGATGATTGTTCTTGTGTGCCTTTGGAAAAGGCGTCTGCAGGTTCTTGTTTGCCTCTCATCGGAGCCAGAATGTACGGGGGAGTGTATACCTTGTAAGGAGCACGGTTCTTCTCCTAAAAACACAACATACCGTAAGCAAAAGAACTCTAATCAAGACGAATAGAAATCATACATTAACAGTTATCGACTTTTTTTACTTACGTCTTTATTCTTTAAGAAATGGTCTGCCATGGCGGCAGTGCCGAATCCCGTCAGAGATTTCACGTTATTCGTATGCACGAGCAGTCGCCTGCATTGCGAGAAAATGTTTAAAGCCAATGCCCTCATGTGATCGCTGTGTCTGTTTCTGTTCCGCGCTTTGTTCAACTCCACGATACTTTCCAAAGAAATAATCTAAAATAAACCAATAAAAAATATGATTTACGAAATATTTGTAAACTTTATTGAATTTCCAGAAGAGCATGTAGACTAAAGTCATTTATTTTTATCGTAGGTAAGTGAATGCTTCATTATCACGCGACATGCTCTACGGGAAAATAGGTTTGCTATAAATATACAGTACCTGAACGCTGATGTTGTTTCGTATATTTTCCGGAACGGCGGTTAAAATTGACTGGTAACATCTCAAAAGTGCCAAGCAGGCTAATCGTTGAAGCTCCGGTTGGTCCGAGCCCAGAGAAAATGGTTCGACTAGATAAACGACAACAGATGGTACTTCTTGATCGTCCTCATCGTGCTGTACGGTATCCGTTACGCTACTAATCGGTGATGAATCCTTCAAACCATCTCCATCTAAAAAATACATTTTTTTATTATTTACCGGTGTGGTTTCGGGCGTAAATTAAATTTACCTTGATCGCTTTTAGGCGTCGGTGCTTTATCGGAATTGGAGGAAGATGATGGTTGACTGCTAGCGTTTTCTGGAGTACTCGGAGGGGGCATAGGACTAGGCGTTGGTTGGTCGGTGGTAGTAGCCTCTTGCGGTGGGTCTAATAGAGTTTTATCCATGGGAACTTGCTGCAAATGCGGCGCTAAATGATGTTTGCAAACCTACAAAAAATTAAACCATTTTTTAAATTAAGAAAATAAAACAAAGAAATGATAGCCTACATATTTTACGAGGGTACCATCTTTGGAATGTGTTTTTTGAAGAACAATATTAGATCATTATTGGTAGTTACATAACAAACGTTACATACCTGCGCATATAACTTCAACATATCAGTTGTTTCTCCTTCTCCTAAAAGCGTAAACCATTCCTCGATGGGTTCGTTTCCGATTTTCGTCTTGGCCGTTTTCCCGACTCTCAATATACCGTCCCTAAGTACTTTGGTGATGGGGCTGTGCCTTCCCAGTTTGCAGCTTTCGTAAGCCGTCGATAATTCTTTGAAAAAGGTCCTCACTCTGGGTAAAATCGCGTCGTTATCAGGCGCTACGACGACGTAAGCGATATCTCTAGCGTACGAGTACGGTTCTAAAAGTAGAGTTTCCCAATGTTGCAGGGCGTACGGCGATAGGGATAGCCAATCTTTGTCGTGTCCGACGATTACCGATGGTATGGGTTGAGGTTCGCATCTGTCGTCCGTACCTCGGCCGGCTAGCCGGTGGAATTGCCGCCACGTCAACGGTCCCTTAACCGCCGACGGAGCTTCCCACAATCTCGTCTGGCATTTCTTTTGTATAGCCTCTTGCAGCAGCGGTTGAAGGTTTCTCATCACTCGAACTATGTCTTGGTTACATTGCGGACCTGTCGCTCGGAGAAACGGCCAACGATGTACCGTTACTTTTTGAGAATTTTTAGAATGTTTGATTTCCTCTATCTGTAGAACAAATAAAACGCGTATTAGCTATGTGCAATGATGTTACATTAAATTAAACTTACTTTGCACAATCCCAAATTTTCTAAGAAACTTTTGCTTTGTTCCAGTGCGATGCAAGTTACTTCATGACTATCGGAATATTCTAATACGTGGATGTTCGATTTGTGTTGTACATTGACTTTGGTTCGCACGTAACCGCCAACTCTACACAACGAATTTGTAGTATTTGGTATAATGACCAGTTGCTCCCTAACGAGTTCTATAAGGCTATGCGGTAATATGTCGACTTGTTCTCTATCGATGCCCGGGTCCGGTTTAATGGTATTCGTAGCAACAAGGAACGACAACAACGATGACTTTTTCTTCTCTCCCGGATCTTCAGCGATACCTGTTTAAAAAAAATCGTAAGTAAAAACATTGTTATGCACTCACTATAATTGTGTATATTAACCTGTTATTTCTACTTCGTCTTCGTAAAACAGCCCACTACCGTGAGCCAATCTTCTATTGACCACCGCGGAGAATCCACAACTACATCTGATCGAATCCTCATCGTTATGATGATCATCGTTCATTATGTTACTGTAAGGTGGCGGTTGTCCCATATTACCCCCTGTATAGGGACTATTAGGCTGTGCGCTGGCATGCTGTTTATCACTTGGAGTATTTAATAAATAGATTCCCGCGTCTGCACCTCTGATATTACCAACAACCTAAAAAATTATGATTTATTAATACCATATTCATTAGAATCAACTCATTTTTTTGCTACTTTTTCACTGCTTTGGCAACCGCGCAATGCAATTTCTGTTCTTAAAAAAATATTTTAAAACAGACCCATTACGAAGTTTTCTCGTAACAAACCGTATTTTTAGATAATACATACCTTCCCGGCGGCGTTGCAGACGCACAACGTACAACTGTCGAAATTGTGATCGCGGAATATGTTGAAAGCCGTATCGGTGAGCAGGATGTTGAGCACAAGGCTGGAAGCTTCGGGCGTCCTTTGGGCGATGCCGGGCGTCGGCGTCGGTATCGCCTCCACCGAATTGAGATTCTTGTTGAGATACGAACCGGGCGTCGATGTCGCCGGACTAGCGATTTCGTAGGGCGGCGGTGGCGGCCGAAAAGCGCCGCCCGGACCGCCGCCGGCGCTGTGCATCGGACTAGGAGGGAACAGGCTGGTGTTCTGTAAATAAGACGATTTTTAGAATTCGATAAATAGCATCGATTCACGACAGTCGATTGAAATCACCACATTGGAATATCTAAATTAGATTGGTTGATTTCAACTAGTATATCAATCGATTATCGTTATGTAAATGAAGATTTACAGCTATAGATTTGAAAATGTGATAGTTTTGTTCGTACCTGATGAACATTACTGCCGGGTACGGCGCTGGCAGGAGCGTTTTGGTTGTTATTGGAAGCATTGTTTATGTGACTATTGCTAGTGGTGTTGTTATTATTATTGGTGTTTTGTTGTTGCGTGGAAGATTGTTGTTGTTTCTCGACGTGTTGCATCCACGACGGTTTGTAGGTGAAATTCGACGGTAGGGTAACGGCCGGTAGATTTTGACTTGGTAAATTCGTTAGTGGGGCGTATTTGCTGCTACCGACCATTTTGCAAATCGAAGGAGGTTTGAATACGAAACTCCAATCCTCTGTAAAATAAAAATAATAATTCATGAATATATTATTATAATTACCAAACATCGTATTGATCAAACATTCCCTTCCTCTCTTTGAACTTTCCCCCAGTAAAAACGTTTTAACTCACCGATATTTTCTTCCTGAGGGCTGCCCATGTTGGGGTAAATTTCTTGTTTTACTCGTACTATAGTGAGATCGGAGGTGAATTCGGGAGGCGGTATGTCCATTTGTCCGCAAGGCGATGCTATGGGATTGTGTTCCAAGCTAGGGGGCGTCGGAAACATTTTACTCAATTCCGCTTGTCCTAAAATACCCATATTCGGACAACCGTGTCCCGAAAACCTTTTGGAATCTTCGTGATGATTGATAGCCGTCGAGCCGGGCGGAGTTTGAACCTGCATCTAAAAACACAACAAATAAATAAATCGGATCGTTAATTAGAAGAAATAAGCTGTACTTACACCGTCGTCGTCATCAGAATTGTCGAATATCTGATCGAGATCTTTATACGAAGGTTGCAAACCTTCACTGGTAAATAAATTATCCGTCGTGATTTTCTTCACTTCTTTGTTTTCCTCCTTAACTACGACTTGGCCCCTTTTGAAACTGTCCAAGTTGCAATTCGCGCCGCCGCCGTCCTCTTCGAATTCATACGGGTCCCCGGGTCTTTTTACTCCGTGGGGATGAGAGTTTGTCGTCGGAGGATCGCCTTCCATCTAGAATCAAAATTAGTTTTTAAGTAAGCAAATATTCTATTATGTAATGTATCCTATTGACGAGAGGGATACTAATTAATGTCATTTTAAAAAGTACTAAGTTCAAGTACTCACGCTTTGTCCAGACTCCTGTTTGATCTCCTGCTTAATAACGATCTGTTGGTTCTTATTGTTGTTATTATTATTATTGTTAATCACAACCTCGTTCGTCTGGTTAACATTGTAATTTTTATCGTACATCGCGTAAATGTCCGTCTTTCCTATCCTATTTAATCTCTGGTTCTCCTTACCGTCCGGCTTGAATTTCTTCACCGGATGATTCAACCACGCGTTCATCGTCGAATAATCGTAAAGCATTTCGAGGTGTTGCTCCTCCTCGCCCAGAGCCACCTACAAACAAAACAATCACATTGTATAATCACATTGAATAATAAATCCTTGGTACTTCAAGTAGCCTTGATTTACGACTTACCTCGTATTCTTTGCTGGTCAAAGTAGGTTTTCTTAAAACGGGAAAACTGGATATGCTAGTGGTCGTTTCGCTTTTGCTATCGCCGGCCAATCCGGACGCGTTGGGACTGTTCCCGGGACTTTCGACGCTCTTATGATGCTGATCGGGCGTGTGGGTTTTCTCCGGCGGCGAGGGATTATCGGCGGGCGGATGCGGCGACAGCGTCGGCATCGCTTGGTCTCCCGGAGGAACGGACGCCGGTTGCGAATGGGGATTCGGCAGCGGCGACGGCGCCACCGAGGGCGGCGTCCCGACGGACGGTATCGCCGTCGATTCCTGCGTTCGTGGATAGGACGGCGGACCACCTTGGGGCGTGTAAGAGCCGCTCGAGCATCTGGAAAGGGCGATTTGTTATCGTTAGAAATTATAAACTAGTGGCGTCGACGAGTTCAGGTTTAATGCGATATGAATAAGCCTCAGATGTCGATGCTGATCGTCTTCTTATTTTAAATGAGACGGTACCACGGTACCATTGGAATGTACATTCGCACAATTATGACTGAAACCAAAGCCTTGTAGAATTCGTTCACTTTAAATGGCAAGCTCTAATAAGTTTATAAATAACGTTGCAAAATATTTCGCCATTTAAAGTAATCAAATCTACATAAAATGGAATTAAAAAGACATGCTTGTAAGAAATGTATTATAGTGGATTTAATATGATCAAGACTCCGTAATTTAATAAACAAAGGACCACAGCCTTTTGATGTCAGTAAGTAAACGCATCGTTATGTTATTAGTAATTTCGTTTTTATTTTTGTTAAAGTAGATTCTCGCTAAATTGTCTCGAAGAAAAAAAAATAAGTTTTACATTCACCGTGACACCTGTTCGAAATATTCGAAGATAAAATCCGTATCGCGAAAGTGTTTCTTCGATGAGTTATTTGGAATACTTTCGTCCGACCGAAAAGGATTCGCCATTAATTGCAATCGTAAAATTGTACAAATTATAAACAAGTGCTATGATGAATGTAACGTTTTCTCGATTAAATTTCGCGAGAATTTATGAAAATGATGTCAGCCCGTCACCCCTCTTTTTATACTTTGGGCAATTTTTAAATAATATATCGCAAATATGAAATACGATAAAATAATATTGTAGTAGGTAAATGTTTATGTAAAAATTGCCCAAATTATAAAGTACGAAGCGAGTGACCAACCTTTCAGAGGGCAGCAGAAGGGGCGAGCGCCTGTGAAAGGGCACTCGCACCCTGTACGCCTTTCCACTGGACCGGGGAGATGTCCCACTGCCAGTCGTCCATTTACTTGAACCACTAGGCGGTCCTAGCGACTTTCTACACCTGAAATGTTTTTCAATTTTTTTACTAAATCAGCACAAACGCTTCCTTAATAGAATATGTTTTTTCCCGACACTTTATATACTATTAAAAAAATTGTTAGCTAATTTTAAAGGTGGCATATTTGATTGTCTGCAAAAATTAAAAATTCGTAAAAATAATTATAGCCTACATAAATAATTTAAGTAATAAAAATCAACCTACTTTGAACAGGTACAATTGATTTTCCGAGTAGGTTCCACAAAATCCCAATTTCCGCTAAATTCTTTATCCTGCTGCTGTCCGCTACCTTGATTATTACCTAAAATGCATTCTTGCCATGTCCTTTCCGGCAACACTGTACCTGCAGTAGGTTCTCTAGACATTGAACTGAAATGTTCTACGGAAACCTAAAATCAAAAAATAAAAACATAAATCAAATACACATTCGAAGCAATTAAAGATCGCATTCGTTCTCTCAAAATCTCTTACCGTAAACGGTCCGGGTTGCGGCACCCGACTCCCAATTCTAACGGGACTCGGCGGCGGCGTTTGCACCATCGCCACCGGACTGCCGCCCCTTTTCTCGCTACACCGTTCGTCGGTCGCGTTCGACGACACCAACCCGTTCAGTACGGCCGAATTCGCCTCCTCGTCCATATCGGTAACCAGCACGTAACAGGAGGGATACCTCATCTTCACGCCGCCAACGATCACCTCCACCACGCTGCTATCCGTCAACGTGTTGGTCTTATCCAACGGATAGAATTGGCTCCAATCGTCCAACAGTCGAGCCGTCGCCTCGGGCGATTTGAAGCTGTGGCCGGTCAGCGTTCCCGATAGACCGAACGGAGCCAGGATAACTGAAAATAACAATTTTGATGTTATTGATGATAATTATGAAATGGTTATTGAAGAGGTACCAAAGAGGTAGAATAATAGAAATTGCATAAATACGAGTACTCTGTGAATTAACTAAGGATCTGGATAATGTCGAATTGAAGGGGAATGTGGTGCAAAGTATACCTTTGAGGCCGGTGGAGGAGGCCTGGGCCTGTTGCACGTGCCACCTGGTCAGCTTTCTGACGGGCGGATGTTGGCGCACGTCGACCGAAGCGCAGACGCTGCTCTCGCCGTGCACGAAGAAGGCGAACGAGAAGCTGAGGTGGGCGCTGCCGAAGGACGTTTCGTTGACGTGCCCGCCGCCCAAGAGGCCCGAATGGCCGGACGGACGTTTCGCCGGCGCCGAACACGGCTGGACGAACCATTTGCCCAGCCGGATGAAGTTGCGCGACAACAGACACCGTTCGATCAGGTTGTGTAGGGCTTTGAACAGCAACGAGCGGCATTCGTACGACAGGCCGGATTCCCAGGAGCCTTGTTCGCAATCTGTAAAAAAAATATATGTTTTAAAATCTATTAGTCAATGAAAATATCATGATTCTAAAGACTACAATGAGCGGCAGGATAGAAGGTGATACCAATGTAGCTTAGAATGTAGTTACATTAAATAGCTTCAACATAAAATTAGAGTTGGACTTCAAGCCAAATGATTAATATAATGAACTTGTCGGATATACTGGGTTCAATTTTAAACTTCAACAGCCCACCTAAAAGAAAATTTCTTCTAAAAATTTTGGATTTCCTTTATATTATTGATTATTAACGTTCAGTCACATGAGTAATGTTGGTTGGCACGAAGATTTATTGTAATCATTACTGTTGAACTAATTCTAAAGGAGTATTTCAAAGTTACAACAAACTTAGAAGACTTTTCGAAGTTAAGTATGGTTTTGCAAAGTATCCTTTCTAAACTTCGTTTGAACCAAACCTGCACTTCCCAATCCTTCAACCTCGGGTTAAATCAAAATCCAAAGATAAATGAACAAAATAAAACCTTTATCTATTGTGATTTTATAGTGCACATGCAATTTAAAGTGGTCAGGATTTTCACTTGTAATTCATTTCACGGTTGTTCCTACTTCTTTTGTGTTTTTGCACCATAAAGTCGTTAAAAAAAATAAAGAAGTAGTTAGAATGTTGAAAAATAACGGTTAATTTGTATGGTAAATGCACTTTCCAATTTCTCTTTAAAAAAACTCCAGAAAATTCAAATTTCTACAATCATTTGTACATGTATCTGGTAAAATAATACAAAATTACAATTCAATTAACTTTACTAGCTATATTAGAACACCTAACTTGTTTCTACTACGCATCAAAACAATACCATTCATCAGAGATCGCATGAATCAAAGCTCTCGTAGGTATACCGAACCTACTTTGTACAATCGTAACGTTCCAAAATAACGTCAAACGAAAACCTACAATCCTCCCTCTACGCTCATGCAGTCCCAACGCCGATGGATGCCGATAAAGCGGCGGCGGTGGCGGCGGCATCGACTCAAGAGCGTGCATGTGTAAGGACAGACAAACCTACTCTATCTGGAAATAATCAAACGAGCGAAAGCGACGTTGCCGGCTCCGCTACGCCCGCTATATCGACTGATTTACGTCGGACGGCCGTCCGTTTCGCCGCTCCTATGCGATACTGGAACGCTGTTTTCGCCATCGATTCGCGTACATCTTTCTCCTTATCGGATCCGGTAACGACCCGTTCTTTTACCCCACATACGCGTCGCTGCCAAACGTCGGACGATACGTCGTTTGTTAGAATTATTGTTACCGAAATACCTGGTCGAAATTTTACGCTTATAAATCAAAGAAATGGCCAGGTAGACAAACCTGTATGGGATTATCGGCGACGAAAAAAATCAATTCAGGTAGGTAGGTATATTGCGATGATGTCGATGTGTGTGTGTGTGTGTTGTGTGTGTGCACAGTTTTCGCACAAACCAGCCCATACCGGCGATGTATCGGCGTTGTTTGAATTGTTAATAGGCATAGAGGTGCGACGGGAGAACGTTACGAAATCACCTAGCGCTTAGTAGGTCGAAGGTGAAGTTTACGTACAATTCGAATACATTCTCGTTCCTGCAGATAAGTTTGTAAACGAACCGAACACTAAATTACAGCGAAAATTATCGTTTTCAATAAAACGAACATTAAATAGGAATTAACGTTAATGGTTCGACGTTTACGTTCTAATTTTACGAACCGCGAGATTATTATTTAACGGTTAATTTCTGATATTTTCGACAAGTCGAAAAAAAATCAATTAATATTCTCGTGTAACTTCGAATAAATTCGACTCTTGACTTATGCGACTAAGTACTCATTTTCCATTCGAGTAACGTACGAATCAAATAATGAAAAAAAAAAGCCAGCACAAAAACTCTACAGCTGTTTAGTTTGATATACAGACTGTTAGTATTTCGTTTCTCGATGGATATGCACATAAAACTAGTTTGAAAAGAGCCCTAACAGGAAACAGCTGAGAGTGCGACCGTGTCTCGCCTCTTTAACAACCGTGTTCTTACAATCTAAAATGTAACTAAGTGACTTAAATGCACTAATATTTACATGTAAAAATATCCATTTTATCTCGCACTCGCCCAACGAAAACAATTCCGTTATCGCCGAGCAAACAGCATCAATCGAAGAAAGTGTTCCAATTAATAATTATTAGATCTTAACCAACAACAGTTAATTACATACAATGAAATAGTCTATAATCTGTATGATACTTTGTGAAAGAGTAGCTTTATTGAATGATAATCGGTTGATTTTGATTGGCTTGTGTAAAAACAAGTAAGATTATTTAACTTGTGTGTAAGAAGTTAATTTCGATCAAGGAATGAAAAAAAGCGTTCAAAAACGATTTTTTTAGGAAGAAAATTGTCGACTTCATTTTAACCTTTTGTAATAAAAATGAAACTTAAAGAAAAGTCCCATAATTTGCCTTTAATTGTATGCTAAATTTCAAAATTCCATTTTCACTATAAATAAAGGAAAATTTAAAACGTAACTTTACCCACAAACTTAAGGGTATGATACATACATATAACTAAGAGGTCAAAGAATTGTCGATTTTTTCACGAAAAAACTTAATTTTTATCCAAGAGTTGAATGACACCTATTTTAAAACACCTTGTGTAACAGCGCACGATAAATAAAATCATTACCAATCGAAAAAATAAAGCAATTCGCTTTTCCCCGGAGTATTTCCGAAGCGTCGAGACGGCAACGCCGCCGTCGCCAAGGCGATCGAACTCCTCTGACGTTTTACGGTTACGTCGTCGTGACGTCAGGCGGTTTACTACGCGAAATAATGGCGATAATCGAGCGGTTCAACTTAAAAAATGCGATTATAGACGCGAAAAAAGGGCTCTACGTACGACACGAACGGGCCCCTCAATCGCAATCCTATCGCGTAGCCGGCAAATGATCGTAGATAATGGATAAATGCGACGCGGGGCGGGGAGAATTTGGGTCAAAGCTTTCCGAGTGTTTATAAACCCTGAAACTGCAATTTGAGGGTCGTTAGGAATTCGTTTGATGTCAAGGTCGATGGGAATTTAATTTGTTTCAACTATTCGTTATGGAACGCACCGATTCGATTGATTGACCTGATAAATATGGAATACATACTTGAACGGGTAACTGAGTTAATACACATATTAGTGGCACATTAAATTTCTAGTTAAGTACATATCCATTAAACGCTGAAAAGTCGCATAAATGGGAATATTAAGCGGTTTTGTTAAATCTCCAGATGCCGGAAAGATTGATGAAGATATAGCAACCTTTCAGATATTTCCAAGAGACACGCGTCAACTGTTTACTAAACAACGCGGCGTTGCCCGATTGTGAAACATTTCACGAGTTTAAACTACTTTTATTGCGATCAAACAGAAATACAATACCGGCACCTACTATTTTTAGAACAGTATAATATCAAAATTACAATTATTTATAACAATATCGAATAACGAGCCGATATAAAAAAGTAAACAAATAAATACCAAATTGAAGAAATTCTCTTCGTATGCGGTATGTAGGTCAAGCATTTCTCCGTTACGTATTAACGTTCGCTTGTCCATTGTTTACCGATAGTTTGTTTTTACTGTTTATGAAACTGTTTTATAAAGGAAAAATGTAAAACCGGAACTGGCTGTTCGAATAAAGATATTTCCCGCTTCTCAACAGGGAATTTCGAAGCGACTTGAAACTAAAGACAACTCAACAGATGACCTTGGGGCACTCAACTTTCAAGAAATGTTACATTCTAAACGTCTGGATGGCACAAGAAATGGTGTTAAATGTGCCAATATAAATAGAATGGCTTGAAATTTGAACTTGAAAATGTTTCCTGGATCGCAAAATTGTATGAAAATAGCCAATTGTGTAATCTAAAATGAGTTTTATAGTAAGCGAGTTTGTTAATTTGCTACAAAATTAGAATAAAATGGATATGAATAAACGAATGATACTATTTACTGCATGCTTAATACAAATCCAGTAGATAAGAATTGATAAAAAACGAACGTATCTCCGCTCATGTAAGCAATAGAAAGTGTTATTGAACCTGCGCCTAAGAAGTTGTGGTTGCGAAATGACCGGCAAAACATGAATGTAGGTATTAACGTTCAACCTACACGAACCGAGGAAATACTCGAATTTCAAATCACAGCCGACCGTCTACGCTTTATTAAATTAAACAATATTTTACCATCATCTCGTTGCGATTTACCGAGTAAACAGGTTTATTAAGATGTAGACCACATTCGATGAACAACACAAACAGTGCCACAATAGGACACAATAAAACGAGACACCGAGAGACAAAAGAAGACGCGTTCGGGTCAGCTACTAAGAAATAAAGAAATTATAAAAAGGTCAATGATACCATCGAAGAGACGTGTGTATAGGAACAGTGTCCACTCGTACACCGATTTAGTTTTCGAGGTGTAAGTACAATTGTCGTTTTGACTGGTTTATTTAAATGTATGTTAATTCGTTATTCAAAAACCACTAATTTACTACACAAACCGATGACCTTCGCATTAACCCCGAGTTTCGCGAATCAATTGTACATCTTCTGCTCGAAAACATGCCTATTTCGTGTTGTTTACAGCCTCAATAAAACCCTTGAAGTCTCTAATAATCTTCGTTTAATCTCGAGTGTTAGATTCTGATAGCAGATGAAATTATTGTACAGTAAACCGGAAGTGTTCATTTTCATGAAAATTGCCCTAGAATAATTAAAACCTAATTGCTAGTAAAAAATGTAATCAACAATCATTAGTTTTTATCAATATCCTGAAAAATCCCAAAGACGACCGATGTTTCTACCAGCGCGCCCGTTATATTTCCTCAATTTTCCCCGTACCGTCTGAAAATAGCGCATCATAAACACGACGTAAAAACGCCCATTCTTTCTCGTTAAGGGCCCCGCATTCTCCAGTTTAGCTAGCCATTCCGCGGATATTTGATACCCCACGACCATTGAGCGAAAATAAACTCTCTCCGTTCGGTACAGGTGGTTCGGTTTTCCGCGCGGGCAATGCAAAAGATCGTTCACCTCCCGGCCGCGAAACGGTTCGATAATGTTATCGAAAATTTATAGTTTCGATATTTTTTTTTCTATTTGTAGATAAACGAAAATGCTAGATACGGAGGTATTTTTAGGTTTTATGTGGTTTAGGGTACATAGTTAATTCCTGGTACGTAATTAACTTTTAAATTTGTAAATTTGATCTTTAAAATATTTTTAGTGGTTATTAAAAGTTAAAAACCCAGATTATTCCTCAAATTATAAAAATCTCAACTTTCTCATAATTATAGCAATTATTCATTACCTATATAAAAGTTTATACGAATTAATAATAATTAAACTTCTTAAAATTTCGAACAAACAACAAACCATTTTTTATGCCAGTGATATCTAAAACTTTCATTGGTCAATAATCGGTTAATCGAAACCTAACCACAGATCCTACGACATTGAAATGTCAAAAATACATATTAACGATTTTATACTGGTATTTTTTAGAAGACTGAAGAAAAAAAAAACGAGCCCACCGGCATTCTCGCCGGAATCATAGCGAAGCATCGGCTACAAACACAACACACAATAAACGTTGGAATTTGACAGTTCTCCGATGCTGATCGCGCGCCGGTTACCATGGATACAACCTAAATAGCCGTTTTCATCCCAACGCGACGTTGCCAAACGTGCGAATCAAGCCACGGTCTCCCTTATTTTTTGATCGGAATGAAAAAAAAAAAACTAATTCTTCCAATTTTCGAATCGATTCAATCGAGAATCGAAACTGATACGTCCACGTCATCTCAAAAAAAATCGTTATCTATTACAACAAGCAAATAAAACCCATTTTTGCCTATCGCACGATAGGTTTCATCCCGTAATGTCGTCTCTATCCCGTTTTAGAGGCGAGTACATCGCATGTGTGTTCACCTGACCTTTGCGAAAAGGTCAGGTGTATGCGAGTGTGTGTGCGGTTTGCTCTCGACGTCGAATCAACGCCAACGCGGCAAGAGATTCGCCGTTGCGACGCCGACGCTTGTTGCTCCAAAAAGCGCCGGTGTACGTCCGTCCGGCGACGCTGCCGAATCGATAGAAAACCTCCCGTTAATTTGTCCGATTTTTATTTCTATTTTACCTGGCTCTTCTTCCTATGCTCGATATTCGACGAACTTTTTTAAATAGACATTCGATAAAATATAAATATTGTTTGCGTCAATGCAGCAGAATGCATGAGACAAATGTTTTGTTTATTACACAGCGATTTTATTTGAAATGTTGTTAATTATAGATTTATAGTTTCTATTAGCTGTAGATGAATTAAGGGGTGGATTTATTAGTGCGTAGATAAATTCGCTGTATTTTATTATTACAAGTTATAGATGGTATTCTATTAAAGATTGTTAAGCGGGCCTTATCTAGAGGTCAATATACCGACCCTTAGCTTAGATGAGAGTTATCAGCATTTTTTTAACGATAGGTTAACAGAGAGACATTTGCAGAGTTTGCAAATTGACTTTATTTTACGTCATATGCGTTATCTATTAGATATTTAATTTGTTACTAAAAAATCTATCTCATATCTAAAAATAGTTAAGGATTATTCGTTGTAAATTTATGTAGGTAATTTTTTTCTCTCATTGCAGACGTTTTCTTATTAGCTATTATTCAAAGTTTGCATTGATAATGTTCAATAACCTTAGATAACAGAATGCACACCCTATTTTTTATCAAAAAGTACAGTTTAACAGTCTTAATAAATATCAAATGAAATATCAATACAGATTTATGATTAATAATCATGTACTTATATCCTTCATAAAACTAAGAAACAAATAAACTTTAAGCAATTATTCGCTCTCTTATGAACAATAAAAAAGTACAATAAAACTCTCGAATCGGCCGAAACGACCTTCATCGCCGCAATCAACAGGTTACAACACAATTAAATCCCTCGCAGCAGACCAAAGAAATCTTAATCCGCTCGACAACGATTCGTCACCGATCTCAATCTAACCAGCAGCAACTCGTCGTTCCCGAAAAGCGACAATAAAAACGGGAAAGCGCGGCAACGCGCCCGGTCTGCTCCTGTCAATCGGTTTTTCTACGATTCGCGCCACACACACACATCGAACCGGTCCCCGGTCTACCAGTTACGACACGTGAGAGGAGTCTGGCACGTGACGTCACACGAAGGGTAGCCGGCCGGCCCCCGTGCGCCAGAAAGAGACAACAGCACCTTTTTGCCGCACAGGTTCCCAAACGCCAAGGGTATGATACTCAAAGCCACGTTGCCGGATCTATCCCGACGTCACCGGTAATTGGATTAATTCTATTGCACAAATGATGTGTGTGTTATGGCTAAAGTTGTAATGAAGAGGTTTAATAGGTTGATTACAATGCCTTGATAATTCTTACTTTAACAGGTTAAATTAAACCATTCACTATGGCTTCAGCTATATGCATTCTACCAAAGCAAAGCTGGATGAACAAATGTCTACAAAGGTGGCCATTATACTCTAACAAGACGAATTCATCATTTCTAGTAGAGGTGATAAATAATTACGAGATTTATCATTTTTTTAAGCAATGGAAAGTATCATACAACAAGGCATCAGTATTTATATAATTCTCTTAATGGTCCATTAACCCGGTCGAAAAGACGTATCATCCTCCACAGGAGGGCGGCTAAATAGATAGGTACTTTATCCGTCGTTTAAGTTACTCTTTATCTTTCCAGACTGACGAAACACAAAAAAAAAGAGCCGTTCCCGTTCCAAACGAGACGAGCGAGACAAAACGCCGTCGTTCGAGGAGGCGGTTATTTTGCGATGGCGTTCTTTCCCAACCGCCGCCCCCGACCGCCCGTTCGCAATTAGCAAATTGGCAGTGTAGAGATTCTCTCTCGCGAATTAAACTGGAGGCGGTACTGGAATCGAGACGTTATTTACGAAAAGGGAAAATTATCGCCAGTTTGAAATTAAACAGTAAACTTAATTCGAATTTAATGCTGCAAGTACCCTTAAAAGTGCAGTCTAATTTTAATCAAAATGCCAACTAAACAAGATCTATAAAAAAAAATCTAGTAACTTTTCGATTGCAATGATACGGAGTTAAGGATGATAGAGGCATCTTCCAGAAGGGGGTATGATAAAACGAAATGCCGCCGCTGCCGCCGCCACGCCACATTTCGAATGCCGTTTTGCCCCCGTTCGTTGATCGATAAATGGGCCGCGAAACCGCCCCCTCCGCGCTTTCTGGGCCGTCGACGACGATACGGCGGATCGCCGGAGGAACGGGAGGCGGCGAGCGAGCGCGAGCAAGACGGATGCGGAGAGAGAAGGCGGCGAAGAGAGAGGCCCTTTTCGCTTCGATGTTTACCCGATGAATATGGAGCACACACAAAATAAGCGATAGTCGCGGGCGGCGTGGAAAATCTCCGGCGCGGAAAATATTAGTGTAGGTATACGCCGATGGAGCTAAGTAGCGTTTGTTGAAGAGTCAGAAGTATGCGGTTGATGCGATTTCTTATGACTTTAATTATCTTGTTATAGGAATCGCGAATTTATGAGATCCCATAAAAATGGTTTAATTTAGTCGTAGGACTGGTTGCTGAATTGAATTAAGAGGTTTTATTGCTTCTGACTGGTTTCTGATATCTGTTATGATAGTTATTAATGGATATATCTACTGAAAAGTATTTACTTGGTTCATATATTATTCAGATTAGACATGTATCTGCTTGAAGTGAAAATAGTATAGTCAAATTGTTAAATTTTGGATATGAATTAAGTTCTATTTTTATCGATAGATTTAAATCGATCTACAATTTGTTTTAATTAATTTTCATAGCATTACCAAATTTTTAAGGTGAACTATGTTTATGAACTCTAATTTTGCCATTAATTATTACCAGTTTTTTCTATCAACGGCTAGAAATCTGGTGTAATAAAAAAGAAAATTGACTTCATCACAACCAAACTTATTCCGGATTTCATCAGAAAGGTTTTTGTACGATAAAGTTATGGGTTAATAAAGTCAACTGTCTATGATCTAGTAAAAATATGATAACATTATAACATTATTATTCCTTTTGATTAAAATTTGCATGAATGAAGATTCAAAAATAGCCTCTTGTTATCGAATTACACTACACCGATACCTTTTTCCCGTCAACCGAAAGATTCTCTGGATTTCAAGATTGGCAAAACTGAACAGCTGTGGTCGCGGATTGATACGCATCTCGAAAAACGCAGAACTTGAAAAGAGCCACGAACTTGACCTATTTTATCTACTCTATCTAGTAAATAGTCGATTTTTTTTGCTTTAGGTATAGTGCAACCGAAAGATCATCTTTAATAAATTATTTATCCATATTGATTTATCCATCTTGTGTAATTAAAAAAATACATAAAAGTACCAAATTTTTCCATAAAAGGACAAAAATGCGATAAAACTTCATAAAGTTTCATACATAATAAGAAAATAATTAGTAGAATAGAGTACTTACCGGACGTGTTTAATTCTGGCGCGACCAAATCGTTGAGATCGGGCTCCTCGCCGTACCAAAAGATCCACAGCTCCTTGGAGGCGGCGAGGCTGAGCGGCGGCGGTTGGGCGGGCGGCGGCGGTCCCAAATCGAACATGTCGGTGGCGCGGGGCGTCGAGACGCGACGCCACACGCACAGTATGTCGGCGGCCAAGCAGCGAGCGTAGCTCCTCAACACCGGATCCTCCAGCGGTTCGGTGCCGCAACCGCCGCCGCCGCCGCCACCGGGTCCGTGGTGGCCGACCCCGCCTCCGCCGCCTGTGCCTCCGTTCCTGTCCGCCTCGCTCCATACCAGCTTACGCCATTTGATGCCGGATAGTTCAGTCTAAAATTATCAAGAAAAAAAATACTTGCATCAGTAATTATATCTAATAACTCAGAGACTATGATAATTAATTGAAAGAAAATCAAATTAAATTGTAAATTGTAGGAACGGTTTTTCAATATAGTAATATTTTAATTACCTATAATATTATTTGAGTTCCTAGAAGAAAAGTATTCGTTCTAATACCATTTGATTTTTGTAAATTTTAGTGGTTTCTAAGCAAATATTGTGATTTTTTGTAATAATTTTCAAAATTTTAACAAAGGATGCAATGAAAGTAATAGAAGGTGAATTTACCGGATCGTTTATGATTAATAAATCATGTTCTAACTGTTGCAATTCAATTGAATAAGTACTAAATGGAATAGTTAATTAATCCTGACCGTAGATACAGCAATTTTATATCCAAGGAGTACTTTCTCTTGAGCTTTGTTATAACTGACTAATCGATAGAACACCTGATAACGAACGATTTAATAACGCCTACTAGGTACAGAATTTTTATCATTTTTACAAGGTACTCTCTTAGTTCATTGTTTAAAAAAAATATAAAAAGGGGTATACCAATTATTATTCATTTAATGGGAATAAATGACATTTTAGTGTAGAAAATTTTTAAATATGGCGAAACATTCCAAAAAATTTACCAAATTGATTAAAAACCGCTTCATTCAGTAATAATAAATTTTGTATTTAACAAACATTCGAGTGCCCTCACAAACTCGCAACTTCCACCATAAAGCCTCTAATAAAAATCCAACAAGTTCAAATAAAAAATCGATAAATTTGACAACGTCGCTCGGAAATCAGCTGGTCGGGGTTCGAGCGTGTGCCTACTCCTATGGCAAATTGCAATGTCTTTCTGTATACATAGTTGTGTCGGGTACGAGTCGAAAACCGGTTTGACCGGCCGTCTCATCTCGAACTCGAACTCTATTTGAGCACTTTTGAGCCGCCGCCGTCGTCGTGTCGGTATGAAAGTAGGAAAGGAAAAGGAAATTCGATTACAACCTAAATACCTACCCGATTGTTGACTGTTCTTTTTTTATTCTTCTCCCGTCGAGGAATTTAGAGGGAACGGTTATTTTTACCAACCCTACAGCGACGATGTTAAGTAATGGCGCGCTCGTTCTATCGATACGAATTATGTTTAATCTCGCAATTGACGCGATTTTATTCCGATCGTAAGTAGGTCATAAAAACAATAAAGTTTTACAGAACACGACCGAATGCATATTCCATTGCACAAATAAAACTAACGTTCGCGAAACCTACTTCATGTAAAACGCAAATTTAATTTATAAAACACATATTTTTCGACACGAAAAAGAAATGCAAAGTCAATGAAATTATCTCATGCCGATAATCGCTGATATTACATTATCTCCATTATCTTGTAGATGTAGTAACTTTATTATGAGGAAATAAAAAATCAACCAATTGATGTCTCATTAATCCAATCAAATGCTTCGCAGAAGGTTAATAATAAATTGGAATCGCTCGAGTTTTTTAATAGGAAAGTCGTCATTTTCTTTCGTTCGATTTTCTCTATTTCATATCGAACCATAATTTCACTTCTTCCACCGGTGCCGGTGCTCTGACGTTCCGACTTATTAAACATTAGAAAGTCCGAAAAAACAAAAACATAACGCGCATTCGATTTTATTCGACGTAATCGCAGTTAACATAGAGATTCTTCCATCTTCGGGCGTGCTTCATTTGTCTTCGAAATTACCTACCGGTTTCATTGACTATTTAAATGGCATAAAAAAATAAAATAAATATCTTCATTTTTCTCTTAAACCAATTTTTTGTGAGTACCTTCTATGTTATGTATCCTCAAGGCATGTTCGATAGTATCAAATATCATTGAAATATCAAAATTGGTCCTGATTTAATCAAACCTCGTAAAATTACATTAATTATTATTAAGAGAAAGGCACAGCATTATTTACAGGTAATTGGGCTATCAGGAAATTAAAAATTCAACTAATTTATTATTATTAATTATACTTATGTATCCCACATCAAGTCGAGTCTGTTTATATCATTAATATTTACCATTAAGTCTGTGCTCAATTCGCTGCAAGATAAATAACAAATACAACAATTACATAATAAAAAAATGTCTAAATAATTGTTCGAATTTATGTAGGTATGTATTTTATAAAATGATTTCCTCGATTTGACTTCACCGTCCTGTTGTTAGGTATGTCAAGTTGGATTTTTATCGACTCTCGAGAAAATCGATTGATATCGATTCGTTGAAACGATTTTTGTTTTTAATAAACTGTACGGTATAAATTCTAAATAAAGTATTCGTTTAGTGAGAATTAAAAGGCGATTTAAAGGTGGCACGAATGAAAGAGAACGTTAATTTGAAGTGAATATCGATGCTAATTCATTATACTACATCGGAACCGAAAGTGATAAATATTTAAATGGCCCGTTCTGAATTGAAAATAAATCAATGAGTACAAGTACTAATTTAATGGTTTTTTAACATTTGATTCCTTTTATGTGTGTATTAGTTTATATGATAATAATTTTGTATGTTGCATTTTAGTAAACATTTTAACAATGTATTTACAAGGTAAATTAATCCATTATTTCAACTGGATAGTTTTATATAATTTGCCAAATTTTTTCTTAGAAAATGACAAGTGATTTCTTCAAACTATATAAAAAGTATTATATTTTAAATAATTCAATGTTACTTCATTGTAGGTAACTACAAATGCAACTATTTTGCTAAAATTCCAATGATTCAAGACTGAATTAATTAAATAAAATACGCAATTTAATTTCCGGATGTTGTAATATCGGATATTTCCTAAGCGAACATTCTTCACGTTATTTTTTAGTTATTTGCTGGTTTGTTGAAAGAAAGAACGAAAGAAGAAATTCGAATTCAACGCTAACCTGGCCCAATATAAAACAAGGCGAAGGGCACTTTTCCGGTTACTTTTGTAAAAATCCCTGCTAATTTCAAAACACTAATGTTATTATAATAACTCGATTATTTTGCATTGGTAATTATTCTTTATTATGGTAATCTATAAAATTTAACTTTTTTCCAGCCTATTTTCGAATGAATTTGATATCATTTTTAATGCAATAAAATACTTTTACGATCCATTTTCAACCGAACCAGCAGTCAAAATTAATCAATGCATGTAAAATGTACAACACAAAAAACATTCGCTGGCTATTTAAATAATTCCATGCTTTTCAATTATTTATTGCAATCGTTTAAAAATCAATAAAAATTTATACTAACTATAAAAGATTTTTTAGGAAATAATAAAAAATTCGAAAATGCAGTATTAAATAATTTATTCATCAAAATTGAGAATTCTCAAGAGAAATAGTTTTGATTGGAAAAATTGTAAATATTTACCAGTATGGAAAATATTGAGCAAAGGGAACTAAAAGAAATGAAGGTTTGTCTTCCAATAGTTCATTCTACTTGCAGTCACAGAAATTAAATAAGTGATATTTCCAACAATTAATACAAAAATCATTCCTCGCACAATCCTGTTATTGCATTTTAGTTAGACAAATTTTATCGTCAAATATTCAATGTTGATTCATTCGCATATTTTTTAAATGAGTTTATTTGCACATTCACTGGAACGAAAAACCGATAGAAAATAACACGAATAGCCAATAAATCGATAAACAAGAAAACTACATTACATTACCGCCTTCCCCTCTTTATATCGAACGGCGACCATCTAAAAATCGATACGCATCGAAACGGTTTCTATTCGATTAATCGATTCTAAAATTACATCTTAAATAAATTCACCGACCGGACGATTCCGAAATTAGAATTTAGATTCATCGAAACGGATTCTAAATCGAAAGGAATTTAAACGATAACAAAACGATCAAAATGAAAACCGAACGTGAAAATGGATTGCGAAAGAGGTCCGTCGAGGAATTTTTATTGCAACAAACTCGAAAGAAATAAAACGCTCGCTTTTGTCAGTACCACTATTGTTTAGTACGAAAAAGAAAACATTCTAATGCAAGGTAGAGCGGCGTATGTTTCATGACAAACTCACAATGTAAATAATCTCAAGGTTATTGTTAATTTTATCGTGTTGAAGTTTATATCGAAAACGATTAGGACGGATATTTTGTTGTTTATTTAATAAAATCCAAAGTAAGGAACAATATAAACTAATTTAGATTTTTTAGATTTTGACATAAACAACTGTCAAATGCCGTTAATGTCATCAATTTCATTAATTTATTTTTAAAAGCAAAATAAAAATGACAGTTTCAAATGTCAATGTCTAATTAAACTAGCTGTCAATTGATAAGACTGAAGTTGATACCTTACATATGAGAAGACAGAAGCAGAATTTTGACATTAGTAATAAACAAAACATACGTCGTACGTTCAATAAATTTAATATAAAAGCGACAATTTCATTTAATTTAAATATGTAATGGTGTATTTTGCAACAAAAGTGAAAACTCGGCAGTGTGTGTGTGTACGCATGTCTTTGATAACATAACCTATTTTAGTATTAAAGAAGCCACCTTTTTTTCCAACACAACAAACAACATTCTTAATCTTTCGTAACGAATGACGTTAAATTTAGCTACTTTACGAATTTATTTTTGGCCGATCGACGAATTAATGCTATTAGCAATCAGAACTAAAACTCTTTTTATTTTCCTTTCGGTCTACGAACGTTGAAAAGAATCAAACGAAAACAAGAGTGTTATACAAACAAACATGCATTGCGGTTTTTTCGTTCGAAAAAAGATTTTTTTTTTCGAACAAACCCAACAACAACAAGGTCATTGTACATTGAAAACGTCTAGAATCTAGAAGGTTTTAGAAAAGAGAACGAACGCGCGATCTAGATATCCACGGAAAAGAAACGTCGAAGAAAAGGAGACCGTTACGTGAACGATTCGGCAACAGCGCCGTACCGGACTCGCGTTCGTTCACACGAGATTGTGGAACACCCGCAATGCAATGTTCTTTTCCAACATACAGGATTTTATGAAAATTAATCACTATCTGCCGAAAAACCGATCGAACTCGTTCGAATCGAATAACAATACACTAATATCTACCGAGCGAACGTATAGGGGGGAATCCTTTGGAATTTATCAATAACTTATCAATCGGTTAAGTTTTTAATCAAATAAACAAATTGTAATAATTGTTTTACATGTCGTACATTATATGTATTCTTATCGGAACGAATTACGAGTTACGCATAATTTAATAAGAGAGAAAAAAGTAGGAGGAAAAAATTGTAAATATTTTTAGAAAGTATACATAGTAGATATTATAAGCGTTGTTGAGATGTACCGAAAGATGCGATATCAAATCGTTTTGGTCGGTTTGACATAGATTTGGAAAAATCAAAACGTACGTCGCAGGTACGATTTTACAACAAGTCGAACTTACCAAGGCAAAGAAATTAGTGTGGCAGTCTTCTAAACTAGCTCCGTTAGTTTGAAAGTTCGGATGCGTCATATCTGATCCATTATTAGAGGAATTTCTTCGCAACACATAAAAGCAACACTTCACGGCACCGAAATCTCAAAGCCACATTCGAAAACCTTTTACATTTACACCAGAGATTTTCACCTTTCTATCGCAACTGCAAAATGGCGGCGACCACGAAACAACAAGCCGAACTGAAATCGGCCTCTCCGTACGATACACGAAAACTCACGGATTCCCGAGCTCGGACGTACGTCGGCTATCGCACCGTCAGCGCACCATTCGATTCGCGTACGTCTCGGCTGAGTTCGCGCGCATATCCAGTGTCGAAAAATATGGCAGCGTTACTAAGGCATGCCGTTTTCAAAACACGAATCGTCCCTTCGAAAAACGTAAATATACTATACGGTTTTTTCAAAAAACTAGTCGACAATAACGTTCACTGCGACACAGTTCGATAACTAACGCACTTCATTCCGTAGTCTTCGCTAACACCATTGTTTTCGTTGTTGATGTTTGCACTGTTTAAAATCACGCACTATTTTCGTTTTTAGGTCCTTTCCAGTCCGTTCGCCACCAAAGCTGAAAAGAGGAAGGGGATCGACAGGAAACCCGTCCCGAAAATAGACTCCACGGCACAATCTTTGGCTGCTAAAGGGTGTGTACTTCGATTTACTTGAGCCTAAAATGCGTCTGTCTCTCGACGGGAGCCATTGCTTTCGCTTTGTTTAGGCCGTTTACTCGCGAGGGGGCGACACCGAACGGAGTCAATAAATGCGATACTGCGCGATAGGACCGTCCTCTCCGCTAAATTTATGGAATATTTATTTCAAATTTGTATTTCGCGTCGACTTTTTTCGTCCTTCGATGTCGCCTCCTCCTATATATTTGCAATTCATTCAATAATATACGCTTACTTACCGTCAATTATTACCTACGCGCTTTCAATTTCTATTGCAATTACATTTAATTGCACTATTTTAAATATATTTCTCATAATCGATATAAAAAATCGATTCTATCAATATCGACAGTTGGCTGTCAATAATGACAGTTAATCCATAGTTCAACTTACTATTAAACAAATATAAACACGCACATCTCTACAAAAATTTTATATAGAATAGTTTTCTCTATAATTATTATTTTTATGAAAATTTTGCTCCAAATACTTAAATCAGTTCAAAAAACAAATTAAAACTCGATTAGTAAAACACTAATCAACACTACCAACGTTATCTTAAAAACTCCCACCAACTGTCAAAAAAAATTCAATTTTCACTCTTTCTGCAGATTCTTGCGACCACAAAGGGAATACGTTCCGCCTCAGGATGTCGACGAGAAATTATCTAGCATATTTAAATCTGTTGTGGGTGATACGAAGGATTCGACAAGAATCGCGGATTTGAATCAAAAGTTCAATATATTCGTGCAATGCGAACAACAGCTCAATCACAATGTTCCCAGTTCCTTGTTGCACCTATTCAATACTTTGGGGGACGTCAGGGTTTTCTTTAAGACGCCGGTAGACGTCAGGACGCCTTTGGATAGGCTAAAGGACATGAATTTACCAGAGAATTTGCACGTTCAATATGAATACCATAGATTCCATCCAGGTTGGTACTTATTTGCGATAATCTTGCGCATTTTATAATTGAAATTCACGCTATTTATTATTTTCAGACACTGACAAATTGTTTAATGGAGTAACAGCGTTCCCTAAGAGTTCAACAATCGTCACTGGATTGAAATATAAAGATAAATACCCTGGGCACAAACAAGAAGATCCGTTATTTTAATGTTTAATATCTAATTTAATTATGTTATTGATTTAATTTTTACTGTAAAATACACGTTACAATCAAATAAAACCAAAATTTACTCTTAAATCTGTTTCTTTAATATAGGCAACACGATTTACACAAATTGTTGCATGTATAAGATGTTGCCTATATTTTAAATTTACCTTACAATTAGAAATAAAAAGTAATTAAAAACCTATACTAAATGGGAATTGCCAAAGCGTCGTTTACATCTTGACTCAGTTGGGTTTGTAAATTGGACAATTTTTCTTTGAGCATCGCCACTCCCATAATGACAATATTTTCCGGTTTAAGCAAACCTGCGGATTCAACATTAAAGAAGAACTTGTTAGGTTTCAGCTCCCAATTAAAAGGCGCTTCATCTAAAATCAAACATTCAATAACATCACACATTCTATAAAATTTATATTAAATAAACTACTCACATTGATCATCTTCCAATTCACTGTATTCACTCTTCGGCCATTCATCCGGTTTTGGAAACAGTGTATGTCTCATTGCATTATCGGGATCGTATTCGAACGCGACGCCGCAAGTGGGATTCCATTTGGCGTGCTCTTTGCCGAAGCCTTTTTTAGCGTACGCCCTGATCTTCAGCTCCTGCCCTTTCCTCAGCTTGATTATCAGAATTTCATCGGTCTCCCCGTATTCGGAGGACTCGTCGTCGCGGTGCTTCGACGTCGCCGGTATCACTCGCGGATCGCTGGACTTGAAATCAGCCGTCGTCACGTGGCGAGTTTGGTCATCTGTGCATTTCACATCGAGGGTGAATTCCACGCTGCACGCCTGGCAGAAATCCAAGCAAACGCAGTCCTGTAATCAAAAAAGTAGAGGTAGACTTGTTGGAGGATTATGTGGCATTTGCGCTTACTCTAGGATATTGTAAACGTTCCACCACCTCGTCTGAGATTAGCGGAATTAAACCTATCCGATGGGCTAGAAACTCATCGCTGAGTACAGTGGAATTGGCTTCTAATTTTACCCAATCGATGGCTAGGGTTGGGGTTTCGGCTATAAGGACGCGGCGAATGCTGTTAGCAACGCTAAATTTGTTGAAAAAAGTTGTATTAGTATTCAGTTGTAACTTATTGTACTAGAAGCTAACCTCAAATCCGTGTCTTCGATGTAAAACTTGCAATTGTCGTCTGTTAAGTCGGTTATGTGCACCGAAGGTTGGTTGGCGTACGGCATTATGGATAAATCAGTTGAATTGTTTCTTCACTTATTAAATATCTCGTTTTTGTTCAATTTGTTTTCATTACATTTTATTTTGCGTTTTCAACTTCTTGAACTAACAAACGTTAAAGTCAAATTTGACATTGATGTCATTTGTCATATTAAAAGTACAGGAAACTGTAATTACTATTAAGTTTTTACAACACCGTTTATAGGTGGAGATTATGTGTAAAAGTTAAAAGAGTTGCATAACTTTGTAATTTAAAAGGATTTAAAATTGTAAAAGAACCAACCAATTCTTAAAAATTATGTAATACAAAACTACAAATACATAAATTAATCAAACAAACCAACATAGACAAAATTTAACACTCTATTGTCATGTTAATTAATAAAATATTCAAACATTAAAAGATAAAACATTTAATTTGTGGCACGTGCTCTCTTTACATCTAAATCAGATCCTCCCGTCTCTCGCGTCCGTAACGGCTCCCCAAAGTTCGATAATAACGTCATCGTTAAATTCAAAGGCTGCTAGATCGGAATTGTCAATAGCCTCTGCGAAATCCATCGAATTTCCCTTGTCTAAGGATAACTCCCATATTTGCGTCGCTAACTCCGAATCATTTATGCCCATGAAGGATTCTAATATGTTGTTGATTTTATCAACCCCAGCGTCCATTGTGGAGTCCTAAAAAGTAATAAATTCATCTCTAGATATCTATGGAATTTTTCAGTGAATGTTTTTACTTGTTGCTGAATCTGGGCTTGACCAGTCGCTTTGAATCTGAGGGTTTCTTTGCCACTGCCATAGCCCTTTTTGACGCCGTTTATTTTAGTCATTTTAGGAGCTATGTTCGCGAAACCACTCTTCATTGGTTCTACCAATCTTATAGTGAATGTACTTCCTCTCGGTATGTCTTTTAATGCTTTCGCTACTTCAAAGTGTCTCTTGCCGACCATATTCTCGCCATTCAATTTTTCTATGTGATCTCCGACCTGAAATGTATACAGTAAATTTTAAGTAAGGCTCCAAGGAGAGTGTGATGCGAACGCTTCATTAGCTGCATGCTCTGCTTGTATTGGAATTTACAGCATTTTTACTTTCTCGTTGAGTAAGTTTGTAATTAAAATAAAACTATGCAACGGTATTAAATACATTTTTTATGTTGCGTAACTACTAATTGTTATTATATGCGTATTTTACATACCTTACCTGAATATGCGAAATATTATAAACGACAGAGCCTTCTTTGATTCTCTTAATAAAAGCATACCCAGCACCATTATCGGTAATTGTAAGCCCTAAAGCGTCCTCGGATTTAATTAATTCAACTTCTTTAGGTCGCCCTGCAAAAATAAAATGATTTTAATTGATAAATAAAAAATTTGAAGTAATTTCATAATAAACATGAAGTTGGTTAGAATTGAAAATCGGGAAATACTGTCAAGTACAGTGGCCTTCACCTTACCGAACAATTCAAAATTTTATCGTAACCTTTGTCTTATTATGTAAGCGATTCTTTTATAAAACCATTAATTAAAAAATTAATTACCTTTTCTGTGAGCGAATATAAAATCTTCTAAACCAATTTGTCCTCCTAATAGTTTCTTCATGTCCGTTTTGTAGGTATTCAATGTGCAAAATAATATCTGCAAAATATAATTTACTCATGTATTAATTAATATCTAATAATTAATTTAAAATAAGCTATTCGAAAGTACCTACAACAAGGTAATCGGAAAAATATTCAAAATCTATTAGTAATTTTTATCTGAAATCCCGATTTTAAATACCCAATTAGTTAACTATTATCATTATTAGTAGGCTTGTTGCTCTATAAATTTTAAAACCTTGATGAGATCGTCATAAAAAAGGCACGAAATATTTACTCTCGCAGCGCATGATTATTTTGTTTGCATCCATTTAATCATGTATTATAGTTAAATGAAATATCAAATAACACTCAAACACTCATCAAATAATATCTCCCAAAATGGTCGAAAGTTTGAAGATTTTTGAACAAAATAAATCTGCAAATGAAGCTGTATGAGAAAAACAAATTTTCTAATTTAATGAAATATAAATCTTAAAAAATATGTTAAGACGCAGAGAGAATTGTAATCTTACTTCTGACGGTGGAATATCGAAACATTCCCCGATTTTCTCGTACAATTCCTTAACATTCGAAAACCCCGATACGAAAGCCGTAGGGCTCCCGTGCGCCAATTGCGTGTAAAATTGCAGCGAATTCCTTGCTGGCGATTGAGCAACTGGCGCGACACTCTGGTTCTCCACCGGAGAATGGGGCACATCGCCGTTTTGCGACCCGGATGAGCCCCCTTTCGAACGCTGTCTCTTGAACATCTCCAACTGTACTCTATCACAGATTGAACAGATTTCACAGAATCACGAAAACGCCTCCGGTGACCGCGGACGCGACCATCGATACCGCAGCGAGAACGGAAAACGGGCGGATTTGGTCAGTTTTCCATCGATTTTATCGAAGGAAACGGTACTAACACACCGACTGGAACTGGCATCAACTACACACCGTGACTCCGTATATCGAATCTACAACATACGCGGGTACTAATAGATAATAGTCGAGTTTAGGTTGAGTGAACCAGCGCAGCGCAACGAGTATTACACGCGAAACGCAAGCAGAACCTGCTGAACTAGCCGATGGGTGTTGTGGATGTGGATGGAAGGTAGAAGGTGATGGAAGGTAGAATTCAGTGAATTCGAATTCGTTGTTACGAGAAAGCAGTTTTGATTGCATTCGTAGGTGGTATTGTTTAAATTTTCAGGTATACATCTAAGCATGTTGTGAAAGTTTTAAAAAGCGCGTTTAATCAAAAATTAAAGAAAACACTGTACAAGTTAAGAATGCAAATAATAATAGTCTATTATGCAATTTATTGCCATATAGTTATTATTAAGAAACTGATTTTATAGTATTATTACAAGAGTGTACCAAAAGTTACAAGTGTAGCGTTTATTTATTAAAAAATGATTTTATTCAACATTTTCAACAAGAGTTTTTTGGGCACATTTATTTTACATATAAAAACTAGTGTATAATAACAAGTATAATAAATTATTAGTAATAGTATTAAACTTGGAGTTTCAATTCTACTTTACAACTTTTATACCTCAAATTAGAAAAAAATAAACTATTTTTACACTTAATTCTTCCTTTCCTATATTCCAAACTCTTTTTCTTCACCTTATATCATAGCTTCTATTTTTTGCATCATCAATAAATTTATATTTTGCACTTTTATTGCTTTATTATATTAGAAATAACGTTTAAAAAATTCAGCGATGACTACAATATTGTCCAACGGCTCTCGGATTGGACAGAACTCTACTAGAAATCCGGTTTTCATTATTCAAACGACACGATTCGATTGATTTACCGACACAAAACTACTATCCTCAATTAAAGTGGGGCACCATTACCGGCAATTCGCCGTTTTTTGCGATTTTATCGATGCTGCACTGACCCCGAAAATTGCAAAAATTTCACCCCCAGATAAATATCTACTACTCGCTATACTTGTATAATTTTATATCAAAATTTTGACGATAAAATCATCCGGTAAATTCTAATTACGAACCGCATTTATCGCTGCAAGCAGAGAGGGAAAACCGTTGAAAAAAATTAGGGGAACCTTAATGCCTTTTAATGGACTGCAATTGCCATTAGTTCATTAATGCAGATGAGGCAGCTCAGACAACTTCCATAAACCAAATAGTTATGGAAGGAAATTCTTCGGATCCGAGTGATGTTTCCCAAAAATCTTGCTACGTAAAATTCGAGGAGGGAGTCGAAATAAATAGTTTTGAATTGGTGCCCACTATCAGTAATAAAATTATTGCTGTTGAAGAAGTCGCACCGAGGAAGGAAAATGTTAAATATCCCCAGTAAGTACGCATTTATTTAATTAATTTAAAATGTAGCTTTGGGTGTTTTGCTGTATAGTAGAATTAAATTGTGATTCTTTAACAGTTATTTTGTCACTTTAAATTTATAAAATTTTAGAATAGATTACCATCACCACCATTTCTACTGTCAACATCAACAATTACCAACAGCTCGGAGACTATCCAGGGCTGAAAAGCAAGAGGAATGGAAGCAAATGGGATCGTAAATATTACCCAAAATTTTCTACGAGTAGATGTTAAATAAAATACATTTTAGGGATGCCTTGGCTACGGCACTTTCAGCCCTTTACGGGAAACTCCTGGTAGTCATGGGCACGGCTTTCCCTATGGCGGAAGTCATTTCCACTTACATACCGCCTTCTTTCTACGAAGCTTACTATCTTTACCTGTACATAGGCAGCATGTTTTTTCTATTGTACATGTACATAGTTTTGGCTAATGACAAAAGGAGGAGTAAAAAAGATGCAGAGTCGACACCTAGTGAGTACCAGTAAAAAATTAACTAATGAATAACCAGTTGAATTATAGGTGATAATAAAGAATCAAATAGTGATGATGATGAAAACGATTCAAACGATACGACCTGTTCCCAACCAGTTCCTTACAGACCTAGAAAACCATCAGTATCATTAATTGATAGCAAACAAAATCATTACGGTAGTTTTTATTTGAGAATGGGAGCTATAGGTAATGTATACCATATGTGCAGTATTATTAACTAATAATAATGATAAATTATTGTTTAGCGTTTGGTATAGGCAGCATGATATACTCCGGCCTGGAATTCGGGCAATATTTCGAACTGGAAAGGGACACGAAGTGCCACAACGTCCTGCTAGCGCTCACACCTGCCACTAGAATGGCTTTCATTTTCATACAAATGTATTTCATTTTCCTAAACAACGAGGTATAACTCACAAAATATCTAATCACCGATCTACTCACTCAAATGATACTGCGTTTTTGCAGCAAATAAGAGTGTACAAGCAAAAACTAGCAGCGAGATTCGGCCTGATGCACATGATAGGCACTAACCTATCCGTGTGGTTGAATGTTCTGGTGCAAGAAACGAAACACGAGATACTAACGTTTTATAATCCCGAGAACAACTCTTTGCGTATATCCCACAGGATACCTTACAAAAGTAAGCTGTTACTATCGTTAATTTGAGGTAAAAATAAAAATTCCAAATTGCTTTAGTCCACGCGCATCCATTGGAGCATCGATCCGAAAACACCACCCATCACCACGTGGCCCCTAGAGGTTTAAAAGGACCCCATCACCTCTACGAGTGCAGACGAACCAACATCATAGGCTCTTTAGTGCAAGACGCCTCGCCCTTTCTCTTCCCTTGCACCATCGAGTACAGTCTAATATGCGCGGCTATACTCTACGTAATGTGGAAATGCATCTCCAAGCTCCCGCTCACCTCCTCCCAATCGAAATTGGAAGAACTAAGGCTGAGCAAGCACAAGCGCAGCCCGCACCATTACTCGGTGGATTGCGCCAGGGCGCAGAAGGGCCTGTTCCTGGGCATCCTGCTGCTGGTTCTCACCATTATCTCGCTGATATTGTTCTTCGTGCTGATATCGCGCGCGGATTTCATCGGGCTGGCTGTTGTCGAAGTGAACATTTGCGAACTGGCCCTGTACGGGCTCACTACCACCGCTTCGAACATAGGCATGTGGCAAATGCGGCATTTGAAGTACAACGCCAGCAAGAACCTCCACTTGGACAACATACTGCTCATTGGCGCCCAAACGGGGATGTTCATATACAGTATGTTTACGATAATCGGTGGGCAGTTTACTATACAGAAAAGCACTGTATTGGTGTTAATAACGGCTCTATCGTCTTTAATACAAACTGCTTGCCAGACTATTTTTATCTTGGACGCTTCTAGAAGGACTTGCTATACACCCGAGCAGATGAAAAGGAAGCCCGGAAGGCAAATCGTGACGTTTCTATTGATAACTAATTTAGCCATGTGGGCGATTAATACGTTGGAAAAATCGAGGGCTGAATCGCACCCGATTCAACTGCATTTCTACGGGCTGTGGGCTTGGACTATTATCACTCACGTCTCAATGCCCTTGGCCATATTTTACAGGTTCCATTCGACCGTATGTTTGTGCGAAATATGGAAACGAACGTACAAAATGAAACCAGCGTACTTGTAACATGTAAATATCCACTGTAAATTACAATAAAATTATTAAAAAATAATAAAAAGTCTGTAATTAATACTACCATTCCTTAAGTCAAAAATATTATAACTAAAACGATCACTATTAACGTAATAAGCATTCCTAGAAGTAATATAACTTTATCCTCGCTTACTCTCTTTTGGATTAATCTGAGAGTGTGGCTGCTCAAACCGAGCGTACTCGCCATGTCCATTATTTTCTTATGAGCGCCTTTCAACGTTATCCTTTGGGTTCGTAGAGAGTCTAATGTATTGGCCCCTGTGTACAGCATCTCATCGATTCCCTGATTGGCGTTTTGAAGGGAATTTTGATGTTGAACGGCGTAATCGATGTTGATGGCTGTTATGTCTGGATTCGGAGCGAACCTTCGATTTAATAATTGCTCCCTTTCATTAACGGCAGCTTCTCTGCGGGCTCTCTTCTGCTGGGCAGCTGCTAGAGCTGCTCGGAGATGTCTGTTGTCGTATTTCAACTGATCGCATCGCATTTTAGCATTCTGCCTTTGCTCTAAAGGTACTTTTAGTATGTACAAATCCAATTTACTGCAATTGCTATAAAAATGATAGTTACTTAAGAAAGTTTCGAACGAACGGTTGGATGAATGAGAAAACATTACCTATTTATTAGTTCTAATTTCTGTTGTATCTCTGATTCTATTTCGATGGCGTTCGTTCCGTTACCTTCTAACAACTGAAAACTCGCTTGAGTTTGTTGAATTAATTTGTTGGTTTGATTGTATAAAGTATCCATTTTCGATTATCATTTCAAAAAACTACAAACAAGTCGACGTTGTGACTTGTTCACCAGTTGTCACTGTCAATTTTTTGAGGTTAGGTGAGGTTATAAAACATCAAGCAAACTAAACTATTTAGGATTGATCATACTGCCCTTTTTATGACGTTCATTGGTGACCTTAAAGCGTAGAGTTGTGAAACACCAATAAACTGACTTTAGATGTTTTTTTTTATTATAATGCGTTTGCATTATTTCATTGAATTAGTCTGTATTTCTTTTCTTAGTTTGTTGTATTGTCAAAACGAATGGACCCGATGATGGACGATTCAATTGATCGCTATTTGGTAGTTTATTATTCTTGACGTTCCTACGCCATACTGATAGGCAACTATTTTTACACAATCTAATCCCGAGATTTCTAGAGTTTATAAAAATTAAATTTTCCCATACGACACTTAAATTACATTGTAGTTTATCCACTTACTCATTGAAATAACAATTTATTCAATCATATTTACACATTTATCCATTTTTTATGATTTTTAAGTGGGCTATGTGATTACATACAGTGATACAGTTAAATGTAATATTTTGAAATTAATTTGACGAATTGTAACGTCAAAAAAACTTTTTATAAATAATAAATATTCTCTAAAGAAAAACGTATGTTTGAAGGCACTTTTTGGTTCTTAAAATGAGGTAAATATGACTATTCTATCTCCTATAGAAAAATAAACATAACTTTCGTCCAGATGAAATTTATCGTAGACAAACTAATGTATACAACTTCAATACAACAGCAAACATTCTCCAGGTAAATTTAAACTTTAGTATTTCCACGGAATTATTAATTAGTACAATTAAAACGACATTAAAACAATATAAAAATCGTATCAAACAAAGAATGCCAGCGTACATACGCGAGATTTCCATGCCCGTAGACTTCCGGCGCTCATTGAACGCTATAGTAACCGTTAATAAAGCCTAAAATAAAGACGTAGATAATGAGCTCAGCTCAAAGAGTCGAACCGATATCGGATCGCCCCGGCGCGAATCGGCAAGGACGCGTCTCATTGCTCATTGGTGAACGACACGTTGAAAGTAGGTTGTGACGTCAGCGCCAGATTCTATAAATACATGTGAACGCTCCTTCCTCCGCATTTTAGTCGAACACGCCGTGGAGGAGCGTAGCATCGCGCAGAGTTGTTGTGACGCGCATTTAAACGTAACGACGCATTGCCAGTGTGTGTGTGTGTGTTTGGTTCGCGTGCGATAGTCGTCGAGAACGTGCAACGATGGCCAGCGAAGCTGAGAGGTTGATCGGCATATCGCTGACGAAGATAGCGCAGAGCAGGTCGCACCGCGGCGGCGTCAGTTTACACAAAAACCTACTGGTCGCCACCGTGCTGCAAAAGGCCCGCTACATCTTCATGGAGGAGGCCTACAACATGGTCCACTACCAAGCGCCGGCGCCCGTGCAATCGCGCGCCGCCCCCGATCGCCACCAAGAGGACCTGGTGGGCCTGACGGCCGAAGAGGCCGGCTTGGAGTCGGAAACGGTCCAAGAGGCTTCCACCAGCGAGTACCTGCAGCCCGCCCAGGCGTGCGTCAAGTGCTCGGAGAACCAGAACAAGGAGAACTACCCGCCGTACAGTTCGGAACTCACCTACCTCGATTTGGACAAGAGCTCCGGCTCGGGGGTGTTGAAGGAGCGCGAACGCTGCAATTCCCCTTCGCTGAAGCGCCGGCGGGCCGTGGCCGAGTGGGAGACCGAGGAGGCCGTGCAGTCGATCCTGCCGAAGAAGATCAAACAGGAGGAGGACGGCGACGATTCGGTGTTCCTGGACGACGCCGCGCTGCTGTCGGAGAGCGTCAGCAAGGAGATCGAGGCCGAACGGCCGCCGGAGACGGCCGGTTCGTCAATGGAAATCGATCGGATTACGTCGCTGGTGTCCATATTCAGCTTCAGCATGGGCGATGGGAAGCTCAACAGGTCCATGTCGACGCCGGACTTGTGTTCGGCGCAGGCGAAGGACACGCCGGACACGTTGCAACAAAGACAATTTATAGCCATGACCGTGTAACTAGATTAATTGGTTCTTTTAGGCAATTTTCGCAATTGTTAGTGGACTCGCGTCAGGCGCGGCCTGATAAGATTTCAAACGATCTCCCAACAACGATTTCGAGGCGTTCAAAACTAATGTGGATCATTATACATATGGACTATCTAATGTAACAACCGAAATAGTTTCTGGAAATGCACCGGAATATGCATCATCTGCTTTAGATCTGAACGCTTATGTCGATTTTCTTTACAAATAAATGTTCTAGTGAAATTGTTCAAATCCGTTTCGGTGCGTGCTTTGTAAAGAGGATTGACGGCAATTGCGCAAAGCGTTATTGTGATAGTGAGTTGTTAAATACATCTCCAATTCTAATCAATGTTTAGTAAACGAATGTTCATTATTCATTACACGAGGTATTATTAAGAATAGTGAAATTGTTCCTGTAAACGGTCGATGGGTTATTGAATGTTTGCTACCCCTTGAGCATTATTTATTGGATATTGATGGCGATTTGGATGTATATTACTAAACTTTTTTAAAGTAATAAAATAAACGATGCATCAGGACGTTGTGACCATGGTGAATTTAAAAGTTGTTCGTCCTTCTCTCGGGCCATCTGCTATTGTGAATACATTCCATATTTATTGGGTACCGGATACGCTCCGAGCGGAGGTTTGTTTTTTTATACCTGAACTTTTTGTATAAAGAAGGGTGGATTTCCTATTATATTTATTTATTCTTTTTAACTTCGAATTGATCGTGGTTACTGACGCTGTTTTGTACATAACTTAAAAGTATATAATTTATATTGCTCTGTTTTAAGAGTATTTTATTCTTGTATATAATTATTATTACGTGGTACCTATATGTTTAAAAATAAACAATTTTTTATTAAATCGGTTTTTTAATCCAATCCTTACCAGTCAAACGTTTACCAACTTTTTGATATATGAAAGTTACTTTAAATTTCTCTTCGTTTTCACTTGAAATGTTTTATTCATTGCCAGTTTGATACAAATATTTAAAAATGTAAGACACCAAGAAATCATTTATGGTTGCGACAAATGGTTACGAAATGCTACATAAGTGTACAAAAAATTGAGAAAAAAATACCTATAATTTAAATGAATCAATAACAAAAATAAAATTTGTGTAAGTATCATCCATATCCTCTGCTTAGGATCCAAAGATGATAATATAATACAAACGTTAATATTTTTTGTTTGATAAAATAAGATAAGATAAACCAAAAAAATACGTATAATTTCTATTATGTACCTACAGAATGTTCAGAAAGGTATTAAATGCAGCATCTGCTTTGACACGTGATGCAATATCTCAAGCATCTCATGCAATGAATTGAAGTGCACTCAATTTATTTTCTAAAATAAATTGTTATGCTCTTCTACACCTGTTGTTATGTATAAATTGTTTAGGTTGGGACAACAAACTGGCGAAATTGATATGATCTTATGATCTAACAAGCCAATAGATAATCATGACAATAGGAACTAATTTACAAGGTTTTGTGGGAAGAACTTTGGATAATGGGAATGATTTTGGTTAATGAAGAAAAATTTGTAGATAGTAATAAAAAATATAGCACGTCACAACCCAAATATAGATACTAATAAAACATTTGTTTTACTAGAATTTAATATTTATGCAATGCATGAAAAGTAACTACAAATTAGAAATACTGAGCATAAAATTTTTATTTTTTGTATGATTTCGGGCCGGTTTCGCATATTAATGTCCAACAATAGTCTCCTAGCACACTATTTAGAACTGTCTAGAAGCATTTAGAACGCTCCAGAACTATTTAGAAATGTCTAGAACCATGTAGAACACTCCAGAACTATGTAGAACGCTCCAGAACTATTTAGAACGCCCCAGAAGCATTTAGAACGGCCTAGAACCTATTAGAACGCCCCAAGCATTTAGAACGGCCTAAAACCTTTCAGAACGCTCCAAAATAAATAAAAGGGGTCTAGAACCATTTAGAACGCCCCAGAAGCATTTAGAACGGCCTAGAACCTTATAGAACGCTTCAATTAAATTAGAAGTGTCTAGAACCATTTAGAACGCTCCAGAATTATGACCATGTTAGACAAATTAAAGAAACTAAATGTGCTGATATTTTTTTCGACGGCTTATTTGGAACAAGCACGCCCAAATATATTAAAAAAAAGATTCTATGTCGTGCACTAAATGAATGTAAAATTTGAAAATTATTGTAATTGGCGCTTTATTAAAATTAATAGTCGCTAAATACTCAAGAATTCTTATACCATCAGAAATAAAGCACAGTTTTATTAAAATATTGAATGTTTAGCGACACTATAAGAAACATTTTAATTAGTTTTCATGTACTTAATAAATAACCACAAAGATTTGAATCAATCAAGTGGAATTTTAAGAGCAAGTGTCCACCTAAAACTGCATTTATTAAATAAACCGTCCAACAAGCGACCGATTTCAAATCCGAACCGTCTGAACGAAACCGGAATATTTAGCGCTAACAATGGAATATTTGAGCTCTGCAAAATACCCGTACCTGCTCGACTGTTGGGAATTTCCTACAGAACAGAATGCATTATACAGCGGACGGTTTATAGCGAAGGCCTTGAACCTATTTACTTGGAAAGGCCATGACGTCATGACTAAGGTTCTCGGCATGGAACACGATCGTATACGCGTCTACGTGACGTCACCAGTGTCAACGACGTCCCGTGACGTAGCCGAGGCGTCGCGATGCAACTGCAAAGTTCAAAATTGTACACATAAAAAAAACAACTCCAATAAATCAAAAATCGTTATGTGTTGGTTGAACGAATGCGTGCGAACATCGCTATTAAACACATTAAATTTACAACCTTGGACAGCGTATTTTGTTATTATCAAATAAATGAATAGTAATGGATTTAATGCACGTCGTAATGTTTTTTTTTATACCGGGCGTTCTATTAGTTTGCAATTGAACGCGTTTCGCAATCCGATTTATATCTGTTAATTCATAAAGGTTCTACTAAATAAGCAAATAGATATGTCGTTGGCATACTGAATACTGTAAATAGTTAAAAAGAACACTAAAAGCAGCAATTTTAGTGATCAAAGGAACAGATAATTCAGTTTTTGTTACCACTTTCCTTGAGTAAAAATTTATTGAATAGAGTATGAACTTCAACAATGACAATTTCATTGGCCCATCCGGTTCTTTCCACTACCTGAGTACCTGCAGCAAAGCGCACTAAAAATGATGATGCTATGAAATAAATCCTTCCTTTTCCTTCGGTTGTATTTCCATCAGATGATGTAATAATATAGGCGTTCGAACAGGTCGAATCGGCGCTAATCGCAACTATGCAAACGTAGAAAAATAGTAGTTCATCAACCGATCGTCCTGACGCGAACCACGTGAATCACACGTTCGAAATGGCTAAATAGAGAAGAGCCGAGAGGAAACCATTGAAACGCGGCGAAATGAATCACCGTCGAATTTATTTATAACGGATATTGTCCGGCCAGAGATCTACGGTTATTCTAAACCTTCACAAATTCCCGGTATTTTCTATGAAGTAAACAACTCGTCAAACTTACTATACCGGAGATTTCATAACACATACTACAGGAAATTTAATTGTTTTATCATTTATTTAAAAATAGGTGAACTTGTTAGCTTTAGTGAGAAGGCTTTAGATAATGACTTAGAAGATTCTCAACTCTTCAGTTTATTAACTCTTTTCTATGACCAAGAACTAGCCCCTAATTAATTATTATTCACCCCTAAACTTATTAACAAAGAGTTTATAGTTTTTATGGGGATCAGGTATTTACTACCTAAATTTTTCGATATTCTTTAATTTCTCAAGGTTTCCAAGATCAGTAAATCCCTTGTAGAATACACAAATATCTAATGCTCTCATTGAATATGAGCTCTCCAGTATCTAATAACATCCTTTCCCATATTCCACACCTTCTTAAAGTAGCTAGAGCTCATCTGTATTTACAAAAACATTCATTATATAATTTGCCTCATAAATAAATCCACCCTTAAATCAATACAATGCACAATTTTCATAAATCAAATACTCCTCCACACGCAGCATACAGTCATCAGCTTATTGATCTTCGAAGCCTTCTTTTCCTACATAGAACCGGAGTAGCGTATAGAGCAGTAATAATTCCAAACAGTGCGTTTTATTAGCGACTGCAGGACAATGCGTGTGTGTGTAAGCAATGGCATCGCTTCCCTAATCTTCCATTCAGGGCGTCCCCTTTCTGTGAACGAGACGGATCGTGTGATTCACTCGGCCTTATGACGTTATTTCATTACGCACAAACTTTGTTAGAATGACTAATTTTCGTTGCACGTTTAACCGTTATCGATGTTTGTGTAAGTGATAACTGATAAGGGATTTCTAATTATTTCGTCTTCGGAACGCTGGAATTAATTGTTAGAGAATCAACACGTTGGCTTTTGGGCGTGTCCGGTGCAAGTGCAGGGTATTTTTTTGAACGCGTTCGATATTAGTGCGTTCTAAAAATATCGTCTAAAAATAACATTTTCTGTTAGTTAAATGAGTCGTTGCAGTAACGTTTTCGTGTAATGGAAATAAGAAAGTTGAATTTCGCTTGCGTGCATTGAAAAAACCATGATGTAAGATGCTCGGTTAGAGCGTAATAAAAATTTTGGCGAATTGTTTGTTTGTTTACTTTGTCATACGTCGATTTTGGGAAATAAATCAAAGGTCACAGTAATCGAAAATTCCATGATTTCAATACATGTGTCGAGGGAAATTTTTATAAACAATCCAAGAGCAATAAATATAGATGACAAATTTTATGCTTGTTAAATTTTCACAATATGCAAAAATATAATTATCTTATCTGGAGCAATTGAACTAGGAATATTTTTAATAAAATTTCAAATTTAATTAAATAGTAGGTACATGTATCTGCTTGATTACAAAAAATATAAAATATAATTTGATTTATTCGCATTTGGTAGACGTGGAAAAAATAAATCCCACGATGTGCACGCCAATTTGTAATCAACAAAAATTGTTAAAATTTGCATCACTCGAATTCTTTTGAAATACTCATTGAACCACGAACATAATGTAATTAGTAAAAAAAAACCAGACACTAATGGGATTTTCTATAATTAAAATTCCCCATTAAAATTGAATACAATAAGCAATACTAGAGAATTCCCTAATTAAAACGTATCGGAATTATATAAAATCCGTATTAAATAACAAACAAGCACAATAAACACTCTAATAAACTTAATTGTTAATAATGTTTTTATTGAAGATCTTAGAAAAACCAACTTTAAATACCTACGTAGTTTAAATAGAGTTCAAAGAGTTAAATAGTATCAAATATGTTAGAAAGTAGTTTAATTATTAAATTAACAGTAAATTTGATGATGTGTGTTACTCTTGTACACAATATTGTTACATCTGGCTGTATGTTTATCTATTTAATTATTTCTTGAAAACTCCAAGTTCTATTTCTTTAAATATGTAATTTATCAAGTGACTACTGCAAAAAAAACCAAAGAAGTATGAATAACCGCGAAAAGATTAAGAGCGAAAAAGTTGTATAAAATCTGTTTCGATGTGAAGCAATTGGAACAATATACAGAGCGATCCGACCGCCGGGCATCTCGGAACTTTTCCACAGCACCGAAACAAAACCGTTTTCTTGACACAGAACGAACGAAATCGCGCCGAACGCGCGCAATACGTTCGTTTCTAAAACCGAAAGAGCTGATGAACGCGGTTCAGCGCTCAGGTCATCATGGTCAACGACCGTCTCTCTGCGCCCGCCGCTCCGCCGCGCACAAAAGACGAAGAAAGGAAAAGAGTTACGCGACCGCGACTCCGG